CCGCACAACACACACATTCAATTTAACTTTGTATTATGATCACTAATGAAAAATAAGATTCAGTCGCTCCTCAGATATTTTTACATTTTGGCTTCCTTTTATACTTTTTATATAAGCAACTTTTTTGTAAATTTAGTAAATTAGATTTTACTAGAGATAACATAATGTCCCACAGGCTGGTTAAATATCTAACTACTTACCTCTGTCTGGTGGCTACATTTATACCTCAATGCCACTGAATTTCTGGATTAAGAGGGGAAGTCTAATAAGGCTACTGATTGAACAAAATAATGAATGTGACATTATTCTGTGCAATCCCTTCTGCTCCACAACTTTGTTTAGTTTAACCAGGTTTATCCAGACCTGACAAATGCGTGGGGCATGTATCTTTTTTCATTTTATATTTTGAACGCTAAAATTAAACAAATAAGTATTATACTATACTTTTTATACTTATATACTATTATTTCTACCAGTTTAACAGGTAAAACTCTAGTTCTTTAAAGGAATCCCTGCTACAAAATTGGTTTTAATCGTTATTACCAACATTAAGTCCTAGCTGCACAAAAACGAGCACAAAAACATTTTTGTCCTGTTTATATGTTACATAATACTTTCTGTTCCATTCTGTGTTCTTCAACAGAGGCGGGCTGTTACAATGTCTAAACCTCGTGAATAGCACAACACAATATACTGCATCACTGGTTTAATAGAAATGCTAACATACATAATTTCAGCCAGCTATCAAAAATGTGAATAGATAAAAACAGAAGAGCACACAAGCTTAAGTGTATCCTCTCTCATGAAGCAGTTATTCGGCTAACTTAGTAGTCCTGCACCATGAGAATGAGACAGGCCTCGGGCCTGTGACTCTCTCACTCTGGGTGAGAGTGCATAGTGTTATTTGATACTGGCAGGCAAAAAGATCTACGAATAGACAGCCCTAAAATAAATATACAGATATACTCCAGTGTTGGGGTCGATTCTCTCACATTTCCACTAGTTAACACCCTATTTTAAAATACCAACTGGTTTCCCTACTATTGAGCTTTTTTTTTTTTACTTCAGGATACATTTCAAAAAAAGCAATGGCCTTAATTCATTTTAACTAATATCTGCAAAGGGCTGAAAGCCTTGTAAGCACACATTACATTAGGAACCATAGATACAGCCTCATCTAATTTTCTGTAATGCAAATTTCAAACTTAAAGCTAAGCTGATGTTATATAATAATAACAAAATTAACAGTGTTGTTAAAATTAAAACATCTCTCTAGAATAGCAAAAGCAGCAGAGTAAAAGACAAGTCAGGTTCCATCCATCAGCCATCCACGCTCCCACGTTTGGGACTATGCAGCCTAGCAACCAAATCCATCAGCTTATTTTGTCCACATAATGTATGCACCACCCAACCGGACAATCAAAATATATCAGTGGTTTTTCAATACTGACTCAATTTAGATCTGTGCTGGTCTTCATTTTAGCCGTCTAATCAGGGACTATTTTAAAGATGACATGCAGTTCATTAGGGCAGAAAACCTGTAACCTGGGATTATTACCAACAAACAATGAACTAACTAAACATCATCCTCATCAACAATAACTATTCAGATTGTTGTAAACAAATGCAGTCAAATAATTCTTAAAATGTCTGTGGATATTACTGGAACATGTTTTAGAGCCAACTTGGGCTATAGCTATTAATGATGGATTTCTTTTTAGAAATCCTGTTGATTATTATTAAAATGTTGATGAACAAGTGAAATCTAGGCTTGGGATAAAGATATGACGAAAATTTTGATTATTGATTTGTTAAGTGAAGATGATTAAACGCGCAGTTATAAAATATAATGGATATTGTGAAAAATATCCATTGGAGTTACCAGAGGTCAAGGTGTTGTTGTCAAATTGCTATTCAAAAACACAAAAGATTTTCATCTTAAAATTTACACCACTTAAAAAAGCAGAAAATCCTCACACATGAGAACGATGAACCCTAAATACGTTTTTTCTTGACAAATTACTTAACCATTACTTAAATATTAAAATTATTTAAGATGAATTTTCTGTTCAATAACTAATGGATTAATTGCTTCAGCACTGTTTGATACTACTTCAACTTTTTTTTTTTTTTTTTTACAGCTAGTCACAAAAAAAACTGAAATTTTTGATCATGGCTGGCCCTGTAAACTAATGACAAGCACCTCTCATTATTTTAAAGATTTATGGGCAAATGTTTATATGCAACTCTCCTCTGCACTGATTTGTAACTACAATGCAAGACTCTGTGATGGACAAACTGCCAGTCTCCAACCAGGATCCAGCCTGTTGTTTATACCCTAGAAACAGACTTGTGGGACAAACTGAAGATTGCTCAGACTGCACAGCATACCATGCCCTCCTCCTGCCTATGTGAACGATCAAGTGTGTATTATCTATGTTTGCAAAGTGCTGTATGTATCATGTTGGTATGTGTCTCTCACCTGTCACAGTTACTATGATGTACTGAGGCGAGCCACTCTGACCATTACTCTTCTGGACCGTAGAGTGCTGGATTTCAGGGGTTACATAGTGCTGCGTGGGAGTGGTCAGAACCACTGCCTTCTGGCTCTGGGTGGGTGGCGCTTGAGAACAAAGTGCATCCTGTCCTGTTTTTGAGGCAGTGGTTGATTGGTTAGCTGTTGTAGCTGTTCCAGAGGTTGGTGGGATCTCCGACAGGAAGTGTGCTGTCTTTGCGGATGAGGGTGTGGTGGCTGCAGCTGTTGCTATGGTTACTGTGTTGGCCTGCTGAGGCTGAAGGTCCTCTGAGTATCCAGAAGTTGCCATAGCAACCAATGCTTTGAGGCACTAGTTCTGTGAATAAAAAGAGAGAGCAATCATTAGTGAAAAAGCTACAAATGTACATAGAAACACACTTTGTTGGCATCATTTCACCTCTCTATGTTTTGGCCAAATATAACTAGCGTGTGTGTGCTAACATGTGTCTATGCATGTGTTTGCTTGTGTGTGTGTGTGTGTGTGTGTGTGTGTGTGTGTGTGTGTGTGTGTGTGTCTGTCTGTGTAACATAAACCAGAAGAGGAAGTAAGGCTTTTGTGTGAGACTAAGCAGTAGTCTAGAGCCTTTCCTGTTTGGTCCAGTATGAAAACAGTGCAAATTTAAGAACGATTAATAGAGCAATCACTTAAATTAGAAAAACAAGGTTTATTCACCGTTACCGTGGTGTTTCAAGTTACATTAAATAACTAACTAAAAATTATAAAATATGTAACCATGGACAGTTCCAGATATTACTATCATATTAATTATTGGGTCCACTGTCACTCAGAACTTCAGGCCATCCCACTGGGAGACAAGCCACTCCTGCGTAAACCAACACGGCAAACAAGACAATCAGATGATCATCCGGCACACTGTGTTCACGGGAGTGACTTGCCGAATCCAATGTCAGACCAAAAACTTTTTCAAAGTCACAAAAACATTATGAAACATTCTGAATTTATGTCCATGTGTTTATAACTCATAGATTATTTAGTTGAGTGAGCAGTTCCATGTGCTTTCCTGTACCTAAGGTTTCTGGATTGATTGCTTGAAAAGTGAGCTGAGAAAACGAGAGTGATAGCTTCCCCAGCTAACAGCTCACGTTGACTTGTGACGTTAAAGCGAGTTAGCTAGATGTTAGCTACTCCTATCGGTTAGTCAATAAATATATGACCACGCCATCAATCACGTCTCACTCTAATTTCAACGGTAATCGAAACTGTAAGAAATACCCTGAACATTATGCCAAATTAGCTTTAAAAAAAAAAAAGTACGGCAGGCACTACAACACACCCGCCATCTTGTGCTCTTATCAAAGGTCTGACATCGCCATAACAACGGTCTGCGTTTGGAAAGAAGCTAGCAACCACTTTCATCACCGACACTCTCGACCAATTTCACGTTAACGCTGATGACAGTACAAACAAGCACACGTATAAATTATACAGAAAATGAAATGATAAATCGGAGATATTTTACTTCTTCACCTCTAGATTAATCCAGTATTAGTCCCTTTTAGTCGTTAAAGTTTTTTTCCTTAGATTTAGGTTGTTGTTGTTGACTCCCGTTGCTTGGTTCTTGTCGCCAGGACTACCGTGACTATGGCGCCTTGCCTTCACCGGGGCAACTGTTGCTACCCTCTCGTCATCGCTCCGCCCTACACTAAATGCGGATTGGCTGACTTGGTAGGTGGTCGTAGCGTCATTAAAATGACTGCTCGTTGATTGGAAGACAGTCCCTGTCTGTCACTTTCGCCAGAGCCCAACGTCAAATTACCACTTCTAATGTGACTTTTTCGATTGCACAGAATGTCAAGCAGATAGATGGAAAATAGTGAATGTCAATTGATTCATTTCAAAGAAAATATTCATACTGTCGCATATATCAAACCCCCTCTATATGCTCTATACGCATATTTAAATAATAAATATTGTAAAACATTCACAAATTCACAACTGATTTGTGTCAGTGCAGTATCACCAGCTGTCCTCATAAACCTATCTGCAGTGTTCATGTATATGTGTGTGTGTTGCTTGTAGTGAACACCAAGGCACAGCACCCAGCAATCCTTGGGGTGAATGGATTGTGATCTCCATCCAATGCCTGCCAGAGCAGATACCAAGACGGAGATTGTGTTGGTGACACACAGCACAACCCAACTGATGTAAGGGACAGAAAGGCCATCAAAAGGTCACAGGTGATTAGATAGCCAAGAGCTTGGCTTACATCACCTGTGGCATCATTCGCTACTTAATCACAATTTTTCTTTTTCTCTATGTTCATTGTTGCCCCTAAAGGTCTCCACTTTTATCTCTGGGCATGACGAAGAGTGCAGGTGAGTTGAGGTCCTTCTCTGAGATGCTGAGGCCTATATAAGCTGTTCAGACACAGACACAAACCACACCGACACCTCAAGCAATTTCCAGCCTTTGAGACCCCTTCAGCATCTTTTAACTCTCACCATGTGGAAGGCAGCACTTTTGACCCTCAGCTTGTTGGTGGTACTCGTCGACAGGGTTCGCTCCAATGATGGCCATCCCTCTTTCTATGGGGTGAAACTGTGTGGAAGAGAATTCATACGAGCTGTCATCTTTACCTGTGGTGGTTCTCGCTGGAGGAGAAGCATAGGAGACTCAGGTAATACTGTGTATGAGAGACTTTGTCCCATGTTTTCCAAGAGCCAAAATGTAATATTAAGAGATTCACCCCTCTTTTTTTATCAGCTCTTATTGGGGAAGAAGCGTTTGACCCATGGGTCAAAAATCCCATCCCTCAACTTACCAGTGAGCAGGATCCTGTGGAGTCCAAAGCATGGAAAGATCAAGCGCTGGATGTGGCATCTCTGGCTGCTGGATTCAGCCGCTTAGCTCGCTCCCCAATCTCAGAGGAGGTGCTCGAGGCTCTACGGAGTGCAGATAGAAAAGGACGGGATGTTGTGGTTGGACTGTCCAACGCCTGCTGCAAGTGGGGATGTAGCAAGAGTGAAATAAGCTCTCTGTGCTGAACCTAGTTTTTTAGTTATGAATCTTGTGCTGTCACCACTGCAGAGCTCTACTCTTTTCCTATTTCTAACTTTTCCTATTACATCCAACTGACTGTCCATGTGTTGACTATTGATACAGGAATGTGAATGTGTACACAAGTTTTTTTCTGTGATTATCAGATTAATATATATGTTTAATAAAGCTTTGTGTAAGTGTTGCGAAAGTCTTTCTTGGTCTTGCAAAAGATACTATATTACATTTCATACTCACACTTCCACTTTTCCAAAACCTTGTTTTAGAAACATAGTTTTGAGAAGGATTTCAAAATGAAGGAAGTGGTGGTAACTTTGACTACACAGTGTCCTGATGTTCTCTGAATTACATCTGGTTTCTGTGAATCTACAGAGGCATGTATAGATACCATATATGAGCAGATTTATGAAGAACTGACATCCAGTGCAATAAACCTACAACATGCTATCTGTCAGGCTTATGATGTTGGGGTTGTGTTGTTTATTTCAAGGTGTTCATGGCATTATACTCGATTTCCACCCAAAGTTGAAATATACGGGCATGTTAAGACAATGCCATCAAATCTGGACTGAACAAACTTCACAGTCGTGGTATTTGTTGGTGTTCATGTTATTGTATCCACGCCCTGCATCAGTTCATACAGATCAAATGTACAGTAGTTTGATGCTGCAGGAATTTGAAGCTGACACCATCTGGCGGCCAGAAAACAACACAAAACAATGCACATATCCTGCTTGTTCACAGAATTAGATGTATGGTATGCATTTATATAAATTAACACAGTTTCCGCCAACAGTATACACTGACACGTACTGTATATGGACTGTATAATAATGGCGATATTAAAAGTTGTTTGTCTCTTTACACAGTAGCCTTGCCCGACAGTCTGTCCAGTACGGAAGCCGAACATGATCAAACTGATCACCCGGCTTGATTGCAAGGCATGCAATCTCTGTCACATACCAACTAGCATAGCAACCACACAGATCTACTGAGATCAGAAGTTTGTATTAGGATACACAGATTGAAGTCATATTTTACTTAATGTTAGTTGTTACAGCGTAGCTGCACTATTGTCTATAGAAATATAGATCTACCACATCGGAGTGACCAGGTAAAACCTTTCGCGGCACTTTCAAGATGATGCTAGCTAACATGCTACTGGTAGCTATGGGTTGATGTGCGACTGCTCTGTTATGAATATTAATGCGCTCCATTTGCGTCGTGTTTGTTGCTTTAATTACAAACACAACTTTGACGGCGCAACGCGTTGCCTGGTTGTTAACGTAAGACATCGTTTTGTAGCTGTTTTCTGTGTGGATCTGGTGCGTGTTAAGAATCATAGCGACGCTAAGCTAGCTTGCTAGTTGAATGAGCCAGACATTTGCGCTTGTGCCGCCTGGGCCTCGTGAAAAAGGCTGATCAGGTCGCGGTGGATAGTTGCTGTGGCTGCTTTATTCATGCAGCTTTAACTTACTAAAAGACGACTGCGTAGCGTTATCTTTAGGTTTCATGTAGCCAGAAACGGAAAATGTTCATAATCAGGATTGATTACAGTAATGTTTTGTATACACGGTAGCGTGTATACAAATATTTATAATGAATGTATTTTGACTAAAATTAAGATTCACGTTGCCAGCTGTGAAGTTAACAGTTAGGTGGCTAGTATTTGACAAGTTGTTGTTATTAGTAACGGCAGCATGCTGTATGTTGGCATCATCTGTAATCGACTGCGTAGTTTACGTTACTTCTACGTGATTTGATTGGTAACGCACTGACTGCTGAGGTTACAGGCGGGGCTCTCAGCGTGGAGGCGCCGATGTGTTGTACATGCTTCATAAACAGGTTATGTGTGTGTACATGTCTTGTAGGATGGAGTGGCAGCCAGATGAACAGGGTCTGCAGCAAGTGCTTCAGCTACTCAAGGACTCCCAGTCCCCAGACACAGCAACACAGAGAGCTGTGCAAGAAGTATCCTTACATCTGTCAGTATGTGTGTGTGTGTGAGAGGGTGAGAGAATAAGATATTTTACTTCCTCTATGAGACCTTGTGTCTTAGTGAATGAAGATGAAAACTGACTGTGTGTCATGTGCAGCTTGCAGCAAGTGAACCGGTGTGATTGATTGTGATTGCATATTAATCCACACTGTTAAACAGGAACACAAGATATTTGTGCATTTACTATGTGTGTGAATGGTTGAACTCCTTAACAGAGCCTGCAGAAACTGGAACAACTTAATCAGTTTCCAGATTTCAACAACTATCTCATCTTTGTCCTCACAAGCCTCAAATCTGAGGGTATGTATATGCAGGTCAAAAATGAGCCACAGAGCGGGATTGTAATTTACTGAATAAACTCCCTAACTTTGGTTGTTCTCAGTAAATATTTCTGTGTCTCACGTCCTCCTTCCCATTAAAAATCATTTGACACCAACTCTCTGCTGCCTTTCTTCTCAAGATGAACCCACTCGCTCTCTGAGCGGTCTGATACTGAAGAACAATGTTAAGGCTCACTACCAGAACTTCCCTCCCAATGTGGCTGACTTCATCAAACGAGAATGCCTCAACAACATCGGAGACCCTTCGCCGCTCATAAGAGCTACAATTGGTGGGTGTTAGAGTTGGAAAGGGAAAATGGACAAAGAAAAAAACTAGTGTTTGCTGCATTTTCTAGCCAGTGAGTCAGACTACTATGTAGGTGGTTGAGTTTTTGCAGGTAATGTGGCTGTATGTGGTAGCAATGTGATGATGAGTTAAGTTATTACTTACTCCTGAGTTTTAAATCCTCATAATCTTTTTATTCTTTATCATGAAGGTATCCTGATCACGACCATAGCCTCTAAAGGAGAGCTACAGACCTGGCCGGAACTGTTGCCTCAGCTCTGTAATCTGCTCAACTCAGAGGACTACAACACCTGCGAAGTCAGGCCCACATACCAACACTTTATTGTGATAATCAGATTAATGTCTGTTTCTTTTCGTCTTTTAACACACTCTATGATTTTCTCTGATTTTCAGGGTTCTTTTGGAGCACTGCAGAAAATCTGTGAGGACTCATCTGAGCTGTTGGATAGTGATGCTCTGAACAGACCTCTCAACATTATGATCCCCAAATTCCTCCAATTTTTCAAACACTGCAGCCCCAAGATCAGGTCAGTAGAACACTACCTTTGCTGGCTGACTGTCTCTACTAGCAATTAGTCTTTCCTCCTCAGCACACACCACTAGAATCTCCCTGTTGAAATCATCAGTCTGTCTTTTCCTCAGGTCCCATGCTATAGCATGTGTGAACCAGTTCATCATTGGTCGAGCTCAGGCTCTGATGGATAACATAGACACGTTCATTGAGGTGAGTACTTGAAGATTTTGTCAAACATACTCATAAAGGTTTTGATCATTTTCCATCCTGTCATCATGTGAAAACAAGAGTTAGTCAGTTTTTTCCAGTACCTCTCCCTGGACTTGCTTCTAGCTGCTTTCAGACTGATTATGTAATAAAAAATAAACAAGATTTATGTTTAGTTTAAAAGGAAAGAAATTGTTAACAGCAACATGCTGCTAAGCCATCATTTCATTTCACTGATGGTGCAGAAGGAGAGCAGTCATATAATTTTGGCATCTGACCAGCTTTTAGCTGTTTATTTCCAGAGCTTTCAACTGCATCTTGCAGTCTTCCTCAGTGGATGGAGTTGGTCCAGTTTTCACTTGAAAACTTTGGATCTTGGGATTTTTTTTTTGTCAAACAAAAGTAATGTAGCTAATGCAGTTCACAAACGCAGGGTGGGAGTGGCAGGTGGGGTGGGCAGTAGTTACCACCTCTGTTAACCCTTGTCTCCTGTTCAAGTAATTTAAAACACAATGTAAATATGTACTGTGAACGTGGCAAAGCACAACACAATATAGTGCATGTTTGGAAGTTGGTAACATTTTCTCCCCTGCCCTTCCCTCTTCTCTGCCACCCATCCCCTCCCATCCTCTGTCCTTCTCTCCTTGTCCCCTTCCTATCCAGAGTCTGTTTGCACTGGCTGGTGACGAGGACAGTGAGGTGCGGAAGAACGTGTGCAGGGCTCTTGTCATGCTGCTGGAAGTCCGCATTGACCGGCTCATCCCACACATGCACAGCATCATCCAGGTGAGGGCGTGACTGGATCCAACACACCACCTTAAACAGACAACATTTGGCTTTACCTTCCTCCTCCTCCTCCACCTCCACCTCATCATCACCTCTTGTTGTTTTTCACCAGTACATGTTGCAGCGCACCCAAGACCCAGATGAGAATGTTGCTCTGGAGGCCTGTGAGTTCTGGCTGACTCTGGCTGAACAGCCCATCTGCAAAGAGGCCCTCTCTGGCCACTTGGTCCAGTAAGTGCTCACATGCCAATGAGGCTGAGTTAAGGTAATGACAAGATGATGATCTCATTAATAATGTGATTGTCTGTCTCTGTTTCAGACTGATTCCTATCTTGGTGAATGGAATGAAATACTCCGAGATTGACATCATCCTTCTAAAGGTTAGCCACCCCTGGACAAAACAAATGTACCCAGCTTCATATAAATACAAACACATCAACATTCTGCTTTTTCTTCTTGTCTCTTGCTGTTCACCTCTGTCCATTCTACATTCACCTCTCTCTCTGTTGTCTTACAGGGCGACGTTGAAGAGGATGAGACGATTCCAGACAGTGAGCAAGATATCAAACCTCGCTTTCATAAGTCCCGCACCGTCACACTGCAGCACGAAGGAGGGGAGGGCGAGGAGGGGGAGGACATCGATGAAGATGAGGACGATGATGATGATACACTGTCTGACTGGAACTTACGTAAGTTACAGACATGCAGCTGTAGAATTCCTCTGTTGATCATGTGGCAGCTCTTACTCTAAAGTTACCTTCTAACCACATTTGAGCAAGGACTTAATGTTATAGCTCTTTTGTCAACAATAACATTCTACTTCTACCAAAATTTTTCACAGATTATATATATGTGTGTGTGTGTGTGTGTGTGTGTGTGTGGGGATATATCTTATGTTTTTTTACTTCACATGTACACACACTAACAAAGATAATGGGTACAGTTGCATACTTGTTGCAGCTCATTTTAAAAAAAGGTATTAATCAGAACTTTTTTTTCACTATCTCTGGTACCCACTATTTGTCTGACTGTGTTTGTAGTTGCATTCTTTTATGCCATTCCAGAGTTACCTAATGCTTATGGTGATGTGGTATAATATCCTTTCTAGGGAAGTGTTCGGCTGCGGCTCTGGATGTTCTCGCCAACGTGTTTCGTGAGGAGTTGCTGCCCCATCTCCTTCCCCTGCTCAAAGGCCTGCTTTTCCACCCTGACTGGGTCATCAAGGAGTCTGGCATCCTGGTGCTGGGGGCCATCGCTGAGGGTAAGACTCGCTATTAGATACAGAAGTTAAAGGGTATATTTAAAAAGAAAAAACAAAAAAAGATGATTTTTTTGAGATTATTAAGTTTAGATGTTTCACTGAGAGGTTACATGTCAAGATAAGTAGTGAGTTTCTGAAACTTCAGATGCGTCTTGATATTTCTATTGCCGGAAAGCTTGGCTTTATAAAACCTTTTTGTCCTCACAGGCTGTATGCAAGGCATGGTACCTTACTTGCCAGAGCTCATCCCCCACCTTATTCAGTGTTTGTGTGACAAGAAGGCCCTGGTCCGCTCCATTGCCTGCTGGACTCTCAGCCGCTACGCCCACTGGGTGGTCAGCCAGCCCCCTGACGCCCATCTCAAACCCCTCATGACCGAGCTACTCAAACGCATTCTTGATGGCAATAAGAGGGTGCAGGAAGCGGCATGCAGGTACAGCTCTTACTTTGTCCATATGTTCAGATCTCCTGTGTTCTCTCATTTTACGCTCATATATTCTCTTTAACCATCTCATCTTTCCTAAAGTGCATTCGCCACCCTGGAGGAGGAGGCGTGTACAGAGCTGGTGCCTTATCTGAGCTTCATCCTGGACACACTGGTTTTTGCTTTTGGGAAGTATCAGCACAAGAACCTGCTCATTCTTTATGATGCCATAGGAACTCTGGCGGACTCTGTGGGACACCATCTCAACCAGCCTGTGAGCCCCCCCCCAAAAAAAAAACACATCTGTACCCAGCCTTGTTTTGTGTGTAATTTATTGACAGGCCCAACTCACACACTTGTGTTTTTAGGAGTACATACAGAAGCTGATGCCTCCACTGATAGCCAAGTGGAATGAGCTGAAGGATGAAGACAAAGATCTCTTCCCTCTGCTTGAGTGTCTGTCGTCTGTTGCCACGGCGCTGCAGAGTGGCTTCCTCCCCTATTGCGAGCCCGTCTACCAGCGCTGCGTCACCCTGGTCCAGAAGACTCTGGCTCAAGCCATGGTGAGTCACACACACACACACACACACACACACACACTCACTTACTCACACGTGGGCTTGTATTCTGCAAAGGCAATTCATGTTCTTGCTGCTTTACACTTTATCCCATCATCCCACTTCTGACCTTTTACCTTCTCCTCTGTTTGTGTGTCTCAGATGTACAGTCAGCAGCCAGACCAGTACGAGGCACCCGACAAGGATTTCATGATCGTGGCTCTGGATCTTCTCAGTGGCTTGGCTGAGGGACTTGGAGGCCACGTGGACACGCTTGTGGCTCGCAGTAACATCATGACCCTGCTTTTCCAGTGCATGCAGGTGAGGAGAGCCTGTGTGTGTGTCCAACTTGATCTTAAATTTATAATCCCTTGTGTTTGTAATGTTCTGATTTTATTTTGGCAACAGATGTTGTATTTACATTTTGTAATTACCTCTTTGTATAAAAGTTTTCATTGTAAGTGACAGGGTCCACCACTCCTGTGCTGGATTCAAATTGCCTACGCACATACATTGGATTCAGATGAAACAATGTAATGTTACTTCCTTGAAGGAAGCCTCCCTGTGCAGTTATAACACTCTTGTTGTAGTCACTTATATTGAAGTAGCCACAGAAAATGAAATTCTTTATGTCTGCTGATGGTGTGTCTTTACATTTCTCTTTGTCTCTCTGTCTCTTTTGTCCCAGGATACGATGCCTGAAGTAAGGCAGAGTTCATTTGCTCTACTGGGTGACTTGACCAAGGCTTGCTTCCCTCATGTCAAACCGTGTATTGGTAATTATCTTGTTGTGTCCCTCAGTTATACACACACTTACACAGTACAGACACAACATCCCACCATCCTCCATTTTTGTGTCTCTAATGTGATGGTAACATGTTTGTGTGTGCAGCTGAATTCATGCCAATCCTTGGGACAAATCTGAACCCAGAGTTCATCTCTGTCTGCAACAATGCCACCTGGGCTATAGGAGAGATCTGTATGCAGATGGGTGAGTTGCAGCGAATCTATTTTTATGTGATGCTGTTAAGTGCTTGTGCAGTTGAATATGAGATGCTGTGTCTCACTTGAATTTTTCTGCTCTGTCAGGTGTGGAGATGCAGCCGTACATCGCTATGGTTCTGAACCAGCTGGTTGAGATTATTAATCGACCCAACACCCCCAAGACCCTGCTGGAGAACACTGGTATGTGAATACACTGATATTTTTATACTTGTTTTTCAAATGGAAGTAGACAAATTTTAAAGTTAGAACCAGACTGCATTACAGTCAATAGGGGATTTAATGGTTCACATGGTAGAAGGGAGTGCAGTTATTGTCACAGTACTGCACACACACTCTTCTAACAGCAGCCCTGAGTCATTCTCTTTCCTCTTTCAGCAATCACCATTGGTCGACTGGGCTACGTGTGCCCTCAGGAAGTCGCTCCCATGCTGCCGCAGTTTATCCGACCTTGGTGAGAGACTGTTTAAACTCCGGTTCTGTGTCTCTCATTCCTCGCACTATAGCGTCCTTGTGATGTCGTCATTTAATTTGCAACATCTGCACATACATTTTCAGCATTGGCAGTTTCCATATATCACACACTCTGCAGACACATGCTCTCTCCCTCTTATCCACTGTGCTCTTAACACATCACATGATATCCATTCTCTCTCTCCTTCTCCCCCTTTCCATTCTGTGTGTACTTATTTTAGCTTCTCCTTACATGCGAGACTCGTTTGTGGCATTTCTTCCTCCTTGCTTTCTTTAAGTGCTCACATTGCTGCAGAACACAATCACAGCATTACAATAACTGCAATATTGACATTCTCTAAATTAATTCCTGAAATGATTGGAATCAGCAATTAGTGAGATTGAAACACTGAAGTCTGTGATTTTCCTCATCCCTCAAAAAATGACAAATATCCTTTAACACAGAAGGATAATGGCAGTTTGGCTGTTGCCATTTTAATTAACTTTTAGAAATTAGTTTTAGTTCTCTTGTTTTCATGTTGTATAATTTCCAAATGTTCTCTTGTAGACAAGATAAGGGAGTGACAGCAGGAGGTTTAACAGCTTCTGATTGGTTTATTAACGTGTGGCAGGTGTACGTCTCTGCGGAACATCCGAGACAACGAGGAGAAAGACTCGGCCTTCCGCGGGATTTGCATGATGATTGGTGTGAACCCAGGTGGTGTGGTACAGGTGAGACACCCACGGATGTTTTAGGACTTGATCGGGAGACGTTTTACTTTTCAAACCTTCTCACCTTTTCCTCTGTGTTTGTTCAGGACTTCATCTTCTTCTGTGATGCTGTGGCCTCCTGGGTCAATCCTAAAGATGATCTGAGAGACATGTTCTACAAGGTGAGGGTCCGGGTCCAGGTCCAGGTCCAGGTCATATTGAGGAGCGGGATCTTGTGTTTGCGTAACTAGTCCCATCCAAAGACTGATTTTAACTTACCATGAAATCATCACACTCCCCTGCTGTGTGAGTCACTGTGCAGTGTGCTGTGTAGAGACCTCAGGCAGAGCAGAGCGTGTTCATCTTAGTTTAGAGCAGTGAAACTCAGCAAGGCAGACACTTCTCTTGTTCTCTAGAGACATTAGGCACACACACTCCCCCTCAGGAGCTCACCACATGAAGGCCAAAATGCTCTGCCTAAAAAATTTTGAGTCAAATTCACTCTCATAAATACTACAGCCTCGAGAGGCAAAACATTAACATCAGCTCAGTGAACTCTGAAATTCATCACTGTGTCGGGCTTCATTATAAACTCACTGCCAGCTTTAAACTGGGTCGCACTTCACAATCCAGAAATGCATGTATTTACAGTAACAGAGAATTTATGTAATATTCCTGTTGGGATATTTAACCAGTGTGTTGACAGTATAGTGAATCCATAGTAGGCGAAATGAACCTGGTGCTAATATCTTTTCTGTATCACTGCCATTTTACTATTTCTAAACAAAGCAAAACATACTGCTGTGGTTTGCCACAGAAGGTCACCAGTGCTAGTTCCCTCATAAGCCCAGAAACCACCCAGTGCTCCTGTGCTGGGATTACAGATCCTGGCCACAGATCTTCTGGGTGTCATTCAATTTGTTGGAGTTTCATTAAACTCTAATTTATTAAAGCTACACTAGTAAGTATTTTTAGGATGGGTCAAATGACTGTGTGTGATGTGAAACATGTCGCTCATAGTGACAAAAACACAAAGAGAGTAAATGTTGGACTTGTATTTGGAAGTTCACAAGAAATATGGTGACAAATCAATACTAAGAGAGAAATATGGAACATGTAGGTACAATATAAACTGAATTTATAAATGTATTGAAACTAGATTTTGACACAGGCACGTCTACAAGAGACGGACACCAAAGTAGCTATTAATGTAGGACCTGCCTTAGTTGAGATTGTACTTCTGTGGTCAAAATTTAATATCAAAGTTGCAGTTACTCAAATTAACAAAAGCTTTGCTCAGATGGTATTTCAGCCTTGTTGGAGTCAAACAATCAAATGTAGGACTTTGTTGCTTTTATGAGGCCTCAGGAACAGTTGAGGAGGCCGTACAGTAGTCGAAGAAAAAATGATCAACGCCTCTAACTGTAAAAGTGTAAAGTATGTGGCTCAACTGTTTAAGAAGTTGAATACTTTATATATATATTTTTTGTCTTTTTCTGTCCCTCTCCACAGATCCTGCACGGCTTTAAGGAGCAGGTTGGGGAGGAGAACTGGCAGCAGTTCTCAGAGCAGTTCCCCCCACTGCTAAAGGAGAGACTGGCAGCCTGTTACGGTGTTTAGATTCTCTACACCCACCCAAGAGGTAACCCCACGCACACTATTATTTAAAGTCAAAGCAAAGTCATATGGAGGATTATACTTAAGTTAACGTTTTTGTGTCTGCTCTCCCTTTTATCCGTCCTCCTAGGTGAGCCAGCAGGAGGAGGGTGAATGGGAAACTCATCCATCTGTGTATTGCACTGCCCTGATCTGGGGGGAGGGAGAGGGACGCTATTGGCCGCTCCCCCTGACGGACGGCCCCCACGCCCTATGTGTTTGTCCATAGAGGGAGGGTGGGCGGGTGGGAGGGAGGGACAGGGGGACACCTCTAGATTAACTAGGCAGGGACCCGACACAGAAAAACTAACTGGTAGGGACAGATAGAGAGGGACAGAGAGAAGGACATGGAGGAGAGATGGAGGGATAGACAAGTTGAGAAAGAGGGATGCAGGGAAAGAGACCAGCACAGAGAAAGTTCAGGGAAAGAGAGGGAGGGAACTCAATAACAAGGCAGGGAAAAAAGAGCTACAGAACAGTCTGTTACTTGGCTAAGAAGACAGGGACAGTGGAGATTTTAATGGGATTCTTAAACTTAAGAGTAACCAATAGCTTGACCGACAGACAGACCAACGTACACAGACTCACACACATACACTTGCACATGCTGTACATGCAGTACATGGAACTGACTGTGGGTGGCACTATTATTTAGACTTTTTGAGACCTACTACATGTAGTTAGGGACAGACAGGTGTCTAAACTGTTCATTTTCTGGGTGATATCTTTCTTTTCCGGGGAATAGGATTCAATATGAATTACTTCATCTGTAGTCACTGAATTCTACTTATCTGTTAGATAATCTCGCTATCCGCATCTATGTTTCCTACCTTCATTTTGACCAGAGTGCTGCTTCACAGAGCTATCCATCTATCAGACATATTCCTGTCACATTTTCTACCTGAGCAAAGAGAGGAAAAAAAAAAAAAAAAGAGCAAGTGTCTTTCCTTGTGGCTTCACAGAAACCATTCCTCTAGGAAGGGAGGATTAGGGCTAACACATTTGTTTTCTCACCAGAGGGGAGGAAATTGTAGAAAGAAAAATCACATCTTTAGTCGTCTCTGAGGTTTTGTGTGTGTGTGTGTGTGTGTGTGTGTGTGTGTGTGTGTGTGTGTGTGTGTGTGTGTGTGTGTGGCTCGTGTGTGTGTGTGTGCGCGTGTGTGTATGTGTGGGTGTGCGCGTGTGTGTGCGTGTGCGCGCGTGTGTGTGCATGTGCGGTTTGTAAATCCTTACTTTGGCATTCTGTGTTAACAGTGTGTGAAATATGTATTGTTTTTGATATGGTACCGAGCTAAAAACTTGACTCCCACCGCAATGTCCTTGGCACCTGTTAACTGTGACCAAGTGTTTGTGTATGTGCGTGTGTGTATGTATGGGTATGTGTAAGAGTGAGTGTGTATGTGTTTATGTCTACATACGTACTGAATATCCATTTGATGCCATATTGATATCTTAAGTAAAACAGTGATTGGCAATGTCATTGTGATCTTTATAATGTTTTAAAACTGGTCCATATTCTTTTTTTTTTTTTTTTTTCTTTTTTTTGCTGCTACTGATAATTTTTGTTTCTATAGTGGACTTAAATTCGCACAATTAACGCAAGAAATTTTGAATTAATGCTATTTTCAGTGACTGTTGAGTTGTTTTTTGCACTTTTTATTTTATTTTACCATTTCTTTTTTGTATGGACTTTTTTTTAACTTCGCCCATATGATATGTCTTGACCCTAATGTCAGTGTTTGTCATACTGTGTTGCACTGTGAAATTAAGTGTCTTTGACTGGCAAAAATATCCCAATACTAAATGGCAAATAAAAACAACTTTGTGAAACTGCGACTAATCCGCACTTTTACAATGACTAACCATGCCATATTACTGAGGTGTGTGTGTGTGTGTGTGTGTCTGTGTGTACATGTATGCGTGTGTGTGTGTGAGATATTGCATGAGTATGCGCGCATGAGTACCTCCTCTGCCTATGAGCATGTTTTGGATAGTTAGATGGCGTTTATATGACATGTGCACATTGCACCGGTGCAAAGTAATTTTTTTGTTTGAAAGGATATGTAGCCTGCCTTAGCCTACTTTTGTGTGCATGCTCTGTGTCTGTGTTTCCACTCTGTGTGTGCGAATGTGTGTGCGCAATGGCGTATGTTTGACGTATATTCCAGAGTAATATGATCACCCTTTACACACCAACACACCACCTCAATTCAGAATGAGAGGGGAGCACAGTATGCTAAAAGAATAAGAGCTAGGACACTGCCAAAGAGCAAAAGCCACTGAAATTTAACCACAGACAATAAATAGAGACAAGCTGCTATTTCAATATTCAATAAGTGATGAAGTACAGGCTTTGTAGGGCTTTTTAGATTAATCATGGAATATGAGTTGACTAAAGAATTGACTACAGGGATCTATATTTTTTCACTCTTCTCCAGCATGTAGACATTTGGAAACAGACAAACATTGGCACTTGATTTGACCTAGACTGTGACCACTGAGATAATCAGACCAATCATTTCACACGTCAAATACAAAGACAATCTGAAACCCAGTCCAGTTCTATTTCCACAGTATCTTAGTTCACAGCTTGTATGAGGAAATGTTTTCGGTTGCTCGTTAATTTTAGTGCTTTATTTTTTATTCGTGTAACAGATGTTTTTGGTTTCATGATTAAGGTTCTTTTTTTCTATCTGAAAGGTCAGTGTACATTTTCTTTGGATGATGCTGTTGTAGTCTGCTTCAGTGACAGATTCATGAATGCAGTGAGTTTGAAGGAAAGGAGGGTCGCGGAGGGTTTTTGAATAGGTGTTAAAATAGATGGGAACAAAGGAGGAATGAAAAGAGATGGAGGAGGAATAATTTTTTTCTAAATTCTGTTTATATAATAAAGAGCATGATATTGTTGCAATTTGGCAGAACGACATTGGTACTTTTTGTTTTTTCTGTGAATTAAATTCACCAGTCGTGACCCCTTTTTTTGAAGGTGGGAATGGAAATAAAATGCTTTTATTATATGATCTATAGTTTATGTGTGTAAAATCTCTCAAACATCCAGCTGGATTGTGGATTCTTGAAATAAATCATGTCATGCATGCTGAAGGCTGGGTGCTTGAGTTGCCAGTCTGATGTCTTTTGTCAGAAGATGACGGGATGAGGTGTAATGTACCTTTAAAAAGAATAGCCATCCTCATGGTTAATACGTCTAATAATAAGACTAATTGAACGTAGAGTTACATTCAGCCTCTAGGATGTTTCCTGTTTCTGTGTATGTCAACATGTAAAAATCCCACAAAATACACACTTAACACAATAATCGAGCTACGCTGAGATTAGTCACTGTAAATCTCTGCACGTGCGCAGCAGCAACTGATTCACCAACTCCATCCTCATTCTGAAATATAACTCTTGTGTTTCCTCCCAAAACTGAGCAGCCGCCTCCAGCTGTTTCTCTTATATCCAGCCATGAGATATCACTGGACATATGACTGAACTCAGAACGTGGCCGGATCACCTGGAACCACTACCACAGGAACTCTGGACCGACAAATTAGCTGTGTGTGTGTGTGTGTGTGTGTGTGTGTGTGTGTGTGTGTGTGTGTGTGTGTGTGTGTGTGTGTGTGTGTGAGAGAGAGAAGTAGAAGAAGCAAACTCTGCGGTGCTGCTGTGTGTCTGTCTGTCTGCAGATAAAAGTATTGTATGATATGCAAAACTCTTAATGCAAAGAGCCAAACAGACATTTAAACACACACTGCCAATTCACATGCAAATCACATGCTCAGTCCTGAGAATACACTCACCTCGTTTTAGCACAAATTCAACTCTTATTACTAAACATACAGATCACTGATTGATCAATGCAAGATGACTTTGCAGCATAACTGCTAATTACTTCACCAAATGGATAGAAGTGGTGGAAAGAAAAATCAATAGAAAAAAAAGCAAATTGTTTTCTTTTGATTGCTGTGAAGACAATAACATTTTAAGATTTCTGCACGCTGAATTTCTGTTGGAGCCAAAGTAATTGTATAATGCAACATTCTTTATGAGGTTTGTGTGTTTCTGAGAAAGAAATCTCTCTTTGAGTCAACTCTTAGTCTCTGAGGCCACATAAACAATGTCAATAAGCTGTGGGTCTGTCACAAATCTCATTCATTTTCAGCACCATAATTACAGGCCTCTCTTACAATGGAGATAATCTTTTTGTCCCTACCTTTATATTACTTGTTTACCCTGAAGCTTTGGGTGGAGCTGGGGTACAGTGAGTTCAGGAAAATCCCTCAGTTGAGTCCTCCTCACCTGTGTCACTGTCTCCATGTATATATATATATACATATATCACCTCTGTATTTGGATAACTAAAGCAAACACCATCTGATACAATGACAAAGCTGGCAATTTTTTGAGGGATAAAAAAATTAGGACACAGGAGTCAGGGGTAATATCCGTAAGCATATATATTGAATGTCTGTTTTATAGCAGCTGTATAAACTGATATGAACAGGCTTTTCCTGTTCAGCAGGTGTCTTTATTTGGCTTTTTGTTCATGTGCCAGTGAATGTTACTGTCTGAGTAAAGGTGACATGTCTTTAACGCCACTCCTAGTGACCAAAGATGAGTCTTTGTTCTGATATGAATTAAAGTTCAAACTCAGACAGTGACAAAGTAAGTACGTTTCTATCCTCAGCTGAGATCTTACATTTTCCAGCAGATCACTTACAAACAGATGCACAGTGACAAGAATCAAAGAGCACCAAGTCTTGAAAACATAATCATCCATAATGGCTAGGTTGCTGGTAGCTGAGGATGTTAGCTGGTGATGATATGGACCAAAGTGAATATAACTTGAAAAAGTACCTGCCTGGTGAGCCTGTAGACTTGACTGGACGGTTACACACTCAAAACTTGATACTGAAACTATGTTCTTTGGTAAGACAGGGCAAGGTGCAGGATTCATGGAAAGCTCCTCATACCACAGGGTTTGCCAATTAGTTAGTTACTCTTGGTAAGACTGGTGGAGCCAGATAAACATTGATAGTGGTTTGACAACTGAGAGGGCATGGCATTCAAATGAAGTTGCCTACAACTACATTGGCTGGCCAGTTAGCCAATGTAGTTTAATTTGAGCAGATACAATGTAGATATTAAGCTGGTTCATGCTGCTGAGTATCTGCTCTTTGCCTAGGGGAGTGTAGGATTCAAAGCTAGTTTAAAGGTCCCATATTGTAGAAAGTGAGATTTCCATGTGTTTTTTGATTATAGATCAGGTCTTGGTTCTATATTAATATCGTGAAAGTATCAAAGCCTCAGTCCACAGAGAAATGCACACAGCCTGTATTCAGAAACTGAGCCTTATAACCAGCCGTCAGGACTTCCGTAACTTTGTGATGTCACAACAAAGTAGTCACCGCTCTCAGACATACCCCAAGCCCCGCCCACTTGGACCTGCCGTCCAACCTTGCAGGATTTGATTTCCCTGAAATCTATATACATTTTTATTTGATCACTCAAAAAACACTCAGCCAATCAGCAAAGAGGCTCAGAGCCTCTGGGTTTACTAGAGCTCCAGAGAGAAGCCTGACTAGGGGGATGTAAAACTACACTGAGATGATTTTTAGTGCTTAAAACCACAAATATACGGCATCTTTTTCTGGATATCAAAACTTCAAATAAAACACCAGAAAAGTATCAAATATGGGACCTTTAAGTTAATTCAGGGCTAGAAAATGATATTATCTGTCAGGGTCAAGTAGATTTATGACAACACATCCTGAGGCACAGCCTAGTGATAGGTTAAAACGCGATAGGGTTTTTCAGCCACATTTTACTTTATATTTTGATAACTAATCTGGCATTTTACACATATTCTGAATGTTTATTTCACGTTGTGGGAAGTAGTCAGAAGGTGTACAGTTTTTTCTATCTAGTCCACAATTTGTCTTTTAAATATTTTTCCTTTTCAGAAATCACTGACATTTAAGAGAAGCACTGAGGTGATCAAACATACATATCATAACTTAACCTCTCCCATTTCCTCTGTATTTGCATTTAAAGGTATGCACTACATTAAACTGGCAAACAAAATATTATTACAGAGAAAACTATTGCAGGATGTTGAGCTCATAGTAAACTGAAAAGACATGAAACTTACTTCAAAAAAGTTAAATCTACAGAGGTTACAACAGAAAAACATACCTGTAGCAAATATGGCCCAAATTCAGACACATGCTGATTATATCACTGACACACAAACAGAAGTGCATATCGGCTATAGACTCATAGTCACTACTCATGGCTCAGAAATGACTATGGTTTAATAAAGAGAAACACTGTGCAGTGACCACGCACCATTTCATTTGACAAGTCTCTCAATTGATGCTCTGCCAGTCATTGCTGTCCTTGTTGCATGCAGTGTGTTGTACGTTTATGAAACATCCATAATGTCCTTGTCCTTACAGATACTGTAAAGTAAGTATCTAGAGAATACTATTTGATATCTTACAGTGAGTTTTTATACAGAACAGAATTTAAGAATATTACTATGTGAATGTTACTACCTGCAAGATGGAGGTACTGTGCTTATGATTACAATATCAACAGTAAGGAATCATGTTATTAGTCCTCGTTCTATGTCATTCTCCTGCTTCCTCTGTTTTTTTTCTCCATGCATTCTAGGGTCAGAAGTTGCTGAAGATCTCTTGTTTCTTGCTCCAGTCCATAGGGGGCGCTCTCTTCTTGTTGCGGCTGGCGAGGGCCTTTTGTTTAGCCTCAGCAGCCGTAGGACTCAGACGGAGGCCACCGTCAACGAAAGGGTCCGACACACGCCTGTCCTCCTCATCAGGGACCTACAATACACACAAACATATATGTTTTATGCACACACTTATCAGCTTCTCATTCCCCGACTATTTTCTTGGCTTCTTATGTAATTGCTATCTCAAACACACACACACCCCCTCTCTCACCTGGATGCTCATGTCTGAGCTGCTGATCTCTGACTGAGTGGTGGAGCTTCTAGAGGACTGGGATGCTGAGCTCCCATTAGTGCGGGATTTTGGAGACATCTTTGTGATTGGAGAGTCTGTCAGTGTGACATTTATGACTGGTGGATCTGTGGCAGGGAGTTCAGTGGTAGGAGAAGGGGTGGGTGGGGCACTTTCTGTGGCTGATTCGTCCACATAGACCTCTGCGAGAAAATAAGCAGAGGACACATCATTAAGAATGATGGCAGGAGAGTAAAAAGAATTGTTTGTATCTGTCTATGGGTGTGTACTATGACACCTTGGACATGGCTGGCGATGGGTGAGATCCCCAGTCTGTGGAAGAGCTCGTCGGTTTCCTGGTCGACCACGAGGAGGCGGACTTCCTCCCCTCCTGCTCTAATGAGGGCCACAACCTCTGAGTGCCTCAGTCCATCTATGTTCACTCCATTCACCTGAGACAGAGAGAGGGAGACGTCAGAGCAAACAGAAAACGTGGAGTAAAGGGAAGATGAAAAAGAGAAAAGTTGCAGAGAAAATAAATGAGACAGGCAGGGCAAGGATTAGGGAGTAGCCATATCACAACATGACAAACAAGAGGTACAGTATGTCTGGTCTAAAAGATCAAAAGCAGATTAGAAGGGAACTGATTTGCATGAATTCCCTTCCTGCCTGCACATAACAGTAACTGTGCACTTCATACAGATGGAAACGAAAGTCAAGCCTGTGACACACATGCAAGCACACATAAATGTCCGCATAAAAAGACACAGAATTATCTAAGATCAAGATTATCCCATGTCGTCTTTTCTTCCTTTCCCTCTTTAAACAGGACCTCCCTCTCCCACCCACTCTAATCTTGAGTCCAGTTAATCTGCTCTAATCCAATCACAGCACCTCAACATGGGGAGTTAAACAACTGGGTCCGGCATTTCAGCCAACACAGACTTGATAATGTCAGTGTTAAATCTTGTTGATATAAATCAACTGCTTTGACATATCGTCTAGGTATTGCTTTGTCATTGTAAACTGTATGCCAGATCATTGTGTGTGAATTCAAACCTGCTTTACTCAGTAATCACAGCTGTATTTGGAAGCTGTCTAATGTGCTGCCATTGCTTATAGTTGGCTTACTTTCTCAGACCCACCCTCTGTGTCTGTAAGCATTAAACACTGAGCACTGAGCAAACTTCTGAAAAAGACTTTGAAGGCTTTCTTCAACAACCTCCACTAGTCTGTCTCCAGGCCGGATGTCCGCGCTCTCAGCTGCTGAGCCGGGGTCCACAGAACGTACAAACTGTCCACACTTTGTCTTATCGCTGTGCAGGTTGAAGCCGTAGCCCTGCTCCCCCTTCACCAGGTGACACAGTCGCGGTAAGAGCTCAGTTCTCGGCTCTGGTGAGGGCTCTACCTGCAGCTATAATAGGACACAAGACAACAACAAAGTCTAAGATGAGAACTTTACAAAAACAAAATATCAGAGAAGGTAGATCTAAATCAATCTGATACAATTACTCCGATCTGTGTTAACCCCATAATGAAAGAAGTGCTGATTTGAATGTCCATACCAGAGATTTAGGATTTCTTAGCGCATTTACCATTTATCACACACAATATACTTTATATCACAATTCTCTGTTTAGAAAATCATGCTCTGATGTGTTTTCCCTCTTTTCCAGCCAGCGACTGGTTTTATTTCATGTCCATGTGATATTAAACTCACTTAACACACCTGAAGCTTGCTTCAATCCACTACAGTGTTTTCAGCCAACATTACATCAGTTTATGGTAATGCAGTTTAAATTCAGATTGACTTGAACTGTTAGCACTGCTTTATCATGCAAATATAATATAAACTTAATAAACTTTAAACTTATAAAATTAATTATAAACTTAACATAAAAATCAGTGCAGCCTTGATGTTCATTTCGATGGATTATACAACTGAAGTGCCTGTTTATTATATCAGGGAAATTAATGTGTGTGACATGCATTTGAAGATTTTAAGACTGTATGATTTGTTTCTAAGCAGTTAAAACTCTGGGAAGGTCCTTTAAGAGTCTGATGATTTTGAAGTGTGTAGTTTGTGGTGATGTGGCATTGGACTGCGCTGAACACAACATGATGCAATACAACACTACAACCACCACTAATTATGGCCTCAAACATGACCGTAGAGTTTGATCAACACCTTTGTGACACAGAGTCAACAAGAGCTGAACATCCGGAGCTTCACAGTGAAAGGAGTTACTGCAGGGCTGTTGTGGGATTGGAGTAGATTGTGCAGGTTAGGGGTGGGCAATAATTAAATATTGCATATTAACTTTCAGTACAATTGTTTTTCATAACAATATGATCACATCATATTATCTTTTAACAAGATTACTTTGTCTAAATGAGCGATTCAACAAATAAAAAGAGGTCATTGCAGTTTTTGTTTTACATGTATGAAGAGTTTTGTCTATTGTATCGCATATTTGATTTTGCATATGTTTGCCACATTGTGATACACATTGATATAGGAAGAATATTCTTCTACAAATGTACGGTGGTGTGGCTGTACTATGAGTTAATCAGGAGAAAGTGGTTGCCGGGACGAGCCAGTGGTCTTAGAGCTGAGCAGAGTGGGCTAAGTGGATCTGGCTGAGACACATTAAGACCGACTCTGAGCCTGATGATCACTGACAAGAGTTGACACATTGCATGACTCACCTGCCCGACTGAACCTGTGCGCCGACTCCTCGGTACATGCTGGCTGTGTGTGTATGTGTGTTTTAGTGTGTTTTCTTCGGTAGGACCATGGATTAGTCCGTGTCCTGACGGCAGCCCAGGATAGTGACTGTCTAGCAACACTGCTGTGACTGCGCCTTCATGGGTAAGTTGACCTGAGGGCTTTCTGACAGATCTCCATGTCCTTTCTGCTCCATCAAGAAAGGTTCAATGTACACACGCACGCACACACGCTCTCACACACACACACACACACACACACACACACACACACACACACACACACACACACACACACACACACACACACGCACAAAGATGGAAAGAGTGGCCAGAGTTCCAGCTGTAGTAGTGGAACAGAACACCTTGGTAACCTATCGCCACTGGTTCCAGGTCAGGTTGCTGTGGTGATGGGTTACCATATCCCCTACTGATTTTAAACATCTCTGTTGATATCGCTGGCCTGTTTACTATATTTACCAGGTCGGCCCAAATTAATCAACACATGCACGCCGCACACGCAAACACACACACACACACACACACACACACACACACCATGCTGACCTGGAAATACTGTAGCTAAGCTGATCTATTTGAGGACCTCATGTGATTTTTCTACAGATACAGTATTTCCATCTTGTGGTCTTGATAATCAGAACAGTTACGGTGGAAACTATTTGTAGATTAATCAATTAGTTAAACAACAAAGTTCAACAATAAATTAATCGATTACTCTTTTAGGAACAGATTAATCTTTTCCAAGCCAAAATCCCACATTCACAGGATCCATTTTCTTAAATGTGAGAATTTGCTGCTTATCTTTATTTCATAATATTATAAATAAATAAAATATCTTTAGGGTTTGAATTATTTTGATGGACAAAACAAGAAATTTGAAGATGACATGGCATTTTTCACTATAATTTTTCACTATTCTATAGACCAAAGTATTAATTGATTAATCGAGACAGAAATCTGCATGTTAATCAACGATGAAAATGATCATTAGTTGCAGCAATGTTATCAATAAAGTACCAGTAATTTAATATAGCTTTTTTTCCAACACTTTAAATGGCTTTTGCATTTAATTTATTTTGCAAAATTGTCTCTACAGTGTTATTTTTGTCCCATTTTCTGATACTACTTTATGGATCCTGTTAAAAATTGCTGAAATTAATCTTACACAGGGAGGTTAGTGGAAGTTTTTCATTTGTGTGTGAGTGAAGTGTGTGTGACTGAGTCAGACTGTTGCGTGGCTGCGATAGCAGCCAACACTGCGCTTACATAAGAATTCTGTATATGGGCATCTGCTGCCATAATAACATCATGCAACGATGAAACTGCGTCTGTATTTATATGTACAGGGATGTGAATGTCAGTCACAAGACGAATGGCACAGAAGTGGAGAGAAAGAGATTATGTGTGTGTGTGTGTGTGTCTTTTGTAGGATTGGCAAGTACATGAAAAGCACAAGGCTTCAATGCCGTTGGTCTGGGATTAATATGCCATAATGGTTCCCTAATCTGAGCTGCTCAATTAGAGGTCAAAAATAATCACTCACATACTCAGCACTCATTGAAAAGGTCTAGAAAATCATGCCATCATTTTATGTATGGTCATTATATTTTAATGGGTTTAGAAAGTGACAAAAAATGAATGTCTGCCAAAAAAGCAGAAGCAAGGAAACCACAGGAACCATAAATTGCATAGATTGTAGACTCTAAACTCTGCCCTGGTGTATTCTAGGGTCCCATGTTACTCCATGCAGAGGAGGTGGACACAATAACACCAGCACAATATAATGCAATTCATCACAAGAGCCCTGTGACACATTTCTAAAACATACAAAGTTAAGTTTTGGTTGAGGCGGTCGGCTCACATTTCACAGTTGGTGGTGATGTCACAGATTGCACCGTGTTGTAGAGGTGCTGCTGTTATTACATGTGATATTGTTTTATCTGAACCTTTTTACTAAAACTGGGAACAAGAGCTGTGATGGCCAGCCAAGGGGCAGCCTGTATTTACTCTGCCGTCGGCTAAACAGATGGCAGTTTGACGTGAGCTGCTGGTCCTGAGGATCCTGGTCCACTTTGTTTGGAGCCCAAACACTGAACTCAGTCTCTGACAGTCAGTTCCCGGTTATTTTTGCTGCCAGACGTCACAGCGATGTCTAGGGGGCACTTGTGGAAATTTGTTTTTGTTGTTGCATCATGCGTACTGGCTCGGAAATTTTGAGTTTTTGTGTATTTTGTGCACATTAATAAAATTTCTAGAGCGAACCAAAGAATGTTTCTTGCTATGCCTACCCCCCCCCCCCCCCCCCCCCCCCCCCTTTTTTTTTAATTTTTTTTAGCTGTCAGAGATGTGCCTCAGTGAGATTATGTGCCTCAGGCCCAAAATAAACAACATAAATAGATTACAATACCTATGTTCAAGCATTTGCTTGTACAACATTGCTATCTTAAAATCTGGTCCCTCCCATGTCTGCTTACTTTCCCTCCAGCAGACACTGACAGCCTGTGATATGAAAACCCACTCAAATTAAAGTTGAGCACAGACGATGAGTGATAAAATCTGAACTCACCTTGGATAGAGCTGACTGTCAAAATAAGAGCCCTGGGCAGAAAGAAGTCTGAGATTCTAACTAGTCAGATGAAAAAGTGTTTTTGAAACTCTTTATCTGACTCTTTATAGCTCTGTTTACAAAACAGGGGGAACAACGTTTTAAGTCAACTCTCAGTGAAGTGAGTATGTGGTTTACACCTCCACCTAGTGCAATCACTCTCACGCTATCTCTCCAAAATGACCATTCACTTTGACGAAACAATACCTATAGTGTCTTTGCAGGAAACACAGTCAGCTGAGTAGGGTTTTGTCTCAGCTGTCTGCAGTCAGGTGGCAACAACCCTGCAGCTAAATGTGTGAGGTGCTGAATCTCAGTACGTTCTCTTTAAATACAATGTGTTTTAAATATTCGCACCACTTCGAAACTTCAGTGTCTTGTAAATGGATGAAACAGTGGGTTCAGATTATATTTGAGCAGATGTGTGAATGACAGGAAAAGCTACCAACAGGACAATTAAACCCACTGTTGCACTTTGGTGGAGAGGAGGTGAGAAATCCTCTTTACACTGCTGTAATTACACAATTTTTTTTTCACTGTTTTATTCAGTTATTCACTCTTTTCATTCTCTGCAGAATCCCTTTTCAGATATGGACAACAATGGAATGTACAGCCTAATTCTGACTGGAGGAAAAGGGATTGTGTAGTGTTTTTGTGCTTTGTGTGTAGGTATTATCTATCTGAATAAACCAAAAAATAATGAATCCAAACCACAAAATAGTGATTAATATCCTTTCAAACAGCCTATTAGACTTTTACTTGCAACCCCACCTAAGTGACCTGACTTCGATGTTTTCTGAACCTTGTGGCTTCAGTTAATTTTTTTTTCTTTTTTCCCCACTTTGTCTCTCCTCCTCAGCGCATGTTTCTGTCCTGTTTTTTAGTTCTCAGTCCCACCTGTTAAGAGAAGAGTCTTTCTAAAAGCACCGCTGTGAGACTGAATCCAGCCAACAGGCCGGCCAAGTGCTCAAGACCAGATTAGTGCTTGACAGACATCAGGTAAAAGAGTGTGTGCTCAGTGTCGCACACAATCTTAACACAGTAACACACTGGTTCACTGCTGGCAGCCGCAGTGACCAACTAACCATTTGGACTCTTCTGATAAAAAACTATGCAGATAATCCATGAGCCCTCTGAATTTTTTGACATTTCAAAGTGTCAGTGATCTCCAGCCTTACCTCTGTGTCAGTTGCTGTACTTGATGTCACTGAGGATCTCTTGACCTTGCCTTGTGTGATCATGTGAGTAGGTGAGTCTGCAGCAGCAGGGTGAGATGAGTGTGTGTGGTTGGGTTTGGGTGACAGGGGTGAAGTCTCTCTGGGTATGGGAGAGGAGGAAGGGGTGGGCCCCGGTGAGGGACGCGGGGAGAGGTTTCCCATCTCAATGGCTAGGTCCTCCGTGCAAGCCTGGCCGAGGCTGCGGAGGTGGTCATCCGTGTCTCTGTCCACCACCAGCAGCCTGGTGCGGTGGGGCACATCTCGGATACGATTCACCACCTGCAGAGAGGGCAGAGGGGAGCATTAAGAAAAATGAAAAAGATGAGTGTGGTGTTATGTTGTGCACCCTGAACTGGCCTGCACATAACATACTTTTAGCATGACAAAGACACCCAGTCATTCCCATTACACAAGGCTCACATTGACCCATTTAAGTGGCCCCCCTCCTCCTCCTCAGGCAAAGGAGAAAGTGGTCCAACAGGTATGGAGCTCATTGTTTGTACCTGGGAGAGTTTGTGTGCCTCTCTCCACAAACACACACCTCTGATTTTATTTTCATTTTCATTTATTGAGCCATCACTCACTTGATGGTGGGGTTCGTTCTCCACATTCTCCCCGTTCACCTCCACCACCCGATCTCCTGGTCTCAACCCGGCCAGGTCAGCCGAGGAGCCGGGCTCCACTTTGCGGATGAACTGTCCGCCTCTATTCCGTTCACCGTGCAGGTGAAACCCATAGCCGCGCTCTCCCATGGTCAGGAAACACAGCCTGGGTCTCAGCTCACTCTCCATCCCAGCGCGTCTATAGGAGGAAAACAGGTCAAAGTGTCTCAGGAGAATAAACAGGTGCCTGGTCCAGGAGCTGTGGAAAGTCTGTGGCTCTTAATCCAACATACGGCTGCGCGCTTCAGTGACCAAAAGTTCATCATCGTTTAGCATGATGCGAGTCCATTAATGATCCACAATTGTTCGGCGAGAACAAACCAAAAAGTAGGCTAAAACTAATGAGTGTTTAATCCATCATGCAAATGCAAGGGGCGCAGCTATGACCGCACAAAAACGCCGCGCAGCGTGCGTAAAATAGTGGCCAAAAACCACGGACTGGGGCTAAGTCCCGTCCATTGGAGGAGTAATCCAAGAGATCAGAGATTAGAAAGCTGTTCTTCGCACGTAACACTTAATTCTCCTCGTCAGCTGGGCTTGTGTCCTCTTGTCCGCAACGGTGAGAGAGTGAAGAGGCGTCAACAACAGATGCCACTATACCCCCCCACCCCACCCCCCACCGTCCCGGCGCCCTCCCCCAGTCACTTCAGCGCACACCTGACGACTCGGCGCAGCCGCGCTTTTCTGGCAGAAAACGGCAACCTGCAAGAGTACAGCTGTGAGGAGTTACTACAAAGAAACATGATTTGTTTGTGGATGAAATGAGTCCGCAGAGCGACAGCCAAGGTGCACTTTACTGAAATACGTCCGACAAGTGAGCGACAGTGTAATGCCCAGGACATTTGCTCCTGTTACAGCCCCTCTGGAGAGACGGAATCTTCCTCCAGGTGGTGGAGGTGAAACCAGACTGTGACCTGAGAACGGAAATCTTCCTTATCCGCCCTCTATCCCTATCTTCGCTGGAGATCAATAAAGGGACGGTTGCGTAAAAGGGGATTTAACGTTTCATGAAATATAAGCTTTCCTTGTCCTTGTAATGTGGCAGCACAGGCGTGCAGGCGCTTATCTATTTAAAAAGTATCCTGTTAAGCAAACAGTAGCTATCTCATGTAATTCAGGACAACTAAGTGCAAGGGCGTGTGTTCTTAATATTCAGATCAGGAAAGATGAGACATGCACGAGGAAAATATCTGTGCAGATTTCTACCCACAGCTGGATTAATGCTTTTCCAGTGGCAGTAATCCTCAACACTGTTGATTGAGTAACACATCAGATCCACACACAAGTGGTGAAATATTAAATGATTGCCTCTGGGTCACCTATGTCAGCTGCTTTTAAGCAAGGTACCCACCCAGCTGCAGAACCTGCCAGCTCATTGCATATGTGTGTGACTTGCTCAGTCAGCTCTCTCTGGGTTAAGAACATCATTACAAAATAACAACCAACACCAAACAACTGACTAACTAAAATAACCAAATTAAAAACTTAAGGATACTGTCACAAATATGTGCATGTCTAACATTTTACAGTGGCTTCTGATCTGTATCAGAATTCTCTGTATAAGACATTTTGTTGGAGCAAGATAAACTCAGGTGTAACTAACAACATTAACATGGCTCTGTTCCGCATCTAAGTGTCCCAGTGAGCCATGGCAGTCAGCCAGCATGCACAATACCAGGAGCTCAGGCGCACCTAATAGGATGCAGTCCTTATTGTTATTAATTACACTTGTGCTCTTCCTGCTAAAAGTCTAGTACTCTGTTGGGAGGTGTTATACCAAACAAGCTCTGCATAGTAATGAAAGTCTTTGCCATAAATAATATAAAGGGTTTATGACTATTACATAACAGAGTAAATATTTATAGTTGTAAAAAAGTATTAGTATAGTTTAAAAAAAAAGGTTCACAATTTTTAAGGCTGTCTTAAAACAATAGACAGCCTTGAAAATGGACTAATGTCAATACATAACAAGGACTGTGGATTTTGTTCCCCATCACTTACACTGTAAGTGCATTAGAAATGGAGGTTTTAATGGCAAGTATGAGCAGATTACAGCAGGCAAAACCTGTTTCCATGTTCATGTGAGCACCTGGCTGCTGTATTAAAACAGGTTTGAAAAATTATGAATGTATCCTTTAAGCAGGTACCGCTGATTAATATCATGTAACCAGCAGTTGTGAAATATCTTAAGTGGTAATCAGGCTGCACAGATGCAGTCATGTCATTATAAAAAGATGGTGTGTTTGAACCAACACGATAATGTTGTTGATAATGTGTTTGGTCAGTTCTTTTGACTTAGGCCAAATACAAAAAATAAATACAACCAGCTTCCATGAGAAATATTTCATTGAGACTACTTACTGTCTTTAGTATATTTGTATGTTGTTTATTTGGTTCATGTTGTTTCATTTTAAGTGCAGTATAATAAAGTACATTCCAGGTGCATAAAACACTAACAGAAATGGGTTTGCTGGTGATGCACTGAAATAACATAATTTTGAAGTTCATGTTCTTGTTATTTTTCCTCAATATGCAACAGGCAAAGTCCCTCTATTGGAGTCAATGGCAGACTTGAAATTAAAGACCTTTAAATTCAGTTTCAGAACATACATTTTTTAATTGGTAAAAAAAAGTTTAGCACTAACAGTACAAAAATATCTAATCTAATATGAAATGTAAATTAACCATCTTCATAATGTGTAGCTTATATGTGTGTTTTCAATGTATATGCGTCTTTGTGTCAAACATGTGTTCACAGCTCAGACAAAAACTTATGTGATGGCTGAATTAATAGTTAACCTTAGTTTTTAGCCTCCTTCTCTGTCTGGTGGGGGAAACAGGTGTGGGCAGTGACTCCTCCTTTGTCCTGTCATCTTTAGCAGCAGAGTTCTGTCCAGATTCAGTTTTTATTTTAAGGGAGGAAGTTGGGTCCGGGGAGCGTGGGGATCTAGCTTTAGGCCTCTTTGTAGGAGAGTTCTTGTGGGCTGACGGACAGCTGTGCTGGTTCAGACACACTGAACAGAGCGGGTTGACGGGTAGACAAACCTGCTGTCCAAAACCCACCAGCAGCCAGTTGATCTCACTCCACAGCTCCCTGCAAAAGAGTATGAGAGGTAACTTTAAACTTTTTAAACCACTCAGGGGAAGGGCAATCGATTCCTGAAGGAAAGTTTAAACTTTTTATTGGCTGTAAAACCATCAAACAGAAATGAAAGAAACCAAAAAACTCTGTAGAGTTGAGGAGAACTTCAGATCTCATTGCATGTAGTCAATAGCTGCTGGAGATGGCTAATTAAAGAAATAGATGCTCGATTTTTCATATAATAATTTCAATAAATTACATTTGTATCAGCTCTACAGCAAAAATAATAACGCTGAAATTGCATTTAGGTGAAGAAAATTGTTCAAATTTACACAAACTATTGTAAACTATAGTGTTTTGAACAACCAGAAGCTACTTCTCATGTTTTAATTGGATAATAACATAGCTGTCAGGGACAGACATGAATACAGTACAGCTGAAAATTATTTTGCAGGTGATGGATTCACCCTTCCTCACCATTAACTACTAAATTACCAAGTTGTAAGTTTTCCTGATTTTAATTGTAAGAGTTACTTAGTATCAGTGAACACATCACGTGATGAAGAGCTCTTGTCACTTACCAAAGTCAGTGATTTACTGTATGTTTCTAGGTCAATCTTGGTGATTCTGATATTTATAGATTTGTTGGCCCCTGCTAATCAGGATGTGCAGGTCAGCAGCAGTGAATTAGTCATGCTGTTACCTGGGTAACCACTCCTCCAGGGCCTTGCGTGTTTCCTCCGGGTTTTTGGTTGGCTTCTTGAGCCAGCCCAGCCTATTGGAGATGCGATGCACGTGTGTGTCCACACCTAAACGAAAGATCAACACCATCAATCAGAGCAGGCACACACACATTTGTAATTTTGAAAAAATGTAAATGTAATGTGGACTCACTATGTTGCACAAACTCAGTCTGTTCACACAATTTCAAATATGCAGTAGCTTTACTTTTTCTATTTAATCTGGTATTTTTCTATGCTGTAACTTCATCAACTGTAAATTCCTTGGCGACACAACAACACCATTGGCCTCAGTGCAGTCTAACAAGCTACTGATTTTAGTAATGTATCAAATAGAGCTGGAAACAGAGAAGTAATCATATAACATTATATATAATCATAGGTTATCAAAATAGAAAATCAATTTTATAGCTATATTGAAGATTAATCATCACTTATGCAAAAACAACAAACATTACCTCATTCCAGTTTAATCAGTTGTGAGGGTTTTCTACTTTTCTTTGTTTAATGTTACATAAAAACTGTTTTTGTTGGATTTTGGCATGTTGGTCTACAAAACGAGCACTATGAAGACATTGCCTTGGGCTTCAGGAAATTGTTTATTAAATTGAAAATTGTTATTTTCTGACATTTTATAGACAAAGCAATTGATCTAATCATCTGTTGCGGCCTTAAGTGCTTATCTACTGTAGGCGGTGTATGGAAGAGTTCACAAGCAAAAGACAATAAAAAGGCTTCTGATTTCTTTTCTTTTTTTTATTTCTTAAAGAAACTTGCACAAACAAAGCAAATATTACTTTGCTTCATTAATATGAAAATACTAAATTCATCACATAATATGGTAATAACGCTGTGGTAAAATAGTGTGCAGGGACGGAGGTGCTCTGACATGTTTCCTTACCAGAAGTCTCTACAGATATCTATAATATCAAGCTGGAAGGGATGGGGGTGGATCCCTGCTTCACGTCCTGGATTGTGGATTACCTGACAAGACGACCACAGTACGTCAGGCTGGGTAACTATGTCTCAGGGACAGTGATGAGCAGCACTGGGGCTCCACAGGGAACTGTTCTGGCTCTGTTCCTGTTCACCCTGTGTACGGCCGACTTCAAATACAACTCTGAGTCCTGCCACATCCAGAAATACTCGGATGACACAGCTATTGTGGTGTGTATCAGGAACAGGCAGGAAGAGGAGTACAGGGATCTGACGATGGCCTTCAGTGAATGGAGCAACAGGAACTGCCTCCTTCTGAACACCTCCAAGACCAAGGAGATGGTCATGGACTTTCGGAGGTCTAGGCCCACCCTTCAGCCAGTCAACATTCGAGGGAAGGACATTGAGGTGGTGCACACTTATAAATACCTAGGTGTGCACCTGGACAGTAAACTGGACTGGTCCCTGAACTCGAATGCCATCTACCTGAAGGGGCAGAGCCGGCTCTTTTTCCTCAGGAGGCTCAGGTTCTTTGACATCTGCAGTGAAATGCTGCACGTTTTATCAGTCAGTGGTGGCCAGAGTACTTCTTTATGCTGCAGTCTGACATGAACACAAGGAGACTGGACAAGCTGGTAAAAAACGCTGGGTCTGTGCTTGGCAGGAGTCTGGACTCACTCAGGACTGTTGTGGAGAGACGCATGCAATGTAAGATGGAAGCCATCTTGGACAATACCAACCATCCTCTCCACAACATTCTGGCAGGACAGAGAAGCAGCTACAGCTGCAGCAAACGTCTCATTGCACTGCGCTGCAGAACAGAGAGGTTCAGGAGATCCTTTGTTCCCACTGCCATCAGGCTGAAGAACACCTCAGCCAAAGGAAGTGGACTCATCTAATTATTATTGTTTATTTATTATTAACTGTTATTATTATTATCCACAATGAGCTAATGGACACATGACTTTCCCCTAGGAGACATCTATCTATCTATCTATCTATCTATCTATCTATCTATCTATCTATCTATCTATCTATCTATCTATCTATCTATCTATCTATCTATCTATAAGCAACAGCTTTTGCCTGTAGTTAAGTTTCAAACTATGTGAATTCATGCTGCTCAGCTAGACATCATGTATTTATTTTATTCCATTTGATTTCTAAGTGGCTGTGCTTGCAGTGGTAAGTGGTTTCAGCAGTGTGTCCCCTACCTATTCCGGACACCTGGTCCCAGGCGATGGCCATAGCCAGGTGAGCCATTTTGGGGCCAACTCCTGGCAGGCGGACCAGCCCTTCCACGCTCTTTGGGATGTCCCCTCCAAACTCTTTCTGCAGCATGGCTGACGTTAGCTTCAGATACTTCACTTTATTCTGGAGGAAAGTGGGTGGGACAAACCAGGAGAGATTCATTCAGGTGCAAACTATGGTCAAAAGAATGAGTGACAGAGGGTGCGAAGGTGGAAGTGTGGCCGCAAACTGTTTTCATCAAAGTTTAGTGATGTAACACATAAAAGGACAGAGAGTTACCCTCCAGAAGCCGACAGGGTAGACGAGTTTTCCCAGTGTTTCATCATCAGTGTTGAGAATATTTTCCACAGTGCAGCCGTGTGCTCGGAGCTTCTGCATAGCTGCTGCTGTCACCTGGTCCTTGGTCTGACTGGATAGCATGAGTGACACCAACACCTGGAACCGTCTCACCTGTGCCGCCAGCAAAAAGAAACAAAGGGATTTATTTGAACTATTGACTTATTTTAAACCCAAAAAGAAGATGATCTAAACCACACCTACATGTGCAGGAGCTCCTGTGTCATAGCATTTCTCTGCTCCCATGTTATCTACGGGTGCGTCTCGGCCGCTCCTCATCTCACGAATGAATCCTAATTGTTTCTTCCAGTCGGGAGGTTCCCAGTGTTCTGTCTTCACCGGTGGAACGCCTTCATCCTTGTCATATTCCACCTTTAGCTGTCTCCTCCTGCGCCTGTGTGAAGACAGCGGGAGAGTGTCTGCTTCTGTTTTTGGCTGCACAGGAGCATGTTGGGGGAGTTCATGGCACCCACCTGGATGAGCACAGAGAAGAGAGAATGAAAAACACTTGACCCAGTGTGGGAATACAAAACATCTGCATTTAAAAGAAATTCAAAACCAATTAATGACCAAACAAAAAGCTTCCTACATTTTTTTTTTTACTCTGGATGGGATTTGCTCCCATTCAGCAGGGCTTTGAGCATGTCAGTCAAATTCTTTCACACCAAACTGGGAAAAAATAATTTCTTTATGTACCTAGCTTCAGTCACAGGGGGCATTGACACCTTGAATTGTGATAAGATCTTCCCCAAACTCTTACCACAAACCTGGAAACATACTATTATCTTCAACAGTGGTTCCCAACACTTTTAGCTGGATACCCCTTCAATCGAAGCAATGTCTACTTGTGAACCCCATGCACTGCTTGCATTAATGTCTAGTGGCCAAAGAGTGACATTTTTGATAATAACAAAAAGAAAACAATGGGAAGAGGATACTGAAAAATAAACATAATGTAATGCTGCAGATTTTTTCTGCTTTCCTTTCTTTTTATTTATCTCATGTCCCTTTATATGTCTTGGGACCCTGAATATTACTGTATGATGTCGCATTATCAAACTAAGCGGCCAAGCCCATGAAAATCAGACCCAGACCAAAAATAACTGCATCTGTCCATATGTTTTTGGCCATATAGTGTGTATTGTGTACTTATGGACTATTCTTACATGTCCTCTCAAAGGTTACGTTGGTAGGTGAGATAAGACGTTCAGCAGCCTTGAGGGGCATGCTTGGCTTGCTCAGATCTGCTCTCTGTGGCAGTGGTGGTGTCAGTTGTGTTTAACATGCAGCAGCGCCAAGTGTACAGTCAACAAATCAAAACAATCGTAGCAACTTTTCACAATCTTTGAATTTTGACATTTAGAAACTAATTTAATGAGTGATGGTTCATTCGTTCCTAAATATTGTTATTGATGTCTGAGTGAAGCTGTGTGCAACATTACCCGTCGATGAAGGGGCAGAGGAGGGTCTTTGCTCAGAGATCCTCGCCTCCTCCACCTCTACCTTCACCGCCACAGAGGGAACTGGATCCACATTCCTCCGTCTGTTGAGTTTGGACCCCAGAGAGGCCGCGGGTCTACAGCCAGGAATCCGAGTGACAACAGATCTGCTCTGCATGAAGTAAGGAGAAGTCATTTTGAAACACGGGACTACATAACAGATCCTCGTGCTGCAGCTTACGTGAGGCAGTTTACGTGAGGCATGTAGATGAAGCTGAAGTTGGTTTCATATTTGTAGATTTCTGGTCACGAGGGAAGCAGAAAAGTTCACCACCCTGTGTAAACAAATAACGCAATATTATTAATTGATAAATAAAAACATAAATATATATTTTTTAGATAATTAAAAAATATTCTAAACTCAGCCAATTTAAATTATGCTGCAATCATGACATTATAGACAATTAGCAGTTCCAAATTACTATATAAGATTGATATTTTTTATAAATATTTAAAACCTGAATTATAACTATCTGATACCAAGATATGTATTTAAAATATTGTACTTTTGACTCCACCACATTGCAGGTATAAATACAAGTACTCTACAAGTACTCTTTACTTGGAAGCAGTGCTATTTTAGATAAAGATGAGGCAGAAGATTCTCCACCAGAGACCACAGCCTTATCTGAAGTCCACCTTTGAAATTTTAGAAATAAAGAAAGATTAATTTAGTTTTACATGTTTGCTATATATACAAGATGTTCTACAGTCAGTCTGTAGGTTGCTTCACAGACTTTAGGTTCTGTAAATGTGGACCAATACAACAATGAGTTGACATAAAAAATGTACTTTCGAATACTTCTGTATTTTTTAAAATCAAGTACTCCAGTACTTTAGGAGTTAAGATCTGACTGATCAACTTTCACTTGTATTGCAGTAATATTTGACCAGGAGGATCTATACTCAAGTAATAAAGTTGTGTACTTTGTCCACCTCTGCTAAGGAGAGTCAAAGATGTATTCATATGTTGTGTCAACACCAGGGAGGTACTTAAAATGTACAGAAAATGACTTACTACTTTTTTTTCTCTTTCTTAACATCCAAAATTTTCCTTCAGTGATTTTGTTTATAATTACATGATAGTATAAACCAGTAACACAATGAAAGCTTAATTCTTTAAACCATAAAACCGCAGTAGCTTGAACTTGTTATCCAAAGGCTCCACTCAGAGGCAGCATGACGAAGGTGCAGCTACTCACCCCAAAGAGAAACCAACTTCAGCATCGTCAGCTGGTTTAGCTAGCTGCTAGCCAACTTTACCGTTGGGTAACGTTAGTTTCAGTAATATACACATGTATAAATTACCATTATTCGACTGTCAAACGGTTTTAGTGGGCTGTTGGGGAAAAACCTTTGTGTAGATATTTTGCTTTTAATTTGTTATAACACAGAAAACCAAATTAACAAACGGGCTTTGTCGTAGTTTATGGGGTTAGCTCGATTACAACTACATTTCCCATCAGCGAGCGCGGCAAACGTGTTTTTGTAGGAAATGCCCCTGTCACAGCATTACTGTGCCATCCGGTTGAGGAGTGGAGGACTGAGCTTGGACGAGAACAAGCTTTGAGCTGCATACACACAGTCATATGAATGCACAGACAGACGGAGGCGGCTCGGTTGGCTGCATATGGACGAAGCTGTGACTGAATGAAACCGAAAGCGACTCAACTTTTATAAGGTGAGAAGAGAGAGGGAGGGTAGGAGGGGGAGGCGTTGTTTTTTAAGCTACCAGACCTTGAATGCCACAGTAGAAGGCAATGTAAAGCGACGCTAACGGTTCAGTAGCGCCATTGTACATCTCTCCTGTTTCTGCCTTGTTTATGCTGTGTAGTGTTCACAGATATCATTTGCTCTGGTCGGAGGCTACCTTGCACCGCTGTGGTTGTTGTTGTTGAACTGAAACAGAACAGTCGTTGTCTGTCTGCTCACCTCCCCTCCCCTCTGTCTCTGTCTCTGTCAAGTCCTCATGACAGCAAATTCTTCAAACCTGCCTCCCCCCGGGTTTACACATTAACAGGCTGGGACTCCAAACTTCACTGCTGGATAGTTGTAGGTGGGAGTCTTAAAGGGACTGTTCACCAAAATTACATAAAATCATTTTTATGTAACTGCGGCATCCTGATGCAGCAGTGCACTGTGAACAATGATATACACTTCTATATTGATACAAATTTCATAACCGCTATAAAGGGATATCCCAGGACAGAGAATCCCCACAGAGGTACAGAGCCTCCTATGTTCCACCACTACACTAGTTTGGGGTTTATTTGACCAGGTTCAAAAATATCTGTGGACATACACTAATTGCCATTCATGAAAATTGGTCAAAAGGGTTGCCACAAGTGTTGTAGATTGCCACCTCGTCTGTATCAAAGACCACCTCTGCAAACTTAATAAAAGATAAATACACTTTTGTCTGACTAAACTGATGTGTGAATATCTGGGTGGCAGACCACTTCACTGTTGCCTGGTGAATATTCAGATTTCTTCTTAAGAAATCTGGGAAACTTCACACTGTCAAAAGCTTAGAAATAGACAAAAGGTAAATGACACAAAAAATGCCAATATTCATCATAAATGTGTCACTTATTTAATCATGCATAAAATGAGAATTTAATGATTATTCAAAATCTTTTCATTGAAGTTTTACAGGGCATAACAAAAGACAAATGAGAGATGTGAATGTATACAATAACAGCAGATGGCACAAATGCCAACATATAAACAAAACATCAATGGAAATATACAAACCACAGGATGTACAGTATATGTACTGTATGTATATTAACACGAAAATAATCCCTCCCCAGTCACTGCCAGCGAGTTATATATGCTGATATATATCTGCCACACCAAGATGAAATGATAACTTTAACATCTGTCTAGAAATCTCACACTGTCCAAATGTCAAACAATTACAGAAAGACAACAAAGAAGAGGACAAATAGTGAACACGTATTATATTTATACATTTTTTCACCCATGAAATAGCGACCAAAAATGAAGGACAAAAAAGTAGAAATTAGAGATATACTCAAGTATGCCAATCTGAGTGGGTCTGATATAGTAATTAGGTTGTGCTGGTCTTTGATAAACCTGTCATTCGGGTGTGCAGAGATATGTTTCATGGTCTTGCTGCCAACCCAAAATAAAGGTGGTGAACAGAATTTTGTTTGTAATGAAACAGTACATGTCTTGGTTACCCTGGATAATCTACACAGCTCATTGTGAACAGTTTAGAACTTCTTACTACTAAATATTTACAATGAAAACTTGTTATTTGGGTGAACTGACCCTTTAAGTCTCAAGTCTATGTGCTTAATCACAGGGATGCTTATTGTTGATGCTAGATTTGCATTGTCAACATGTTAATAGTATAACTCTAAGCTATAGTTAATGTTGTACTGTCATGTACAATGACATAATTTTTTGCCTCTATACATCTCTTTAATAGCTCATTGCGAAGTGATTTAGCAATTGCAGTGGGTTTTGGTTGACAACACTTATGTCCTATTGCTACCATCCATCCAGTTGCTGGCTGGCAAGCCACATCAAGTCCACTTAGAGAACATCCAATGTATTTTCTGGACTTAAGGTTTTAGGTTTTGCAATGTAATTCTTGAAGCTAACTGTGATGGTTGTTGCAAAATTTCTATACGTGTGTTATTGTTTCTTTAGGCAGCCATCAGTCCCAGTCTGTGCAGTCTATCACCACTCCCGGCCGGGCCATGAATAAACAACCAAGCAAGGAGAGTCTGAAGGACAAGGTGAAGGGGATCTTTGGGCTGGGACCTCCGCGCCCACCGAGCAAACAGAGTGACACCAAACCGTCCGAGTTTATCATTACGACTGACATCATCAAGGTGTGCAGAAGAGACTGTGCACATACACACACACACTCAAGCTCACCTCATGCCTCTGAATATTTACCCATCATTTTTTGTGTGGCCTTACTCTTCACCTCTGTATCTTTCAGGAGCTCCACCCAGACTGTGGTCTGAGTAACCGCGTTCGCATGATGAACCACGTCTGTGATCTTGCCAAAACAAAAAAATTTGAGGAGGTAAGTCTCCACCATGTCTCATGTTGTGAAACAACAGTACATGCAATCACCTGTATTAGTAAAACTGTGTGTGCGCATGTACATATGTTGTTTTTTTTCAGCATGCAGTGGAGGCAGTATGGAAAGCTGTGGAGGACATGCTGACTCCAGAGCAGCCACCTGAGGCCAGACATGCTGTCCTGCAGCTGCTGAGGGCCATTATACAGGGACAGGTACAGTATATAGACACAATTTACACACACACACACACAGGCAATGGAAATACAGTTCTTGTAATTTCTTAAAAGCATATTCACTGTTTATTTGAAGGGAGAGCGACTCGGCCCTCTGAGAGCCTACTTTTTCAAGGTGATTAGAGACTACCAACCATGCAACGAAGACCTCTCCGATAGGCTGGAAGTCTTCAAGGCCTTAACGGAAAATGGAAAAGACATCACATACTTGGAGGAGGACATAGGTAAAATCAAAAATCTAGTTTTCAGTGATGTGTCAAACACAAAACAAATACAGACTTTAAACCTACTTTCCAACGCTTCATACTGTATGTACGTCTTTGTCAAGTCTCTGCTGATTAGTTTCAACTTGTGATCAATGTTCCCTTTTTATAGATGGTCTCTGTGTTGACAACACCTAATTTTGCAGTTTGTTTCTTTCCAATACATCTGCAATTTGGGCACAGATATGATGAATTTTTATGAAGATTTGATCCCTCTGTGGTAGCTGAAAATCCTGCTAACTGATATTCAAGCTGATACGAGCCACCTTTGTTATTATGTTTGTAATTATAACTTCTAAAGGCATGAATGGTCTTTTACAATTTATTTATTGGTATGTTCTCGCTGTTTTCTCCTCTCCCCCAGCACGCTTTGTCCTCCTGTGGATGGACATAGGTCTTACCTCTGACTTTCTCCATGTTCTCGTAAATCTGGTGAAGTTCAACAGCTGCTACCTGGACCAAAATGTCTCCATCATGGTCCAGTAAGTCAGAGAGACAAAGAGATAGACATAGTTTTGTTTCTCTCTAATTTGGGAAATGCTTATAACTTGCTTTTTCTTGCTTGTTCTGTTGTGCCTTCTGCAGGAAAATCTGTCTCCTGTGCAATAGAACAACATCCTCAACAGATATTGAGGCGAGTATTTGTTTTTCCTTTGCTTTACTTGTCATTACACTCGAGCAACTGTAACTGCCGTGCAACATGTTTTCAAGTGTCAGCTGAGGAACAATCAACACATTCTTTGTTCAGTCATCTCGTTAGCATTCAACAGTACATGCTGCCCTGTTCAAAAGTCATAGCTGTTGTTTACTGGTAATAGACACCTAATTTGGTCATTGCAGCCCTCGTGTCATTCAGTGGTTCTGTTAGAGGCTCACAGATCCAAGAAATAATATGAGAACGTTCCAAGTTTTCATTAAACACGGAACAAATCGCTGATCCACAACTGAATGTAAAAAAGCGCCATTCTTTTCCATATTCAAGGAAAACTAAAACATATGATCTTGTGGTAATTGATGCAGAGCTTGAGTGGGAATTACTTATCAGCATGTATATAGTGTTTGCTAAATGTGTATTTATAGGCACCATGTTGCCTTAGCAGACTGTCCTTTTAAGAAACCTGCAGGCGCAGAGGGAAGAAGTCCTATTTCACCAGTGTTTCTCTGATTCTCAAATGTTAGGAGAGAGTTAGTTGTGGGCCTTCATTTATGAATGTACAGTAACATGCTTTTAACTGCCAAGCTTAGAGAACACTTTACCAATGGGAACTGTGCAGAAATATTGAAGTTACACTGTGTTTTATAATTGGCAACAGCATTACAGACTCATATAGTTCTTCCTATATGTATGCTAAAGTGGAGAACCTATACATTTAACCATGGAGGAGGAAAACAGGAACTTGCATTTTACATCCACATAAAAATAATAAACAAGACGACATAAAAAGTTTTTAAAGTGAATATGTGATGCTTAATGTTTAACAATCAACTGACAGTCTGGTGTAAGAGGTTTGTAATTTCCTCTTGTTACGACCTTGAAAAATGCAACAAACAAAGATTATCTAAACATCATCAATACCCATTAACTACATAATTAACACTTTAGTGACACCTACTTGTGTGTGTGGTCTGTGTGTCCAGGTAGCACTACAAGTCCTGGATGCAGTGGTGTGTTACAACTGCCTGCCCTCAGACTCTCTCACTGTCTTCATCATCACACTCTGTCGTACAGTCAATGTCAAGGAGTTTTGTGAATCCTGCTGGAAGGTGGGAGAAGAACATATATACACACACACACACACACACACACACACACACACACACACACACACACACACACACACACACAAAAACACATTTTACATACGCATGTTTGCCTTTTGTCTGAAGTCTCTGCTTTGATTGAGCATAATTCATATTTGCATCTTCTGATCTTTTTCCCCTCTGTTGATACTCTCTCTTGTGGTGCGGTCTGCCTCTGCAGTTAATGAGGAAGGTGTTGGGGACTCACCTTGGCCACAGTGCTATTTACACCATGTGCCGCATCATGGAGGAGAGGTATTGTCCCAGGTTTCAGCACATTTCTGACCATGTGGTGCATTAATAAACATATACTATTGTGGAGGGGCTGTTGGTCCCTATTTGTGTGTCTCTCTAACTACGTGCACTCTTCACCAGGGTGTACATGGAGGATGCACCATTGCTGAGAGGAGCTGTATTTTTTGTTGGAATGGCATTGTGGGGTGCACACAGACTCCCCGCCCTCAAAAACACACCCACATTGGTTCTGCCATCTTTCTACAAGGTAAAACACACACACCAAAATGTCTCCATCATGGTCCAGTTAGTCAGACAGACAAAGCGAGGGACACAGTTTTCTTTCTCTCTAATATAGATATCTTGGTCAAAAAGGTTTCTTAGTACTTACATGAAAACAGAAGTAATGCACAATTGGCAGAAAAAGCCACAAATAACATTTTTGTTTTTATATACAACCCCCTGCATTGTCTGGGGCTGCATTAATGATTAGTTTCATTGTCATATAATCTGATTATTATTTTTCTTGATTAAACATTTGGTTGACAAAATATCCCAAAGCAGATGTCCGTCACACCTTTCTAAAGCCAAAGCTGACATATTAAAACTTGTAGTTTTGTCCAAACCAAAAGATATTCAACTTACTACCACAGAAAAAAATTTCAAAACAATACATTTCAAGCCAGAGGGTTTTGGCACCTCGAGCAACTTAATGATTTAGTGATTAATTGTTTACCTCTAATATTGTCACTGAAAAGTAGGCTGGATGCACATTTGTTTTATTACAGTAAGTAATGCTATATGTATTTTCTGTCTAGCAGTATCGAGTGGAACAGTTGTTGCCCCGTCTCCAGCTCTGTATTTAGAAAAGCTGAGACTTACAACTGATGAGTAAAGATGCATGAGAAATGACTAAATAGAGGGTCGTTTGAAAAAGCAAGACTATACTTGATGCTGTGAATGTAAACAATTAGTTACGGTGACTGTTGGTGTCTGACCTCTGCCCCTCAGGCTATGTCATGTGCCAATGAGGTGGTGTCCTATGAAATCGTCCTCTCCATCACAAGACTGATCAAGAAGTACGGCAAGGAGCTGCAGGTGGTCACCTGGGACATCCTGCTGGGTATCATAGAGCGATTGTTGCAGCAGATCCAGGTACACACAAATACATATTGCACATGCACACACACATAGAGTAAAATAGCAATTCTTTTTTGACCTTGTGGCCTTTCTCATTTGTCTTTACAGACAATAGGCAGTGCGGAGTTGAAGGCCATCGTCTATGAGCTGTTGACCACAGTAGAGGAGCTGTATGAGCAGAACGGTTACCACGGCTCCACAGAGAAGTTCTTCAGTCTGGTGGAGAAATGTGCTGACAAGAGACCTGTTAGTTCTTCTGAGTATCTGTCTCTCTCTATGCCATCCTGTCTTGACATTTAGTCCTTGTACATTCTGCTGCTTCTGTTTTAATCCTGCTCTTCTGTGTGTGACAGGATGCATCAGTGCTGACCCTCATCTCATACAGGGCCCAGTCTATCCAGCCAGCCAAGGACAGCTGGATTCAGAGCCTTCACCGCCTCATGGAGAAATTCTTCAGGTAGGATGCACACACACACACACACACACACACACACACACACACACACACACACACACACACACAGTGGTGATGATATCTAATAACTCAGTGGGCAGGTTTTGGTATTTTCTTTGCGTTCCACTTTGTTAGTCATAACCTTGATCTCTGTCTCCTCCCATCCTCGCTGTGTTGGAATCTTTCCTGTCCATCTCTGGTATCCCACTGTCTCTCTGAAAGGAACGAGACTCGCAGTGTAATAAGGATCAAAGTGCTTCACATTCTTTCCTTCGTTCTCAGTACCAACCGACAGCTGTACGAGGTCTGTACACTCACACACATTCACACACACACATTTGCATCCTTACTGTCAAGTCTGCTGTTAGCCAGTCTGTATGCACATTCTACGGTTGAGATACAGGCCTATTAAATTTCCTGTTTTATCAGTCATGCAATAGCTAAAGACGTGTTTATTAAACTACTGACCACTGAAGTCATCATAAACATAATTGTTTTGTATGTCTGTCTTATCTGTCTGGAAAATTCCTGTCGAGCACTGTGTACAATGTTTGTGTTGTTTGTTTTGATGCATTTTTGGTGAATAGATCATTAAAATTCCTCACATCGAAATTCTTTCTGTGGTTTTCTTTGTTTCTTTGATTTGTTCCAGGATGAGTTGATTGAAATGGTGGTGATCCCCCAGCTCAGTGGGATAGCTGAAGACCGGGACCTGGCCGTCAGAAAGCAGGCCACCCAGCTACTTGTTGACCTCGCTGAGGGCTGCAACACACACCACTTCACCAGTCTGCTGGACATCATTGAGCGGGTACACAATCTCACTTCTACCCTCAAGTTCTCTCCATTTTAGCCGAGATGAGATGATTCCAGTGTTTGTTTTCTTTATAGGTGGCCAGTCGCTCTCTGGTTTGTTCAGGGCCCCTGGAGCTTTCTGAGAGAGACCCCACAGCAGAGTCTCCTATGGAGGACGTCAGGACTGCTATACTGGGCTTGCTGGAAATCTTGCAGGTGGAGTACATACTAGGGCTAGAATCACCTAAGTGACATTAAAGAGCAATGTAACATGAGCTGAAAATCTAGAGCCTGGTTTTGCTATTCTTTAAAGTTGATGATGAGGGGATGTTATTTCAGAATAATTTAATTTAATTTTGTAAGAAGGATCTAAGGTTTAAACACTTATAAACCTTCTTATATTCTCTTATAAACTATATCTTTAACTATTGATGATTGTCAACTTCTCTTCTTGAATTTTAACTTTTAACTTGAGATTATCAAGTTATGGGAAAAAAAAGCAATTAAAGATGTTTATAGTGAGTCTGACGTAAGTCAATTGAATCTGGTATTAACCTTCCTGTTTTTTCCTCCTGGCAGAGCAAGCTTTACAGCCTACCAGCCACCCATGCTAGTCGTGTTTATGAGTTGCTTATCAGCCACCTGCAGCTTCACTACAAGAACAAGTACTGTTCATCTATTGCTTCCAGTATTAGACTACAGGTAGGGGTAATTCATTTTTCTGTGCATATGTGTGTATCTCTTACTGCATTTGTAATGTATACGGTCTGCCTTATTTCCTATTAACTTTCTGTCTCTCTCAGGTGTTTGACTTCTTCCTGATGATGCGTGCAGACTCTCTTCACCGTCTCGGAGTCCCTAACAAAGACGGAGCCATGAGGTTCAGCCCTTACTGCTACTGTGACGCAGGGTGAGGACACACACATAGCGCTCTTGCCACAGCTCTTACCTGCAGCTGCTTTGCTCATTATAGTTCAGTCAACTAAATGATAAGAAAATTGTTTATGTGTGTTTCATGGTTGCAGGGAGCCAGAGAAGCGAGTCAGTGAAAAGAAGCCAACAGGTTCAACATCTCCTCCTGCTGGTAGCCCAGCTCCCCCCGCTGCTCCTCCCCCTTCAACGGCCTCAATACGCTCAGCCTACCTGCCCTACGCACCTGCCTTCAGTGTCCTCCTGCAGTGCCTCAAGATGGTACATACACACACACACACACACACACACACACACACACACACACACACACAGATTCCTGCTGTCCTTAAAGATATCAGACAGTTGTTGGCTTGATTTTCTGATTTTCTCTGGCAGGAAACAGATTGGAAGGTGCTAAAGCTCGTTCTCGACAAGCTGCCGTGGACGCTGCAGTACAAAGTGCTGCTGCTGACATCGCCGTGCAGCTTGGACCAGCTCTGTTCTACACTCTGCTGCATGGTACCACAAACAAAAACACATGCATACAAATCTATAATTAAAAGTCTGTACTGTGCATATAATTAAATGCCACTATATGTTGCTCATTTCTTTGTCTCTGTGCTTGTAGGTGACAGATCGGCTGATCTCAGAGCGCTTGAAGAAGACCCCAGAGGGGTTTTCCCGCACTGATGTCCAGCTGGCGGTGGTTCCTGTCCTCACAGCGATCACCTCCTACCACAATTACCTGGAGCAGTCGAGACAGGTACAAAGCATAGTGTGTAGAAAGTAAGAAAATTGGATGTTCTAAAGCTTGATTTGGTTTGGTTTACTGACCATCAAGTTTGCAGCAAGAAGATCTACATTTGGCCAACATCATCCCATTTGTGACTGATTTCTGTATACCAAGCATAACCTTATTTCTCAGATTTACTAGCCACCCTACACACATACATGGAGACAGACACACAGAATCAGCCTATACAACTAAATCAACATTAGTTATTCTCCTTTCCCCTCTGCAGAGAGAGCTGGTTCAGTGCCTTGAGACTGGCCTCATTTACCGCTGTGCCAAGCAGTGTGTTGTGGCCCTTACAATGTGCACGGTGGAGATGCCTGACATCATGATCAAGCTCCTACCCGCTCTTATCGTCAAGCTCACCCACATCTCTGCCACTGTTGCCATGGCATCACCTATGCTTGAATTCCTGTCCAGTGAGTCCCAAAAGCTTTTCTCAAAATGTATTCAGTTTATTGTTTCTTTGATATTGTTGAATGTTCAAGGTCAGTTAGTCACATTGGATTTTTTTTTCACAGAGAAAGGCCAAAATAAGAGACTGTTTGATTGATCTGCTCTTTCTTCATTTCTGTTTCGTAGCTCTGGTGCGCCTGCCCCATCTGTATGCCAACTTTGTAGCTGAGCAGTATGTCAGTGTGTTTGCCATCTCTCTACCCTACACCAATCCCTCCAAGTGAGTGCTCACACACACACAAAAACATGGGTATTGTCAGATGCACAGACACACTCTGACCTTTTTGTTTCTTCCATTCCCATCAGGTTCAACCAGTACATCGTGTCCCTGGCCCACCATGTAATTGCTATGTGGTTTATACGCTGCAGACTCCCCTTCCGCAAAGACTTTGTTCAGTACATCACAAAGGTTCGTGCTGGTTTGCCTTTCTACCTTTTACTGACTGTTTTAGGACTTGTCATTTTCATTCTGAAATATAACATTACCACTGTATCTCTGGAAAAAAAATGCAGCCAAACTCACAACTTCCTCAGCTCTTCATTCCCACCCACCCAAACACATGAGCAATACACATTTTAGAAAACCAAAACATTTTTGACAGAATACAAACTGTGACTTTCAGTGACTTTTTGGGCTTGTCCACAGTGCATGTACAATGCTAACATACCCTCATTTCCCCTACATCTCCATCAGGCCCAGAATCTTTTAAGGTCTTTATGACCTAGTCTATGTGATGTAAAATTTTAAATTACCTGAGCCTTATGCTTAAATGTTTTAACTTTATTTGAGATTTGCTGCAGACCCTGTATTCACTCTTAACTACAGCATTCTTCAGTTTGGTGTTTTTGTGCCTTTATATTCACGTCTTTGTCTCTTTCTCCAGGGTTTGCGTTCCAACGCCCTGCTGCCATTCGATGATGGTCATGAGCAGAGTCCATTTCGCGCCCGAAGCACCAGCCTCAACGAAAGACCCAAGAGGTAAAGCATCCATTCATACACAGCTGCAAAAATGCTGACGACCAACCCAGCAGCACCACACACTGCCCATGTGGCCATTGTTGTGTAAGAGGCTTGGGGTTGCCAAGGTAGCAGGGGACTCAGCATGACTGGTAATGTGGCGTGATCGTTGCAATGACTCCTCTCAGGTTGCCATGGTGATCATTAGTTCATTTTATTTATTGTTTATGCTTTTTCACGTCTTAAAATTTGTTCTCTTTCTGCCACGATTTATGTTTATTTTTAAATCCACTTCTCATATTAATGGCACACAGGGTGGACAAAATAACATGAACACCTGTATATTATTATGTCATCTAAGCTAACAGCCCTGCAGTTTATTCTAAAACGAGATTTAGATTCAACTCTGTTAATATTTGAGGCTGTTGAATTTTTTAAATTTATTTTTTGTAGAGGATTGTATTACATTGTCCAGATGTTTGTGTTACTGTGCCCACCACTTTTAGCTTATAATGGTGCACATAGAGTGATAGCATGGGGAAAGAAGAGTTTGTTTTTCTTTCTCCACTGTCACATCTTTCCATCTGTTATTTATGAGCACAAAAAATACAGGCCTTACATGTACACAAAGAGAAATACAGACGGTCTTTCACACAGAGGTTTAAGGAAGCTTTTCTCAGCAAGGCGTCACGCTCATCTGTACATGCTGTGAATGTCTGTCGGTTGTCCGTGTTTTAATTGCGTGAACATCGTATGGTAAAAAGCATCCAAAGTTACTAATTAAAACACAGTATAGATGATCACAGAGAGGAGGGGTAACTGAACAGAGGTTTAACCAGCTATTAACTGGGCTGTGTCTGCATCTCCTAGGTAAGCCAGTATTTCCATAGTGTTTCACAGTGAATATTCTGAAGACCCAAAATAACTATTAAAAGTAACCAATACTGTTTGAGACCAAGCTGCCACTTTCTAAAAAATAATTCAATCCTCCCTCATATGATTTCTTATTTTTTTGATTTTTGAGATTCATTGTAGCTTTTTATTAAATCTCCCTCTCCTCCCCTGTTGCTCAATTAAATATGTTTGAGGAAATAGTGCAGCCTCTGTACACACGTCTTCTTTTAAGTCCCACACTTCATGATTTATTTAAAAAAAACCTCATAACGCTCTTGCTGCCGTTGCAATCAAACATACTCCCTGTTACAGCAGTGCCTCTGCTAACATCAGTTTCTACTGATCTTCTGTATGAACCCACTTTCAGTGTTCCATATTGTGTTATCATTCACCCAGTCATCTGTCCTTGTGCTGCTCATTGCCCACTGTTGGGTTGGAGCTCTGCATGTCAGAGTCCACATGGGTTATTTCATGTAGGTCAAAAGGTTTGGTCATATGTCATAGGCATAACACTATGGGATATGATGTCAAGATTAAATTCAGAGGTCTCCAAAAGTACACTATAAGAAGAACAATATTTAGAGATGTATCTAATCTGTAGTATTACATCCAGACTTGCTGTGCTCCAACCCTCAGGTTTAACCCAGCATTTCATTTTCAGTTGGATTTGTGTTTTTTCTTGTTTTTTAACTTCCATTATGTCAGGCCTGTGCTGAGTCCATCCCTACTATTTTACTTCTCCTGTACTAGTTCTTGGCTTCACTATGTACCTGCTGTGTGAAATAATGTCATTTTGTTGCTCTCCTGAATACTTTCTGTGCGTATTTTTTTTTCTGAATAGCAGAAGCTGTTTTACCCTCTGCTGTAGCTTGTCTGTTTTCCTTTTTAGTTGATGTTTAGCCTTTTTTTCTTACTCCGCTCTCCTGTAATCTGATTCATAGTGTTCACTGCTGTTAATTTTCACCTTGTTTTGTTTTTCTTTCAATTCTTCATTTGACCCCTCCCCTGCCTCCTGCGATTGGGTGCTGCGTTGTGGTTGTGGTTTTGGGGGGTGGTCGTGTCATCCTGGATCCATCCTACATTGCTCCTGACCCCTCTCCTCCTCCTGTGACCTCTGCCCTTTTGACCTTTGTGGCCCTGTCCTCTGCACCCTGCGCCCACCCCCTACTCCTCCCTTCCCTCTCCCCTCCCCTCTGCGTGGTGTGCGCCCCGTGGTGACCTGCTCATGTTGCTCTGATGCTCGTGACGATTCCTGCTGTCTCCTGATATACCTCCTCACACCACACTCTCCCCCTACACTACCAAACTACTTCCACCGTCACGATGACCCACCCCCTTACTGCCCACTGCCACTGTATTGCCAACCCGGGCCCGTTCCCCTCACCCTTCGCCATGGGTACTCATCACCGCCCAGTCTGCGGGCGGCAAAAGTGGCGAAGGCAGCAGCGGCGGTAGCCAATAGCAGCAGCTCTCCTGTTAAAGAGCTGAGGGACCTGTCAGCCATGGACGCTTTCCGCTCCCGCAGCATCAGTGTCTCCGAACATGCGGTCCGCAGGTTAGAGAAGAGCCTTCTGGGTAACCAAACAAAAAACAAAAACAACCCAAACACTTGTTGCTTCCTCCATGGGATGGTTGATGGGGTGTAGGTTCATTGTCATGCGGGTACGTTGGGCGGGCGTTGGGTGGCTTGTTGCCAGGGATACCTGGAGTGGGTGGTGCATGCTGGAGGAAGGTTTGTGTGTCAACCTTTTTGGTTTGTTTTGGGCTGCGATCATACACGTGCTATTTCTAGATTTTGTTTTCTGATTTGCTTTTGCATGCAGTGTTTGCAGAAGACTTCTGAAAACATCTTGATCCATGTTGATGTTTTTCTTTTTGATTTGCTCTAACACACTGATTTTATTTTTATTTGTCTGTGGTTTGACTTTGATTTTGTTTTTGTTTGTTTGTGTGTTTTGCTGACAAGTTTTGATTGGCCTAACAAGAAATGAATGGCAGGCGGGGCCGGTGCAAAGCATATGTATCCAAAGTGATGGTGTCTTGATTGACAACAACTGCAACCAACAACTCTGCCTCCCTCTTCCTGGTGGGAGGGCACTACTGTTTCCTCTGCCAGTGACAGGGACCACAGCAGCACAACAGCTTTGTTTGCTTGCTTGACATATTTTTGTTTTTGTTTTGCTCCACTCACAAACATACACTGTGCTGCTATGACCATGGCAATCTCCTAGTGTGGGATTTTAGGATTAGCTGGGCTGGTGTGAACTTTGATACAGTTTGATTACAGACTCAAACCATTCATATCACCACACACACATATACACACTCCTTGCCTCACTTATGTTCATACCTTTATGCTTATCTTTGCTTGGCTGACCTGCTTGAGTGACTGACAGATGTATGATCCATCACTGCAGTTGGCAGATGTGGCTCTGTTGCCACACTCGTAAATATGTCATACCACCTCATGCCCAACAGATGGCAGTAAAAGTCCTGCACTGGAAAGTTTGAAATCACTTTGTATTGCATTTAATTTCATAGTGAAGCATGGAACTTAATGAGGCTGAACAACTGCAGTGTAGATCTGTTTAACCTGCTTCAGCTGCCAAATCTGCTTCTTTCTCAACCAGTGTGTTCTCTGTCTCTGTCTCTTGAATGGTAACACCTGAGTGACATGTTAGATTGAAGCCTGCCTCGTGATGGAGACTGGTTTCACCTCAGACAACATGACTGTGTTTTAAGCTGTATTTTAGATGTTAAAGTGACACATACACATAGGATTTAAAATGATTCAGCTTTTGCCACTCATTCAAAGGTATTGACCGTTGTATCTACACTAAAAAAGCAAAGCCTTCAATTTTTATAAATGCCATAAAATTCATCTTTAGTTAGAAATGAAGTACAATGGATAGCGATGTGGTAAGTAATATTAGGAAGCAGTGAAGACAGTGCACTCTGTTTCAGTTGTGAGCATTTCATGGTCATGTTGTCTGGAGTACGTGTCCACTAGACATTGAAGTGAAAAATTAATAATTGTCAATAGAAGAATGGTAAGTATAAATATGTGTGGAAGAGTTGTTTATTCACATACTGGGACTTGGTCTGAGTGAAAGACATTTTTCCCCCTGATGGAAGTATTAAAGATTTATGCGCAAACCTCTCAGACTTTTTCACACAGATTTTTCTAACTGTGTGCCAAAATTTACATTTTGAAACATTTTACTTTGCATTTCTACAGATACCTGAATTGGGTTTTATACCAAGGATATAATCTTGTAGATACAGAAACCTTGACAATAGTCATCTTGTCAGCTGAGATGCATCCCTGTCAAGATAGGCTCCTCTGAACCATTGTAGCGTCTTTGAAGCTGAAACAATAAAATGAAGCTAAAGCAGTTACCACGATGGATCCACCAAGGACAGATGCTCCTTTTGTATTTCTCTCTTTTTTTTATTCTTCCCATAATTGTTTTCTCCCCAATTTGTTTTAATATTTATCCTTTATTTCACTTTTATTTATGTTCCTGTCAGGATGATTCATGAAAACAGTGCCTGCCTTCAATACTCCCCATTGGGATAAACAGATATCTCAGTTGGGCACAGTCATCCTCAGAGTGTTGTTGTGAATCGCTCATTTTGAGTGTGTTTACTTTTGGGCAACCAGGTAGCGTTGCTTTCAGTTCAAATCTGGGAATCTCTATATCCCGACTGAGAGTGATGTCAACATCTGTAAATGTGCTTTTAACCTGACTTGGCTATAGAACAAGCACTAATGGTTGTTGTGGATAGAAAGAGACGCTGCTCACTCTTCAGTGAATACTAATTGAGAGATTTTGTTTAAGCTGAGATGTTTTTGTGCATCCCTGTGGCTTAGTGAGCATAAAACATGCTACACCACAGATCCCTTCAGCCTCCTTCACAGAGCTGATTGACATTATAGGAGATAACCAATGTGATATCACAGCCACTTATGCCATGTCCCAGTGTGTGTCTGTTTGTGTGCTAGGGAAAATGTGATTATCTTATGGTGCGTTTTCTTATATACACACACATGTGGATGTATGTGTGCATATAAATGTTTGTTTTGCATGTGATATAAACAGAGATGTGCACAGGTGTGTTTGTGTGATTTAAAACATTTTTTTTAATGATATTGTGCATTTCCTATACTTCACCTGTATATCAGTACTTGCATGTTTCTGTTTGCACTGATTACATGTTAAAAAAAATAGCAGGAGCCTGTGTGCTCTCCTCTCGCTCCTCTGCCCGTCTCGCTGTTGTTTAACCTTCTCCCTGTTTCCTGCTGTAGGATGCACACCTCGACCACCACCTGCAGCCTTGGCTCCGCTGATGAAAATGCGGTGACTCAGGCAGACGAGGGGTTGAAGACTGTTCACCTGGAGCTCACTGAGACCTGTCTGGACATGATGGCACGATACGTGTTTTCCAACTTCTCTGCACTGCCCAAGAGGTTGGCAAGAAATTTCTTCTCTGTATGTGTGTGTGTGGGTGGCACTTAACAGTGGTAAAGTTTTGGAAAAAGAATGGAGAGAGGCTATAGCAGTTATGAATTTGGCCTGTGACTGCCCTCTTAGGTCTCCCATCGCAGAATTCCTGTTGGCAGGGGGTCGCAGTATGACCTGGCTTGTTGGCAACAAGCTGGTGACCATAACAACCAGCGGAGGGGTCAGGACACAAGCACTGTTAGGCCTGGACATGGCTGAACGTCTGGGAGGAGGAGGGGAAATGACCAGGTGAAGCACATTCACACATACACACACTGAAAAAGGATGAATCCTCTGAATTATTATAATTTTTTTGTTAAATCATTGTTTCCATCTCCTGATCCTGCAGATCAGATCCATCACTACACACCCGAATAACCAAAGAGGCTCCGGCCAAACTGGAGTCACAGTCAAGCCAGCAACACAATAGAGCCACACGCATACGGGTCCGCTCTATGTCAGGTAATAAATATTAAGGTGCTTGACAGGTAAACACTTCAGTACGTTCCATGATAGAGCAACCTCTCCCTCATTATTAGAATACAACTGATTATATTGAAGAGAACTTTCTAATGTTAGCGGGATATGCTAAAATACCACTCTTTCATAATAATTGTGGCCAAGATCTACCATCATTTGTTTAGTGCTATTTTCCAAAAATGCATTTTGAGACAGCTTTTATAGAGCAGGTAAAATGAGTCGTGATCCTTCCTGCTGTCTTGAATTGAGAAATAATCAAGTAGCTTTTATCCTCCTCAGATTTGCAGCCACACTTTTATCTCTGCCTGCCTGTGTTATCACATCCCTTTTAAACGGCAACCCTCTCTTCCCCCTGTCTACTCTTGATACATGTTATGTAAATGAAGATCAGTGACATTATTTATCATTACTCTTTATCGGGTTGTAGTACATTCAAAGGAAAATGGGATGCAAAATTAGACTTCATTGCTGTGATCCTTCACGCATTAACATCCGTCTGTACTCGGTGTGCTTTTGAATACGTGTTGGCGGATCTGCCAGATACGAAATGTCATCACAAGATGTAGCTGCCTGTATATTATTCAAGTGTATATTTTCATGTTAACATTGATGGCTTTGTCAGTCTACTTAAATATGTTTTCCTTCCGTTTTTTTCTGCCCAGTGCATTGTGTGTTATTATGTTGTGTCTGATGTCTTATTATAGCTGACCTTTGTGATTTTTTTTTTTTTCCCCCATTGAATCTTAATATCTTATCAGATAAGCTTTCTGTTTCAAACTGTCCTGAACATAATGTGAGTAATGCAATGAGAAGAGCTAATAAATAATCATGATGACCTTCCTCTGACTGTCTGACTTTATATTCCAGGTGGCCACGCTTTACGTGCCGGTCCTGCTCAGAGTCTCAGTCCTCTCGTGTCCCCTTCTGAGGGCGAGTTAGCCGCTCCTCTCTCGCCCTCCTCTGGTCCCACCCTGGACAGCCTGGGTCCTCCCTCCTCCACCTCTGCCACCCCGTCTGCTCCCCCACCTCTCAAAGACAACCCCAGTCTGGCTGAGTTTGTTCCCATACTCACACAGGGCTGGGCAGAGATCTTCATCCGGAGGCCGTCTGGTATGCAGAACACACTTAGCCACAAGTGAATGAGTACCAAGTCTGTGAGGCTTGGTATTTGGTAGCTGCGTGGTTGATGATGATGACTTCATTTCATTTTTTTTTTTTTTAATTATAATTAACACCAGACCACAGCAGTGGTTTAGCACATGTTGGTCATTTAACTACTTATTAGTTATATAAAACAGTACATCAGGCCATTCTCTAAAGCAGACCAGATACCTCTCAATAGATTCTCTCAGGCATGTCTTTTAAGTTTCAGGAGAAAAGGAAAATCTATTTGCAGAGACTTGAATCCTGCAGATGATTACTACTCCATCACAGTGAACATGTTGTCTGCCTTATTTTTTGTTATTGTTACTGTTGTGTGGTAATATAGGAACAAACTTGTTAAGCTTTGTTGGATCTGAGATTGTAGCAATATTTTTTTTTTTTTTTAAAAACCAAGTAACACCCCGTTTCACAATAGATGGGCTGTTTTTTAGCAGAGGAGTCACAGAAATTGGATCTCTGGTGAGGGGGTCCCTCAAGGGTCCCTGCTTGCAGCTCTGGTACCACAAAAAAATACAAGAAAAAAACTTTAAGGCAACTTGGTGTTTACTGTAGTGGATTGTCTATCTCAAGCATGTTTATTGTTTTTTGATTTTTATACTGTACTAATGACTTGAACTACTGTGAGTGGGGGCCTGGAGGAAATTCATCTAAAACCCTACAACGTGCTTTGTTAAATGGTCAACACTAATTTAAAGCAAATGTGTTTTCATTGTCGTTAATGTGATGAAACAGTAAAAAATCCCTGTTAAGGTCCTTTTACAGTAGATTAGTGACTGTCTCTGTCTGTTGTCACAGGTAACACGAGCTGGCTGATGTGTCTGGAGAACCCACCCAGTCCCTTCTCCTCTGAGCTTGGCAACATGCCGCTGCAGGAGCTTTCTAGTGTCCTGATGGCGATGGAGGGAGTGAAGGAGCCTCCTACCCAGACAGCCAGTGCTCCTGCCAGCACTGCTGCTCCTGCACCGTCGTCCGTCTCCGAGCCCCTGACCCAAACACACAGCAGTGTCGGAGGCAAGGCAAACCTGATCCAGCGCTCCAACACTGGTGAGGAACAGTCTGAGGAGTCTGGGCAGAAAAAGCTTGAAAGATCAGGAAGTTTGTGGTTTGTTTTTATCCTGTTGGTGGTTGTAATTGATCTGTGCAGGTGAGTTATGTGTCCCAAAATTTAAGGATCATAAAAATGTCATTGTGACATCCGTAAAATAAATACAACGTCACATCCAGAATAGTTAGCTACAGAACAGAGAATCATAATGTACTAGGAAATTGAATGCTACGCATGAACGCATCCCTCCTGTCCGCCTGACTGCTTGTCCTAGGTCCCCTTTAATTGACTGAGCTAAGTGCCAAATTGCCTGTAAATACTTTATTTGAACCAGACGGTGATCAATGAGCAAGTATGGATTTGCTCGGGTCAGTGATCATCAAAGATGACTGCTTTGACATGTTCTTGTTTTAGAAGTCAAATGTCTTTTTTTTTTTTTTTTTTTTTTTTTTTTTTTTTTTGCAGAAGTCGCATTTTCAGTGGTGCTCAGAGTCCTGTGCATTTGTTCATTTTCTCTCTCAGTCTGGGTCTCGACCTGCTTCAGTTACTCACTGGACTCATCTTTTTTCTTCATTCTTTATTTTTCTTTTCTTTTTTTTCTTTTCTCATTGCCTTCTGAGATTTTTTCCCCTCATTCTGATTGGTTTGTTTTCATGTTTTTTTCATCTTCACCACCATGATGGTTTGTGATTGGCTGCGGTCTGTTATGTGGCGTCATGCGCCACCTACCTATCCTCTGGCGTCCCACCTGCAGTGGGCGGCTCTCTCTGGTCTCTGGGTCTGGGCTCTGCCCCCTCAGGCCCTCCAGCCCCTGGCAGGTTGCACAGGAGCATTTCCTGGGCAGGTACTGTCCACCACATGTGTGACCCCACATCTCCCCCACCCCCTCCAGAAAACCCCTGGTTTAGTGTAGTTCTTCTCACTTGTACAGTGCAATACAGTAGTCTGCTGACACAAACTGTAGTGACATTTGATCATCACATGACTTTCATTATATCTATATTATATGAAAGTTAAACATTTTATTTTACATTGCTGCTAAAAGTCTAAGATTGAACGATCAAAACATTATTTTCATAATAAAATGATGAGACTAGTTTGACATTTTGGAAAAACCTGATTATTTGTTTTCTGAGGACAGTTAAATGAGATGATCGATACCACTCTAATACTTCTGTTCTTTATAAAGCTACAGCCAGAAGACAGATAACTTAGCTTAACATAAAGACTTGAAACAGGGGGAAACAGTTAAACTGGCTCTGTACAAAGTTAATAAAGTTTGTCTACCAGTTCTTCTAAAGTTCAAATTAATACGTTATCGCTTGTTTTGTTTTTTTAAAATCCAAAAATCGAAGTGTAAAAATGACAGGTTGCAGTTTTACAGAGGATTGTGTACGGGGCTATTTATTGGCTGGGATGCTATGTGGTGCTGTGCTATGCTAAGCTAACTGTCTCCTGGTTCCTGCTTCATATTTTCCATACAGATATGAGAGTTGTATTGAGCCTCTCATCTAACTCTCAGCAGGGAAGTGAATAAATAGAATAATTTATTATTCTCCAAAATGTTAAATGTTAAAGATGGTGTGTAGGAATTTCTTTGTTATTTTTTTTTTTACTGTTATGCTCAAAAACTGTGCAAGTGAAGGAATTCAACATTTCTGCTTTACCCATCAGTCTTCTATTAACACGGGAGGGAGGGAGGGTCCTCTACAAGTGATGCTGAAAACATGCCTGCACTCGGATCAATCAGTCCAATGACACCAAAGATTTTTTGACCCCCTCCATGATTTGTTTTCTAATCATCTTCTCTAACTCTTGTGTTTTTGAAATGTACTCCCAGGTTGACCATTTAACCTTTGACTCTCTGATGTTGTCAACAGGAAAGCCCAGACCTCATCCAACTATTACACTCTTCCTAGCCTTACTGGTAGACCAGTAGGACGATGAAGACATTTTCAGCGCTGCAGTTTTGAAGGCCAACACTCAGGTGTCAGACCTGACTGTGTTGGCTGCTGCTGCTTCTTCTTCCTTTTTGAATGTAGGGAGAGTGTTATAGGGGAGATACAGGACTGGAGGGCCTGGTCTGGGATGCTGTTGTAGTAGCTGCAGCGTGTTTTACCTGCAATTTCCCTTTGGGATTAATATAGAGCTCTATCTATCTATCTATAACCAACAAGCTGAACCAAACAGATGCATGTGTTTTGATGGAAATCAGTAGAAGAAGCAGTGATGGATAGATGCTGCTTACTGAATTGATCTGTCTGTGTCTCTGATCTCAGTGTTTGTAGGTCTGATTCACTCAAGGTCATGATCTTAATCTCTGTCCATACGCACGTGTCTGTGTGTGTGTGTGTGTGTGTGTGTGTGTGTGTGTGTGTGTGTGTGTGTGTGTGTGTGTGTTTGCCTGACTGCCTCTGAGTTTGTTTGATCATGTGGCTGCATCAGATTCTGTTTCATGTGGCAATGATTCATTTGACTTGTTATCTACTAGAGTTTAGATTTTAGAGAGAATGTGTGTGATTTGTTGAAGTCAAATTCGCTACTCACGACTGTGCTGAAATCTTTGATGTTTGTCGGGAGTCTTACACCTGCGTATGCTTCTCTGTTTCTCTGATTGTGCAACTAATAGCGGGCAGCACTGGGATGTGTGTGTTTCTTCAGTTTTTGTTTGTGTATATATCCACCTATAACCCACGGTTGTTGCTGTGTCCTGCTGTAGACTCTGTGGTGGTACTGGAGGAGGGGTCAGGGGTCAGTGCGGCACACACCCCGTCTGATTGGCTGGAGAGTGAGGAGTTTGAGCCAACGACCTCTGATCCCATCTTCATGTCAGCTGACAAGTTCACAAAGACTCCGCCTCCTGGAACACTCAGCAGGGTGGGTAGCTTGCACACACAAAATAAGACACGATGCGTATGTCCACTGGACTTGGTGGCTTGTGCGGCAAATAAAGAAAATACCACATGAACTACAGCATGGTAGCTGTAACAGACTAATAAATACATATTCAACATATTCAATACATGTTCAACGTGGCTTGTTGTGCTGCCTTGTTCCTGCATTGTTCCTGCCAACATTTAAAAGCTTTAAATTGAAATTTATCACAGCATCTCCACCACCTGTTGCTGTTTGATTATCAGCTGATAGAGTCAATGTCGCCTGCAGGTTTCCCCACCTTTGCTGCTGCACAACAAGCAGCATGCCAGCACAGCCATTGATGGCACACCTACCAGTGTTTGTATTCTGTCCTCACAGGACCATACTGTGGATTTGCATGCTTTAGGAACAAGCTAATCTGCTAAAACATGCTAAACCCACTGGAATGGTCATTTAAAGGGCTTGAAATCAGCTCCACTTATCTTTCCCCTGCAGTCCTCCTCCACCTCCAGTCAAGATGATGAAAAGTCAACTCTGGAGGAAGTAAGTGAGGGAGCCATTCCCATCGATCAGCCGACCATGGGACCCTCCACTCCAGGCAGCCAGGGGCCTGAGCTTCCCTTTCAGACTCACTCTCAGTCCCAGGGCCATGGGCTTAACAAGTCCAGTTCCTCTCCGGAGCTCCAGACCTTACCTGAAGCCTTCACCAAGGCTGCTATGGAGTCAGAGACTGTGCTGGCAGACACATCAAGGCCCCGAGCGCCTTCAGATGGCAAGCCTCAGCCCCAGCAGCCTCATTTTGAGAAAGAGAAGGTGGAGGGAAGCACAGGAGGGGACGTTAATGGACCAGGGGGTCAAAGTCAAGGGGGTGAAGGCCCAGGTGTAGCATCATCTCAAAGTGGAGGGGCGAGGATGAGGTTGGAGTTTCCAGCGGCGGCAGCACAACCTGGACCCATCTCTCCCAGCGGAGGCCACCGACCCCGGGGTCACACTATCTCGGTATCGGCCCCCTCCTCCAGGAGGGAGAGGAGGACAGAGAGGGACTCGTACCACAGTCGGCCTGGACCCGGTAACACGGAGAAGATTTCTGGACTTAGTCCCAGGTACACGACAATTTACACAAGAAACTACCGCAGCGTCTGTCTTCTCTCTCTGCCAGGTCAATGATGCAGTGTATCAAGTCAGTGAACTAATCTCTGCTCCACTGGCAAGATCCAGTGGCAGCAAGTGGCAGCCTGCCAGTGCAGAAAAGTTTAATGACATTCTATATCCCACATTTAAATCGAAAATATTATTTGAGATGATGAAAAATTGCAGGTTGAAATCTGTTACAGTGAGAGGTTATAAACTTCTTCCTAGAATATAATCAATGCATAGTTGGCTAATATTTCTTATAAAAACCTCAATTTACATTTTCATTGCATTTCTTTATTTGTATTTTTATACAAAATAGATCTTCATGAATACCCAGACTATGAATCACACATCTCTTGTGTTTTAAATGACTCATATAGACAAGGGAAAATATCAACATGTGGTTTATGAGCCTTTTTAAAATTCTTGGGCTTGTGCCCAACATTTTTTTTTCTCTCATTCTGTCACTGTCTCCTTGTCTCCTCTAGCTTCGTCTTCCTCCAGCTGTACCACTCTCCTTTCTTTGGGAATGAAGCCAACAAGCCGCTGCTGTTGCCCAAGACTCAGGTAAGTTGACCTCTATGCCTGGCTGACCTGTACTCTGCCCCAGGGCCATGCACAGTGGTGTTTACAATGTTTTCTCTCTCTGGTAGGTGATCGACCGCGCTGTGAAGGTTCTCGACCAGATGCCTCCTTATGACACCCACAAGATTGGAGTGGTGTTTGTTGGAGCTGGTCAGGTGAGAAGACATTCACCTTGATTTCTGTCTTCATTGATAATTACTGCCAGATAATTCCTATAGCCTGCTCTCTGACTTTCACTCTCTTCAGGTTAACAATGAGGTTTCCATCCTGTCAAATGAGTACGGTTCGAACCGCTACGCTGCCTTCCTAACAGGCCTCGGAAAATTAATCCATCTGAAAGACTGCGACCCCGACCAGATCTTCCTTGGAGGTCTCGACCAGTACGGAGATGACGGAGAGTTCACCTACTGCTGGCACGACGACATCATGCAGGGTTTGTGTGTGTGTGTGTGTGTGTGTGTGGGTGTGTGTGTGTGTGTGTGTGTGTGGGTGTGTGTGTGTGTGTGTGTGTGTGAGAGAGACAGAGAGAGAGAAGAGTGACATTTATGGTAATTATTTGTTTTCCACAGCCGGTCTGCTCTGCTTGTTATTAATGAAATCGTGTCTCTGCAGCTATCTTCCACATAGCCACACTGATGCCAAACAGGGAGAGTGACAAGGGCTGCTGCAACAAAAAGCGTCACATTGGCAACGATTTTGTCATGGTGGTGTACAATGACTCTGGAGAGGAATACAAACTGGGCACCATTAAGGTATATGCACACACACAAGCAAAAAAATAAAATCTGAAATCTGCAGGACATATTTGTGCTTCAGCTCCAATCTTTTGTCTTTTTTAGGGTCAGTTTAACTTTGTAGAAGTCATTATAAAACCGCTGGATTATGAATGTAACCTGGTCACCCTCCAGTGCCGCAAAGGTGAGCTGATCACTGTGTTTTTTTTGCTCTTGCTCTTTGTTGCTGTCAGTTTTGTTTTACTTTTATTCCTTCTCTTGCTCTCTCTTTCAGACCTGGAGGGGTTAGTTGACACAACGGTGGCAAAAATCGTTTCAGACCGCAACCTTCCACTCTTAGTCAGACAGATGGCTCTGCATGCCAATGTAAGTCTTCCCCTTACCTCTGTCTCTCCCAACTAGTCACACATACACACACTTAGTTCACTCTTTGTTTTTCCGTAGATGGCCTCTTTGGTGCATCAGTACAGAGCAAACCCCTCTGATGCTTATGCCTCTAAGTGGCTTGCGAGATTACGACACATTAAGAGGATCAGGACCAGGGTAAGAACAATGCACACAAAAACATAAGAGATGGCTCTAATCCATCACTGTCACTCTTATTGATGTTTTCAATTTCCTCACGTAATTTCATCCATCTTGTTGACTCTGCTCTGACTCAAAGGCTCAAGAAGACATTCAGTCTCGCTCGACTCCTGGCATCTCGCTGACCCAAGGACACACTCAGCAGAACAAGTCGTTTCAGCAGAGCACTCCTGCTTCAAACCCAGAAGCGTCTGGGCAGAGGAAAAGACTTGTATCAACAGTGGATGATTTCACTGATTTTGTTTGATTACATTTCTTATCCCGACAGACGGGACACACACACACACACACACACACACACACACGGCGTGTTTGTGTGTTAATGTGTGAGGAATAAAAAGTGGTCATGAAAAAGATTGGAAATGTGGGGTTGTGCTATGTTTGGTTAAAGCAGCTGTAATTGTTATTGTTTTTAGAACAATTGATCATGACGATGTGATAACAATGTGACAGTATGAAACTGCGTTGAACTGTCACCTAAATTTGCAGCTTCACACCAAGTTCCAGATCAGTGTTTAACAGCAGACAGACACAGTTAGCAACTTTTTTTATTTTTTATTACATTTCCCTCAGGAGTTGGTGGAGACCACAAACAGAGCTGAATGAGAGTGAATGTTGGACTGAGATTAATCAGGTGGACAGAAACATGACTCCACATGAATGATATTGTTGTTCCATAACTGTTGGATGTGTAAATAAGCAACCGTTCACCATATCAACTAAAAGCTCATGATATAATGTTGATGTTTATGTAACATTTAGTGGCCACTCAATAACAGACCATAAACCTTTAGCACTGGGCAGGAGAATAAGTATTAGTGATGTTTGTAATTAGCACCAGAACCATTTCATTATGCACAGTTCAGCTGTCAAACTCTTTATTTGACTTTGTCAAGTGCAAAAGCATGAGAAGTGCTACAACTGCAAAATACAGATATAAGATACAAAAAAGGGCGTAGACAAATATGTAACACTGCTTTATAACAAAATGCATTGTACAACACAAAGGCAGCTAGAAGACACACAGGTGAGCTTTGGCACTATATTGTTACATATGGTACACACAGAGCAGGACTATGAAGGCCAGTGGAGGCATTATTTGTTCACTGCTGAGCTTCCTGTTTCTAGTTGGCAAATTGTGAACAAAGATTTATATTAAATACATTGATAGCTTTGGCTGTAGTGCTTCAGTTAAACTGGAGAAATGTAAAACGTTTGGGTTTGCAACACCAGTGCTTGACCTATGAATACGCCGCTGCAGCACATAAACAATACTGCTCATGAAAAGCAAAAATATATACAAAACAAAGCACCAATATATACAGAAATATACACACACAGAAGAAGATGGGCCTTTTTTTCATTCCTTTAAGTGAGATCCTGAAACTCTGAAAATCTTGTGCAACTTATTTGCCAAGAAATAGGTGAGATTAAGATTCAAAATCAAACCCTTTTATGCTTTGTGCTGTGTAATGATGGGGTCTGTTTGGAATAGGGAGAAAAAAGAGCCTCAATCACACTTTAGTAAACCTATGAGTACCTCTGCAAAATCAGTCCTCTTTCATATCCTTTAAAATCCCATGAAAATGGAGCTGACACGTAACGTCCCACTTTTTGGCTGAGAGAAGAAGGGTGCTGAAGTCTAGAACAGGCTAGAAGTCATCGTCAGTGGCAGAATTTAACCACAAAATACATCATTTCCTTTTGGTTTTCCTGGTTATCTTTCCAGGTTTCGGGGAAAGGGTGGGTTCCCTGAGATCTGCCCACTGCACACAGGAAGTACATATGTACGTTGATCAAAATAAGACAAAAACAACAACACTACAAAGACCAGACAAAAGCACAAGACAACTACAAACTATTAATACCTTGATAATACTTACTAGAGTGTTTCTATAATGTAGCTGTTAAGGTATTAAATGAAAACTTGACACAAGAGTTAAATATGGCGTTGGATATCAGCTCCATTGGAAAATAAAGTGCTAAGTACAAAATGAATGAATGAATTACTCGGCATGGTAACAATTCAGGATGCATAAATGATGCAAAAGCTTTGGCAACGTTTATAGTCAAGATACAGTATGAGTGAAGCTTTTTCTATTGGTTTGGATACCAAGCTTATTACTTTACACCACACCCCATTAGAAAACAATCTACTTCTGAACAAAAGTGCTTTTAAATCAACCATATCGAACACAACACAATAAAAAACATTTCTAGAAGACACTCAGACTGGGAGTCAATATAGCTTTATGATGGGAGAACTTGTGTAAATGTTCAGTACTGTTAATAAGTGAAGGCAAAACCCTATTTTTTCCTTAACTTTTATCTATAACCAAACTTCTCCACTGAGCACCATTCTTCTTTTCTTCTTTATTCCCTATTTCGAACACTATACGCTACTTTGTTCTGTGCTACGACCACTTGCTACTCCCTCTTGTCACTACTCATGGCTTCCCGTCACCTTTTATCTGCCTTTCACCTGGATCAGTATGGAGAAGGTGGTTATATCTGCACCCTGAAGAACTAGCTGCTGGGATCCCAACAGTCTTGTGTTTGTGTGTGTGTGTGTGTGTGTGTGTGTTTGTTTCCTCTTGCTCAGTGGGCTGAAGTGTACGACACATTACCATTAGCGTGTCTGCAACTACAGTGTTATTTCTATGCATGTTAACCTGCATGTGCGTATATATCTGTGTGTGCCCATATGCAAATTCGTGTTCAAAACCATAAAACATGACTGTTTTCAGACAGGCCACAAGTACCCATGGTAACCGAAATATAAAATATAAAAATATGTGGACAAACAACATAACTGAGAAATCAACAATTTTTTTTCTGAGATATACAAAAAGACTGACTGCATTGTCTGCTTTCAGTTCGTTAAGTCCTCTGGTGAACACGCTCATGTGTTCCTGTCAGCGACCCCACGCGACCTCCAGGGTCGTGTGGGGTCAGGGGTCAGTTTGGGTCTGTGGGAAATAAAGAATAAGTGTATTTCTTGGTTTAAATGTTGACCTTTACATGGGTGTTTAAACCAGCTCACTTAGCATCCGGTGGCCTGCACCTTGTTTCTGAGAGAACTGAACTGGGATTTGGACGGATCACTTCTTGTAAACTTGCAAAGTCTTATTTTATTGCTTTCTGTTCAGCTTTCATTTCCCCAAACTTAGTCTCTGTGATTGTTCTTGTTTTCTTCCTTTCCCCTGGGTTTAGAGAGGGGCACCTGGGGACAAAACCTGCTGTCCCCGTCCTCCTCTCGTCCTTAACCCAACATTCACTCCCACATTCTTTTCTTCCGCCTTTCACTTCTGTTTTTCTCTCCATGCAGAGTCCTCAGGATTTGGGGTGTCCAGTGCCGTGCCTGTCTAAGTTGGGGTGCACCTTATTTTTGAGGGGTGGGGGCTTGCGTTTTCGCTTGCGTGTGGGAATGGTGGTTGTGTGAGCAGGGTGGTTAAACAGGCTGGAGGAGGGGAGGGTGTCTCTCTCTGTGGGAGGGGCAGGAGTGGAAGGCAAAGAAGGTGCGGTGGGTGTTTTGGGCAGTGGGACATGGGTAGGGGGAGTGTTTGCTGATGAGACAGGGAGAGAGGAATCACAAGCAGACTTATTGTTGACTGGTGTGGGTGGAGGTGCACTGACTGAAGACTTGGCTGATGACTGAGGAGCGGGCGTGAGTGTAGAGGCAGAGACGGGTCTGGGCTTTAAAAAGGGAATAGGTGTGGCTACAGGAGTCTTTTTGGGGTTGGCAGCAGTCTTTCCACAGTCCTTTGAAAGTTCACTTTTAGCCACCTTTTTCACCTTCTTGATCCCTTTGTGTTTTTCTTTGCCACTCTTTCGCTCTCTCCATCCAGCAGAGTCCTTGTCGTCCCCCTTTCCCCTCTGTCCTGCCTCACTCCTCCCTGCCTGACCACCGCCTGCTCTCTCTCTCCCTCTACACCTTTTCCTCTGGGCTTGCTCCAGTCTACACTCGATGTGGTACAGATCCTCTGTTGCCATGGTGACACGGTCAATCTGTTGCAGCAGGGCATCAAGAGTAGGAAGCAGCCTCGAGGCTTCAGTCTCTTCCCTCTCCCTCCAACTGGCACCTCCCACCACCACTCCTGGGCCGAGGCCCAACCCAAGCCCCAAGCTGACCCCCGGGGCTTCTGTCAGGCTGCAGGGGCTGGAGGAGGCCGGACGCCATGAGGCCTCGGAGCCGGCATCGACGCTGTCTGGTGTAGGTGGAGAGTCCGGACCGTCTAGTGGTGGCAAGCACAGGGACTTACAGTCGCTGGTGGAGGACGAGCGCGATGGTGGCAGCTCCATGCCTTCAAAACGCACCTTGTGACGAAACTAAGAAGAGGATGAAAGAGAAGATGGAAGATTAGGGGAAAAGTATGGGAACTGATGTGTTTCTTTCTAAATAGGACTAGAAACTCAAGACGTTAATAGAGTGTGTTCTACCATCAATCTTTTCATATTTTGTCCCAATAGAATCTCTAAAACCTTCATTGTGTTTCTTTCCTGAACACTTGTTATAGAGATGAAACAGGAAATGTACCTCCTTGGCCCGGCTCAGTCCCATCCACATTTTGAGTCGTCTGAGGAACAGCTCGACCATCTCGTAGTCTTGAAGATCCACAGCCGGACGGTACAGCTCTGCTCGTGCACGGCGGTAGTTCCTCAGTAGCACAGAAGTGACCAACCAAAGCAACACCAGCCGAAATACAGAGAAGCTCGCGTGGAACAGCAGTGAAGACATGGTGCTAGAGGGACCGGTTATCGTCCAGCCGGGACGCCACGATAACAGCCCACCAGCACCCAACAAAGACAGACAGGCGGAGCTCACACTGCCATAGCCATCCAATACAGAGTGGAAGAGCTGGAGTCAAGGAGAGAGAGCAGAAAAAAGTTTCAAACAGATCACTCCTCAAAGTGCTTCAAAAAATACTGGAAAAATAAATAATAAAAATTGTAGGAAATAAAATGAAAAAAAAATAAGAACTGTGAAATTGACAGAAATCCAGGACTAAAAACAGTGTGTTCCAGCAAGTAAGCAAAACACTGATATGTCAGGTACGAAGACAAAAATGCAAGAACTCTCTCTGTGACCACGTCTAATATGGACAAAATTTTGACCTGATGGTGGCGGTATATTGTAAAGATACAGTATTGACCTCTTCTTCAAGCTCCCGGTGAACGAATCTAGCTGAATTTTGGAAAGCTACACTTGGAAATAGGTCTGTTACAGACGTGGATCGATGGATCAAGGCCACTTTTTGAAACCATTTTTTACACTGTCCTGCTTAAAATCACTCAGGAGCAAAGTAAGGCCTGTGATACTCTGTGGTAAAGAGGAGGTGCTCACAGTGACACAATAGTTCTCTGTTGAAGAAATATTCTTTTCTATTTATCATTATCCATCATCTATCATTATTATTTATTTATCAAATCACTATATTGTTACATGCTTTTTAGTCTTCTGTCCTCTGTTAGTCATAGTTCATGTAACATTATTACTACAACAGTTATGCTTCCATTCTGGCAGGGCTGTCTCAAAAACACACATTATATCTCAGTGGAACATGCTAGTTAAGTAAAGGTCCAATAAAAGAAAAAAAAAACAAGCTGTTGGGTATTATTGTGTTATCATGTACACAGCGGAGACTCTTCCTCTGGTATTATATATTTCAAACTTAGAAACTTGACAAGACTTGGTAAACACTGCATAAATATTATCATATCTTTTAGAAAAGATATTTGGCAGTCACAACAGTGAGGCTGTTATTGTGGTCTAGTAATAAAGATGAAGCCATGTTATTCAGTCTGTACTAAAGTGAATGCTTATTGGAAATTCCATCTACTGTAAAGAAAGTGAACTGGAGGCATAAGAATCAAACACAGCCTTGCATGAAAGGATAAACAACCACAAGGTTATGTACACAATTGTACACTTGTACATAATATTCAATGTACAAGTTTACAGTATGTTTGGTGTGTGTGTGTAGGAGAGGCTCAGTGAGAGAAACAGAAGGAACAGACATGAGAAAAAGTCTGACCAGGTGTCCTGTGTGTGAGTAAGCCAGCATCAACAGCAGTAACGCCAGGGCGACTCCCAGCAGCTCCCAGAACGAGCGCCGGAGAGCTCTGCCAAACACGGCCCACTCTCTGAGAAACCGCAACTGGTGGGATGCCTGCATGATCACACAGAGACAGAGAGAGAGAGAGAGAGAGAGAGAGAGAACGAGCGAGCGAGAGAGAGATAGAGCAAGCGAGAGAGGGACGGGGGATAGAGAGAAAAAAAATATGTGAGAGAAAATAAAAAATGTATTAATGGTAATAAATGAAAAATTTTATTTTCATAGTCATGACTATCACCTCTAGCTGTAATGATAACATTGTACACATTATATAACATTTATTCAGCAGATGCTTTTGTCAAAAGACTTTAATCCTGCACAGACTCACATTGGGAACAATTAAGGGTTCAGTGTCTTGCTCAAGGACACTTGGACACGTGGACAGGACGAGCAAAGCCTGGGTATCAAACCACCAACCTTACAGTTTAGCCAAATTAGCTAAATTACTTTATCTGGAGTTAAAACTCAAACTGAGCACACCTGTAATGGTAAGAGTCTCTCAATAATACCCAGTACCCTTCGACTTCCCTCATCTGTGACTCTCAGCACCAAGCCCATTGGTTCTACTGACGACACAAATCTTTAAATAATGTCTCACAAATTTACAGTTTTATTTTCTAAAAAGAAAGCAACATTTGGGTACTGTAGTTTTAAGAATATCTTACTCAAACAAGAGTAAATATTTGCTGGGGACTAGTTTCAGCTGTGGATTAATACACATTTGATCCAGCAGTATTTCAAATAAAGTGCAGTGCAACTATGTGGCTCACTAATGTGTTTTCAGCAGCTTTTGGACAACAATGGAGCGCTATGGCACAGAGGAATAAGTTCTATCAAGCTGCAGACACACAGATGAAACCTGCTGGCTGGATCAATTCGTTGTTGGTTTTTTTCTTTTCATGGAATTTAGTGACAATAGTAAAAATATGAAATATCGACATAAATACTTTAAACTGTTATGGTTGTTCTTTTTAGTGATAACTTGTCAAGTACATTGTCATTATTACTGACAGAACTGATGACCAGAATTACTAAACAGAACCAAAGTTGTAATAAACAAGCTCTATCCTTTAATATATTTATAATCAGCCCTCTGTCTTTCTCTCTTACCTTGAGCACCAGTATGAACAACAGCAATGCAGACATGACTGTGTACATTTGACTCTGCCTGGCCAGGGGGTGAAAATCTGTGAAGGCGTCCCGCGGTTGCATCACATACGACGCCCACTGCTGCGTGGCCATGGTGCAGCGGCTCAGGTGCAGCCCGCACACAGACACTGCCAGAGTCAGTTTACAGATGCCCAGGAGTTTCCAGGCTGACAGCAGGTACCTGTAGCCCTCTCTGAGGAATCCCAAGATCCCCCGCACCAGGAAATACAACACCAAGACGAGGAGGACGATCTGGAAAACAAGGAATCACAAAGTTTCATTGGAGATGTGTCGGCAAAACAATGACGCCAAAGACAGGGGGAAGGATTCAGTTACACCAAAGGGCTCAATAGTAATAATAGTTATTATTATCGTAATTATTGGGAGTGATAGAGGGGTTGCCAGGGGTTACCGTGAGTAGGAGCTGCAGATCCAGGCCTGTGATTGGCCACAGAGTGATGACAAGGAGGTCAAGACTGGATTGGGCACGCTCAGAAACCGGGAACTCAAACAGGAAGGAGAAGACAGCCAGGAGGTTTGTGTTGATGTTGTAGAGCGAGAACTCCACAAACACAGCACGAGTCCTGGGAACACATGCATAAAGATAAGATCAGGAGCCAAGTCACTTCCTGTTTTGGAACCAACTTTAATATTTTATTTATCTTATTTAAGATGGGTGTTTCCATTACAGGAAGTTTTATTTCAGTTTTGTGGTATGAACAGGATTAGAGGTTTGTTTCTCCCATCAGTTATTATTCTCAGAACAGTTGTTGAAATCAGGCCCACATTCTTAGCACATTCTTTCTGTCTGTTTTCTGTCTTTCATTTCAATGTTTGATGTTTTATAATTTTTCTCGTGCAACTTTTTAATGACTAAGTCATAGGGCCAATTGCACTACAGGGACTTTAAAACTCCATTCCAGATTTATAAAGCCTTGAGTATGCATGGTTCTGTTTTATTCCAATCATTGTGAAATTGTGTGCACATGCACATCAAGTCCCCATCTCTACTCCCTTATTTCTGGCCCCTGGACTGTGGAACAATCTGGTCAACTCCTCTTTTAAATCATGTTTTTAATGATTTTATTGCCTTGACTTATGCATTTAATATCCGGCTGAGCACTATGAAGTTGTTATGCTCAGTTCTGTCTTCTACTTTAATTTAAAATTTCTTAAAACCTAAAAGTTTTTTTTTTCCTATTTCCAGATTTTTTTCCTTCCTTGTTTACTACCTGTAGTCGAGCCAGTGCAGCTGCTGCAGCTGCTGTAAGGAGGAAGCGGCCTCCTCCAGGCTTCTGTTCAGCTGGTGGACCTCGTCAATGCTGTTATACACCCTCGCTTGACCCAAACGCCACACCCTAGAAAGATGAGTGGGAGGATACGCAGAAGAGAACATGACACATCAAAGAAAACCAGATGTTAAACAAACACTAAATCTGGCCAAAAAGTTAACTTAACGGCTGCTTTGTTACAGCCAGGTGTTCAATCCCTTTCTTACCAGTTCGCATCGCTAGCACCAGAAGCAGTGAAATCCTCAGCGTCTTTAGTTGGAGAGGTAAACCAGCCCTTTCCCCAAACACTGCCTCCTGCCCTGGCACCACCTGCAAATGGGAGAAATTGTCAACAAGATCAAACTGAGATCAAATTTGCCCAACTTAATCACCCCCCTGAAAAGTTCATTCAAACATGGAAGAGAATGAGTTCAGTAAACAGATGCTCAGAAATAACTGGAGTACCTGTGATGCTACACATGAAACATTTGATGCATTTTACTCAATAGAATTGAAAGAAAAACATAAAGGAATAAAGAAAAGATTTTTTTCATGTGTATGGTTCAATAAGTTAGAGAGAGTTTCTGTCAGATCAATGAAGCCTCAGTGACCACATTTCAGTCTCACCCCGTGTGTCGCGGATTTGTCGCAGCCTCAGCGTGCCGAGTAACACACTTCCTGTGTCTCGCAAGAGGACAGAGTCATCCACTAGCCGTGGCAACAGGGACTCATTCAGCCACATCAAAACATTATCTCGGCTAAAAGACAAATCAGGGTATTTGTCACACACATTGCTGTCAAACATACAAAGAAAATCATACAGGACGTTTGTGTGCGCACAGGATGACCATACATTTGACTAGAAGAAACTCTAGTTCTGCTCTTTTCAAAATAAACTAAATTCATGGACACTTGAGACACTTTTTGAAAATTTGTTCTCTCTTGGTTTGAATAAAATAGCACATGTAGGTCGAGTCTCAAAAGCCCACAGGATTTCTCCTGTGGTGCTCAGTCATGGAAGTTGCCAAAAAATCTTTTTTAATAGCTTGACACACTGTATGTATGTTTACCAAAGAAATTCTGAAAGTAAGTATTACAAGCACACAATTAGAAGGTCACTGAAAAATGAGATGTTAATCTCACAGGAGCATACTAATAGAAGAGGTCCAGGTCAACATTTAAAAAAAACACATTTCTATTGGAAACAGCACAGTATCTTATGAGGTTTGTGTGTGTGTGTGTGTGTGTGTGTGTGTGTGTGTGTGTGTGTACCTGCTGATGTTGTGATACTCAGGTGTGTGTAGGGCTTGTTGCAGCTGAGTGCGCAGTCTTAGGCTGTGCGTGTCTTTGGCCGAGTCAGAGTAGTTGAGAAGTAAAACCACCAACAGGAAAAACATGTAAACCAGGAAATTCTGAAAATGGGAACCAAATATTTTGTTATCACAAGAGACATAGAGCTTTAAACATCTACGACACAGTACAAATATAAAAACAGCCTCCAGCATCATCTATATCTACTGACTCACCTTCAGCATGGTGTGCAGCATGTGGACCTTGCGGGCCTGGTGCCGTGCTTGGGACAGAGCGAAGCCGTGTGGTGGTCTCACCTCAGGGACCCGCTGGACCACTCTCTCCACACGGGGGAACTCCACAAGCACATCCTGATCTTCTGGACGCAGGCGACGCACACACACTGCGTAGTAAACTGCCTCACACAACACCTGTGGGACAGAGGATTGTGTGAAAATAAAAATACGAAAACCTCAAAATGTTAACAGGACCACACCCAGATGGGAATTTAGTGAAAAGAAATTTTGGGTGTGTGCACTTGCACTCCAGCTTTTCCGGAATAAAGAAAAATAAATAAGAAAAATTGTTTTCAGCCTGATGTCTGTGTGTTGAGTCCTTAAAGGTCCCATATAGTACAAAGGTAGATGTCCGTGTGTTGTTTGATTATAAAGCAGGTCTAGGTTCTATATTAATACTGTGAAAGTATCAAAGTGCTCAGTCCACAGAGAAATGCACACAGCCTGTATTCAAAAACGAGCCATCAGGACTTCTGTAACTTTGTGATGTCACAAAAAAGACACCTGGCCACCCGGACCCACCATCCAAACCTTGCAGGATTTGGTTGCTCAAAGCTCATATATTTCTCAAATATTTGGTTCTCAGAGCCCCCTCTCTTCTGATTGGCTCACTGACCTGTTGTAACTAGAGCTCCAGAGGGAAGCCTGAGAGAGGAGATGTAAAACTACACTGAGTTTTTGGTTATTAAAACCACAAATATATCTTCTTATGGATAGAAACACTTCAAATCATCAAATCACAAGTAAAATGTAAAATATGGGAACTTAGTTAATTGTTTCAAGGGTGCCAAAGTGGCAGAATCATAAATTATTTAAATCAGCCTCAACTGGTTGAGGCAACTGATTTTTTGGGCCATCTGGGGTTAGCACAACAAGCTGTAAACATAGCACAATATTATCAACTCATAAAAGCTGTTATGGCAAATGAGTTTGTGTTGCTTATCTACACACACAGAAAAATCCTCATTAATTTAAAGTCATATTTTTGGCCTTCCAATATTCACTCAATTGTAGCTCTGTTTTTGGGCTCCACCAACGCCTGAGGGAAAGACCTGACTCTTTAGCTGTTAATTTCCTCCACTGTGTTCACCAGCTAGTTGCTAACTCTGCCTGCTGTTTGGTGCTGAAACTGGTGAGAGTGAACCAAAACATTAAAGTTACTGACAGTAAAACCAAAACATTGAGCAACATGCAACATGCAACTTGATGTAAAAGCAGAAAACAGTAAGTGTGTGGAAAACAAGCATCACTGAACATAAACATGTGTGTTCGTGTGTCTACCTTAATTGGCTCCAACAGAAGGCACGAGCACAGGAAACTGGCAAAACAGGAGATGAGCCACATCATGGCCATGCTTTGACTGAACCCCTGGCCTGCCCAAATCGAAATGCCATTCGCCAGAGCGATCCCCGCCCAGCTGCCCCACAAGGCGGCACGCCCACACCAGGGAGGGAACCGTCTGGGACGACACACGTCTGTCACAACTGGAGAGTGGAGAGAAAAAGCCAGAGGAGAGAGGGAACTGCATAAAGAACGGTTTGTGAAAGGAAATACTGAAAAGGAAAAATAAAAAGACCAAAGAGGAAACAAAGGCCCTAGAGATGAAACTAAGACGAATGATTGTCAATAAAAACTAAAATATAAAGGAAGGGACTTCTGAGAGTATACATGTTTCTAATTAACAGTATCAACTATTTAAATATAAGGAATTTGCATTTTAATTATATTGTTTGATACAAGATAAGATTGGAAGGTTTCACGCTTTGAAAGTTAAATAACTAACTAACAAAACAATCAGGTTAAGCTGTATAAATAGTGTCCCAATATCTTTGGACCCCATGCTGAAACAAGTGTGCCTTTTAAATTTGTCTTTTATCCTAAGAAACTGGGGTGGTTCATGTCTTCCTGTATCACTTATCTGACCAAAGAGTAAACCAGCAGAGTAACAACAGAACGGTTTGCAGATAATTGATCCATGAGGCAAATAACTTTAAGATGACCTTTGGAGTACAATTTGGAGATCTTTTACAATGACTTTGTTGTTGTGATGGTAAATCAGATTTTATGTAACAGGCAGCACAAATAAGTTCTTGTACAATCGACAAAAAGGACCTTGTCATTTTGCTCGACAAAATAATCCTGAACCAATGTAGTAGGAATGCACACACAAGGACATAATAGACTTCTCTAACATTTTCTGCTAAGCTATCTTGTCTACTGAGAGAACAACCAGTTTTGATGGAAATAATACGGACCAGGGTCAGTAAACTTAAGCGAAAGATGAAAGTAAAAATCCATTGATTTTACTCCTAGTAACAAACAAGCTAAAAAGTTACTTATCAAATTTCTTATAACTTAAAATGCTGTTAAATTTAAGGGATCACCAGAGGTTGATGTTTTGTAGTTTTTGGACAAAATTTGTCATAATAAATAATATGCCATCTGAAGCAATATGTATAATATGTATAACTATTATTATCTTTGTTAAATGTATTCCTTCATCTAACAGGTACAATGAACATTAACAGACTCATTTCTGACATTTGTACATTCTCCCAACCCCAACATGGTCCCACATAAAATTTGAATAAATGAATAAATAAACCTTTTTTTTCACATGGTGGTTAAGTCAATGATAAAAAAGGACTAGAAGAATATGCAAAATAGCTGCACCGTAAGAGATTTGATTGGATTGATAGAGTGGTTGGTGCTTCATTTGTCCTGTAGTGTCTTTAACTTAATAATATAATTAATCATAGGGCGACAAACAGACTCAAATTTTTAAGATGCCCCCCTCAAGTTTTGCTTGATTTTCTCCAGGTTTAAGAACATCATGAAGTCTTTAGAGGTAAGCGGTGGCTTCCACTTCAACAATATCCTTCTGTGTGCTGTGTGGCCATTATTGCAGCGCCATGATTAAAGCCTGAGCAAGGTGTTTGAAAGGAGCTGACCAGTCCAGACCAAAACATGTGTGTCATGTTTGCTGGTCAGTCTAGATAGAAGTTCACATCAACTTAATGCCGGTTTCTGGATCCATTTTTTGTATACTGATTGCCCGATAGTATAGTTTCTTAGGTTAGGAAGTGCCAAGCCGTTTGTTTTTTTATTCCACGAATAGAAGATTTGGGTAAAAAGACAAAAAGGTACAAAAAGCATGAGCACATTCATTTCAATGCAATTTACCAAGCAGTGGTAATATGCAAACTATACGACCTTACCAGGTCCCGTTGAAATTTTTCAATTAAGGAAAGAAAATTGTTTTTGTAAAGGTCTGATAACAGTCAACCAATATTAACACATACATACTTCTGGACATCTTAAAGGGGAACAATAGGTATAAATATTTGCAATCACATTGCTTTAAGTAAGATGTTTGTTGCTTGATAAATTACTTTTTCTTCCAAACACATGCACACGCGCGCGCGCACACACGCACGCACGCACGCACGCACGCACACACACACACACACACACACACACACACACACACACACACACACACACACACACTGACTCACTTTACACACACCTGTATTTGAGGTGAAAGCAGTTTTTGGTGGGTTCCTTCTGTCAGATTCGAGAGGAAGAGGCTCATGGAGGAGAATCACTTCAGTCTTATCTCCCAAAATGCTCGACCTGACACACCATATAATTAAACATAAGCAGGTCTGTAAATGTTACTAGTAATGCAGGTAATTCTTTGCATTTCTTGTGTCGGAGGTGAAACTTACAGGTCAGCCATCTCACTTTCATCAGCCTGAGGAAAGAAGTTCTGTTTATCTGCCAGGATGTGTTTGATTAGATCCTCATCTGTGAGTGAAAAGATGTTTATGTACTCAAAGAACTGAGGTTATTGGTACTGGCAGAAAAAAAGGCTTCCTACTGTGGTTACCTGAAGAGGTGAAATATTTGTTGCGTTGGTCAGTTCCCTCCTCGTCATCAGGGTTAAAGGTCATGTCAACACCCAAGTGCCTGCTCCCCTGACCCCTTTTCAGCCTTGGCATTCCTGCTCCATGCCCTGCCCCTCCCACCACAGACACGTCACTCAACAGCTCTGACCAATCCCTGTCCTCCGTCTCCTCCTCTGCCATGCCCCAGCTCTCCACACTGAAATACACAGTGAGAAATGTTTACTATGTTGTGTGACTTCAGCAAATTATTCAGGTACTTTAACAGTCTTTTTCCTCTCTGTCTCTCTACCAAACAACAAGTTGTTTTTCAGAGAACAATAATGATGTTGTTATAACACTGGAATCAGTGCTGAGACAATTATGGCATTAGAGTTTATAGTTTTGACAAGTGATGAGAAAAATCCTTTTTTCTCATTTGATTTTCAACTGAGGACATTTTTGCACTTTCAGAGTGCAATTCTCTAAATCACAAACAATTTCCCCTTTTCTTTTTATTATTCTCACTTCATCTGACAGCTGGCAATTATACTTGGTATTTGTATTCCAATAATGAAATCATGCATTATCTAAAACAACTGCCTTGGCAACAGAGTAATTCACCTTTTGGTTGATGGAGTGGGTAAATCCACATTGGTTTCTTCTGAGTTGGTCTGAGAAACAGATAGATAGATAGATAGATAGATAGATAGATAGATAGATAGATAGATAGATAGATAGATAGATTTTAAGTTAATATGAGTTCCATAATAAACTGAAAAACACATAAAGGCATCTGAACTTTAACTATAATCATATCAGGCACCAATCAATTTTAAGTCCCTGTCTTTTCCCGTCAGACTGTACCTCGTCATTAAAGAAGAGGAAGGAACTTCCAGCCATGGAGTTTTCCAAGTCATCGATCTCCACAGACTCCTGGTCCACTTGTTGTGGCACCTGCTCCACAGACACACACTAATGTTCACACACACATGCACAGACACACACGCACGCACGCACGCACGCACGCACGCACGCACGCACGCACGCACGCACGCACACACACACAAAGAGAAAATATTCAAGTGGCCTCTGAGAAGCACTGAAACCTTGATCATGTTTTAGTTTTGGGGAGATTTGAGTTACCTTGCTGCGGCTCATTCTGAAGAGCGTGAAGACGAGCAGGTAGAGAGGGTAGACAATCAGACAGGTCACCACACCTACTGCCACAGTCTCTCCATTTAATGAAGAAAGCCTTGACACGGCCTGCGGGCTAAAGCACAGGATAGCATTCAAATGTGGGAACTAATCACCAATTGCAATGTGGAAATTCACAAAGACAGCAGGCAGAGAGGACAAAAACACAAACGACACACATTCCTGTACCTGTATCTCTTATCCACCACGATGCTGTACCACAGTGTGTTGGCCAATAGAAAGAGCTGCAGCAACAAAGTGCAGCAAGTGGCTCTCTGCAGGCGGGTGAAAGGGCTGCGGAGGGGCCTCTCATAGAGTGACAGCCACAGGTGGCTCTCACACAGCGCCCTCTGCAGCTCGCACCGCGCCAGGCGGGGCAGCTGACGGAGCACAGCCTCCTCTGAAAGAAAGGGAAAGAAACAAAGTGGTACCGGCATCAGACTGGCGTCAACCAACAGCCATATTCATCATGGATGATTGGATTATAGCTTCTTACCTGATGCCTCCACCTCAATCTCTACACGTCCGTCAGTTCTCTCATTGTCGACTGACAGCCACTCCTCAACCAGGAAGTAGTAGCTGCTTCCTGTGTGCAGGTCTTTCACCAAGACATACTGCAGCATCCATGCTGGGGACAGACCTGAAGGAGGGTCATGAAACGATGGTTTACTCAAACATCGGCTACTTAAACTCTGTGATTACAGGGCTCTGTTATGTGTGTGTGCATGTGTCTATACCCTTGTTGTCATGCCAAATTTGTATTTTCCAGATGCTGCCCAGGCTGGTGTCTGTGGCAATGTGGAAGATATCAAGCGCGTTGCGTGAGAAGGCTCCTCTGCTGTCAAGATGGCGGTGTCCACTGCGGCTCTCACGCCCGTACAAATTGATTCCCACATGGGCTGTAGTGCCTGAAGGACAGACAGAAACTCACTATATCAACTTTAATGGACATTTAATTTGGATTAACATAGTTTTGGAAATTTTCATCATTAAATTGCCCCTGAAAAAGTGGGGTCATTCATCTACAAACTCTCTTCTCTACTCTGCCATGTTTCCTGTCTTTACAAAAAACTACTTAATTTTAAAATTGATCAACATTAATCAACTATTTTAATAATTGTTAAATTGGTTGAGTATTTTTTTCAAGCAAAGAGCTTAATATTTGATGGTTCCCGCTTTTTAAAAAGTGAGAATATGCTGTTTTATTATAGTAAACTCTATCTATATCTGTGGGTTTTGTACAAAGTAAGACGTTTAATTACATCACCTTGGACTTTGGGAAAATGCGATGGACACTTTTCATTGTTTTTTGTTATTTGAATGTTTTAGTGATGCTTTACAAATAAACAGGTTAACCAAGTTATTGAAACAATAATCTGCAGATGAATCGATGAGGCAAGATGAAATTAATCTTTAGTTGAAGCACTATTTCAAAATCATTATTATATATATTTACCCTATTGATTTATTTAATTTAATATAAATGTAACTACATTATAAAACATCAAAGATGTATTTCTAGCTAGATTGTTTTATTCAGATACTAGAATTGCTGCTTTTAATCAATGCTGTCCTATAATTACAGTAGTACAGTGGAACCTTAATATTTACAGTTACACACTCATTAAGCTATATAAACAACACCTTTTCTCACTTTTTATCATCTTGACATAAGATGAGTAATAGTGACCCTAACTCACCTGCCCCTCGACTCCAGCCAGTCTTAACCTGAACCTCATACTTGAAGAGTCCGTCTTGGCCGCAGAGTGGAACAACACCAGCCCGGCGAAGATCCAGCTGGTCCAACTTGTGCAAGATGGCTGCTGCTACAAGATAGCTTAGTAAGCCCAATACACACACCAACAGCACAACCAGGCTTGGTGCACCAGAACGTTCCTGAAGGAGAGGGGAAACGGTTTAAGTGTGTGTTCATCTGGCGAATATGCACAAAAAGAAGGCATGTTTTTTTTTGTATGATACTGACTGGCACTTTAAAGCTGATGGCATTGATTGGTACAAACACGCTTCCACCGAAGGCTGTGAGGTGCCTGGTGCGGCAAACAATCCTGCTGGGGTTGGTTTCTGCCAGGGGCACCATGCCATCTGTCCGCCACTGCTTCTCACTCTCACTGAAATACTGACACAGGGAGGCAAACACCGCAACCTCCAGACGAACACCCCCAGGCTGAGAGCCAGGGCTGCAGGGCGTGCTCACGTTGATGTAGTAGTCCAGTGTGGTGTCGTAGGACCTGTGTAACACGGGACAGAGGGGACACTGTCTGCTGTAGTCATACAGGACAGGAAACAATATCCAAAACAAACATGCCTCAGGTTTTATGGCCACACTATAGACCTCCCCCAGCAAACATGAGTATTAAATTCTAAACTAACATATTTAGTACACATCATATTACAGTGCAGTGAATGAACAAGGGCTCGTACTCTGGTGACAGGAAGAAGGTGTATTCCCTGTGGTCCATATCTTGCCCCCTGGTCATACTAGGTGTGATACGTTTTCTGTCTGTGCAGTTGAACTCGTTTGGTTCTTCATGGGAATGAAGGTAAGCTGTGATGTACAGCTCCTCTTCATCCTCTTCTCTTTTATCCTTCTCTCTGGCATCTGGAGAAAGAAAAGGAAAACTAGAATTACCACCAACCAGCCAAGTTGCAGGAAATATGGTCACAATGTCTCCTTCCTGAGTTATAGCATTTTTACACAGTGAATTTGACCTTTAACCCTTTGGATATGAAATGACAATACTTCATTTTATCCTATTAGATGTTTGTGTTAAATTGTGTCATAATTAGCGTATGAATTTGTGAGTTATGGCCGAACACATGTCTTGTGAGATCCCAGTGACCTCTGACCTTTGAACATCAACTTCTAATCAGTTCATCCTTGAGTCTAAGTGAATGTATGTGCCAAATCTGAATAAATTCCCTCAAAGTGTTACTGAGATATTGCCTTCACGAGAATGGGATGTACGTATACAGGGATGGACTGTCGCCCTCAGACATAATGATGAATGAGCATACTTAAACTGAGTCAATACAATTACAAATAAAATTATAAAACTGTATACAATTAACAAAGTAGATCAATGAGTGCTGTTTAACCTCTTTATACTCGTTATGTTAATGCAGCTATAGATTGTATGTTATCTCCCTAGTTGGTCCATGTAATAGCTCTATGTTGGCAAGCCAGTTCAAAAGTCACACTGCCACTTTCTCATGAATAAATACTTAAATACTGAAAAGATTCATAACCACATATCATACAATATAATAACATCCGATGTTCTTTCATTTATAAAGAGAGCAAGGGTTGCCAAAACAAAACAGAATAATTCTTTGTTAATCCCTGTGAGAAAATTGCACCATCACAGCTGCTTGGATACATGATGAGGGTACAAACAAAAAGGAAAAGGCTGCAAGGGGCCACTGATTTTGAAATAAAGCCAAAAATAACACTGCTACTAAATTACAGCTTCAAAATACCTTCCTCACTCAGTGTCAACAAAAATTGAACTTCTAAGGTAAGCCAATGAGTATGTTTTGTATTAGATTAGACATGTGATGAACGTCAAGAGCTCACCCTCCAGAGAGGTGAAGTTGAGCTGCACAAACAGCCCTGCCTGTCTGTTAGTATTTCCCATGCTGACCCTGACGATGACGGAGTCACAGTGGCTGATGTTAACGGCTCCAGCTGTGGGCAACCCTCCATTACCAGAACCCTCAACTCCAACATCACTGTTGCCATTGCTAATGGCAACAGTGATGGCCTGACTGTCATCCAGGCCTGAGATTGGGATCTGGGTGCCATTTTCAGTGCGAAACTCCATGGACGCCACCTCGGTAGAGACGTTGTAGTTCTCCACATAGTTGAAGGGGAAGGGGTTGGACTCCACCTTGGGGAAAAAAGAAGAAGGGAGAGAAAATCATAAGAGGAGGTGAAGTGGATAAATTGACATCTTATAGAAACTGAGGGTGAAACAGAAAAAGGTAAGACAAAACAAGTGCACTTCAGGCAGGTCATTTCAGTGTTTGCTCATGACAGACTTTAGCAACAGCAGTTTTCATGCTGCCCAGTTTTTTGACAGACATCCAAAGACGACGAGCATTCTGTACTTGATTGAGTGTTTTCTGTCAGATTAGATGTTTTCTGATGTTACCTGAAACAGGAGCTGCACGATGCCGTTTCCTGCAGCAGCTCTGACAAGATTGGCGTTCAAAGCTCGCGGGATGGAGAAACGCTGACACTCTGGAAAGAGAGAGGGGAAGGGAAGAAGAGAAGATTAAACACATGTTCCATCACGGTCCTGTTGTCCAGCTTTCTATAGATTATGAGGTGATGAACATGATCACCTACAGAAACACAACTTTCATGAGACAGTAAGTACACACCTCCACCTGGACTGTTGTCATGGTAGCAGAGCAGGCTCTGGGGGTCGGCCAGTTTTCCTGTGGCAGCGATCTCAGCTCCCCTCAGCATCAGTGGCTCCTCGTTGAGCACCCGGGCGTGCATCAGGATCATCATGAGGACCGAGGACAGGCTGTAAGCCTTCGCTGCCACTCGCAGAGGGTGCGGCTCTGGTGAAGAGGGTGAGGGGTCTAACAGGGTGCCAACTTGCTCCTCACCAAAGGAGGAAGAGGTGGAGGGGGGTGAGGGGGAATCGACATAGGCGGTCTGAAGGTAAGACTGGGAGGCTGACTGGCTGACCTGATGGATCAGATCACCTGGAGGGAGGGAGAAGACATGAGATGAGGTTAATAGCTGAGATTAGGAAAAGAAGAAAGTGGGGAAAAAGTTACAGTTGCCCAGTTTCCTTCACTGTAGTTTGTTTTCGCCAATAAATCTTTCAGTCTTGGAGTGCAGGAGGCTTTTTTGAGAAACAGAGTTAGTGAGCCAATTACTGACAGATGGATTGTAATTAGATGATTGGTTTGGATCAACGATCTACTGTAGATTTTCACTGTTTTCCTAAATATGTGTCCACAAATGTCTTTAGTGGAAATAAAGGATAAACTACAGAACACAAAGGTTAACCAAATGATCATGTACAAAACAAGTAGCATAAATACAGTAACACCATGAGCAAGTATTACAGTTGATCTATGCATCTCTATTTCGGTCTTCAGTTTTTTTCTATATGTTATCTGGTGATAAGCAACACCAGTGAGAGGGCGTTGTTCTCCACTTTGCAATAAACATACATGAATAAATGAGAGGTTGATAGCTCCTAATTAATGTTACACTTTACTTTCATTCATATTTTGAGACCAGCACTGTTCTGACAGATGGAAACACTCATGGATTCACAGCCAATTTTTCTTTCTTACCCATGATGTTCAGGATGTTGTCAGCTATCTCAGTAGGAGTGACGGTGCCCTGCTTGGTGTCAGTCTGCAAAATCTCCAGCATGGACTCCAGCTTGTTCAGAGTGCTGTTCTGACACTCCTCACAAATGAACTCACGACTCACCGCCTGGGAAACACAAACAGAATTGATCATTTCTTTGCTTTCCTTACTGTTTCCATCTTTTCTAGCTTTCCCTTCAGCTCACTCACCGTGCACTGAGCCAGACCAGCAGAGGTCTGCTGGATGTCGTTTACAGTCGTCAGGTCCAGAGCCGTCAGAGCTCTGGTAATGTTGCTGCGGACTCTGACTCGGTAACTGCGCTCTTCTCGGGACACCCATGCTGACCCCCTGCTCTGCTCATACTGAAAGGGAGTATAAACAGGTATAAGTATGCTTCATGATCCTGTCGATGCATCAATTGATGTTGGGTGATTAGACCTTTCGTACCTCATTTAGGACTGTAATAAGAGCCAGTGATAACTCTCTGACCCTCTGGGAGTCTCCTTGCTCCAGCAGCTTTTTAAGTTTGCTGTCTGTCAGCTCAGACAGCCAATGAGGAAGGCTTCTGTACTCAGGAGGTGGATCTGGCATCACAACTTCCATGGACCTGGACACAAACACACAAAAAATGCACTGCTACTGAATATTGTGTTTCAAACATAACAATATTGGATGGCATCTGTGGGCTGGTCTTCCATTTGGTCCAGACTGAATTATCTCGGTAACTGTTGAAATTAACTGTGAACTGTAACTGGACTGGCACAAATTCTCTTGAAGACATATGTGGTTCCCAAATCCAGATGACTTCCATGGTCACCTGACTTTTCTTCTGAAGACATCATGATGTTCACATTTGTGGTTTTCAGTGAAATGTTTTAACATCTATTGGATTGGCTACCTCTCAAGATGAACTGTAATAACTTTGGTCATCCCTTAAATTTTCACATTAGCACGCTAACTAGAATTACCGCCATACGCTTGTATCCCTCCGTCTATCAGCCAAGTTACAGGAAATGGTTACAACCTCTCCTTCCTGAGTTAGAGAATTGACTAATGGCCACATCCTTGAGTCCAAGTGGATGTTTGTGCCAAATTCATAGAAATTCCCTCAAGGCGTTACTGAGATATCGCGTTCACGAGAATGGGACGTACGGACATCCCAAAAACATAATGCCATATAAAAAGACTACCACCAGGGTAAACATGACACCTACTAAACATCAGCATTGTCATTGTGATCATTTTGCCATATTAAAATTACTATTTAGCTCAAAGCACTGCTGAGCCTGAGAAATTACCTTCTTTAGCTTGATTTCATGAAGATTTTTGGATCTTGTGCAGCTCCTCTTAAAAGCAGAGAAATAAACTTTTTCCAGTGCTGACGTATAAATAAATTGGGCTTTTTAATCCTTAGAGGGCACTGACTGGCTGGTGGGCTAATCATGCTCAATTTACTGTATTTTAAGAGGATAATGCACTGAGAATCAATACCGCTTTCCAAGCAATTCCAGTTAGATATATAAAAAAAGACAATCAATATAAGCATAACCTCAGAAATCCTGTCGAGTGGTTTGCTCCCTAGCAGGCCTGTTTAACTTGCTGCAGATAGTGCAAACATAAATAATACTGGAGGCTACTCTTGAGCAGCACATTTTTAGCTGCAGCCAAACATTGTTCAAATGCTTAGAATTGTGAAATTAAGCTCCCAGTCAGTCTCTGAAGATACCAAATATGTCAGGTTGAATTTAATTGAAATGTGCAGCTGAATAAATGTAGAATATTTTTATTTAATGGAAAAGTGCAACCATTAAAAAAACTGTGATTTTGGCTTTGACTATTTAACTCGCAAATTAATACAGAATATACATGGTATGTGATACGGTCTGTCAGTGTGAAATAAAAATTATTTCAACAACCGTAGAACTACTTGAGGAAAAATAAGGGAAAAATTGTATTATATTAAGGGGTTTTAACCTAGGGCTACCAAATTTAATTACTGTAACAATATTGTTTTAAAATACTTTTTCTGACACACATGCACAGAAACATTTGAGCAGGATCCAACTTTGGGGCCGTATGATATTGTCCAGATATTCCTGTCTTTCACAGGAGCTGCTGATCCCATAATAATATGACAGCTAAGAGTGGCTAAATTCACGGTTCAACACCCTCTGATGCAAGGCACTAAACTGTTGCCATTAGTTGCCAAAGGCCTAAACTTTATTGAGCTCTATGGTGAAATTCTTGGGCCAGAAGTGAGCAACAGAACAAAAACCTCGGAGATGGTGGGGATTTATTGTACCTCTCAGAGAAACTTCAGTAATGTGCAGGTTTAGCGGACTGCAGCAGCTTGGGATGTAAACAAAGAAAAGTTGAAGGTCTGAATCTTATTTAATTGGCCACACTTCTCTGCCTAACTGAACTAAATAGCAAAGTAAATTGTGGTTACTTGTTGAGTGCAGTGATGGCAGCTCCCTGATGGTCCTCCACTGTGATGGACACAGCTACACGGTGTCGGGCTGAGCTGAAGCCCGGGGGCAGGAAGGCCGAGTGCTCTGGACTGCTCCCTTTGTACACACAGAATTCCTCGCAGTAGTCTTCTTTGCAGCGCGTCACCAGCAGACTGTAGAGCAGGGGAGTCTCTGAGACCCCCAGATCACTGTAACCTGGAGGCAGAAAAGCGAGAAAAACAAAAAGAACAATAGAGAGAAAAAAATGACAATGGTAAATAGGTGATGAGTAATAGTACATTTACAAAAAATGTAAAACAGACACATACATACATATTGTGTCAGGCGTATGACAGTGAGGCAAGGCCGGCCCAAGGCATATGCTAACTAAGCGGCTGCTCAGGGCCCCCGTGGCCACTAGGGGGCCCTCAAGAGTTCTTGAAATGCCCCACCATATATTTTATTTAACATTAGGACCACCAGCATATTAGCACCCCTAGGCGCCACACCGTCATATATAATTACATCGTTTGGGCTCTCAAGCAGTTCTGCTCAAGCAGTGCAAAAAATAGAAACTGTACTTGGCCTCGAAACTGTTTGGTAGTTTTAATATTTATTTATATATATGATGGCTAAAACTGCCCAACACACCTGCTGCACACGCCCATACCTATGGCACACAGCTGCATCTGGAGACAATGCGCACTCTCATGCCAAGAGCCGTTGTTGCTGTTTTCTCTGAGATTTATTGGATTGTTATTTTTTGTTTATTGTGTGTTGGTGTTTGTATTTTACAATTGTTGTACCTGGAGATGATGCACAAGTTCTCAGAGACTGGTGTGGCTGGACTGCACAGCAGCCGGCAGCCCTGTTGAGATTTATTAGGCTGTTTTATCCTTATTCATTATCAACAATGAGGGTGATTGTTGCTTACTAGTTATAGCTATTAGCCTATAGGCTTACTATTTACAAGATCAAGATCTAGTTTGTAGTCATTAAATAAAGTTTGTGATGTGGCTGCGTCTGTAGGTATGGGCCAGCAGTCAGGTTGCTAGCAGGAGTCAAAGTATGAATTGAATTTCTGGCAAATAGCTTTATTTTTTTGAAATTTTAATACCTTATTGTACTATGACATTTTTTATGCCTTACTATACTATGACATATTTTGATATACTACACTATGATGTTTTTCACATTTTTATGCATATGTACAGTGGTTAGAACTGTTGCCTTAAACTGAAAAAGTCGTGGGTTGAATCCCAGGCATCCCAGGAATCTCAGGCATGGGGCCTTCTGTGTGGAGTTTGCGTGTTCTCCCTAAGCCTGCATGGGTTTTCTCCGAATACTCTGGCTACCACCCACAATGCACATTAGATTAATTGACATTTGACATTTTTATGCCTCACTATACTATAACGTTTTATTTTTTATCTTTTTTACATACTTTATGTACATATATGACATAATTGTCCCTATATCAAGAGTGATGTCTCATTCATAAGAGGATATATTACTATGACATATATACAACCTTTGTATATATGAAGATACAAGTTCATAACATATATGAAATACTCTTAGTAAAATGCAACTTTATTAAAACAACATGCTTATAATAATTCTTTATGTTTGTATTTGATTTTCTCAATAATTTCTTAATAAATTTAATCATACATTTCTATCTCTTATATTTTCATAAACAACGAACATATACTGACAGGATGGATATATATTTATATAACATTTATGTAACATATGTCTATATATATATATATATATATATATATATATTCACTGTATACACACATGATTTTCCTTCATGTGTGTACACATATTTCATATATGGAGATTCAACATGTGTACATATATTACATTTGTGTATGGGCATTTCTTAATGTAAATTCTGATCTTATATGTTAATAAACTGTTTGGTTGACGGCATTAAAAAGTCAATCTCTTTGTTTTGGAGAGGTGGTGGGGTTGTTGCATCCCTACCAATGTTGAGACCAAACCTACGCCCTTGGCCAAATTAAATTCTGCTTAGGGCCCCATAAAGGCTTGGGCCGGCTCTGCAGGGAGGTCACACCTTCCTTCTTCCTACCTGAACAGTTGAAGTGTACCCGGTCCAACAGTGTGCGTACCCTCCAGCCTTCAGCGTCCCCGTCCCCATACTCCACTCCTGCTTCCCCTCCCCCTCTCAGGTGACACTCTCCACCAGCCGGGGGCATATTGTGATGCAGCGTGATGGAGGCAACGCCCTCACCATCCAGACTGCCATCAGTCACGTGCAGGGTGAAGATGTAAGAGTCTCCGTGGCGCAGGACACCCTGCCGCAGCACCAGGTTCATGCCGTCACTTCCTGTGGTGGTGGAGGAGGAGTCCAGGACCAGAGTCTCGTTCTGCAGAGTCATGGCACTCCAGCGCTAAGAGACAAAGAGAGAAAGAGATTTGGTAAAATACACTTTGTAATTTCCTCAGAAGCATAAAGTCAAGTAGCCAACTTAAAAACTTTCAGTAAAGGTAAGGACAACTTCTTGTTTCTTTTTTTTATTTGTTTTATTATTTGCCTTACTGTGGCAAACAATAATATAATACTACTATTGTTTTAATACGCACCAAATATCTGTAGCCAGAACTCAAAGGCAGTGCCAGTTTGATACCTGAATGGTTCCTGTGGTCCAGAAACCAGGTTATACTGGTCCTAACTTGATTAATCCAACTTGATCAGTGCATTTTTTTGGGTAGCGGGTTATGAAAAAGGGGGGGTTGGGTTGGGAACGAAAGATACATAATGGGTGCTAAGCAGCTTTAAAGGAATAGATGAACATTTTGGAAAATACATATATTCACTTTCTTGTTGAGATGAAACGTTGGCTTTTGTCCTGATTAAACAAACAAGATATAACATGTTAATAAGTGAGCTTTAGAGGTGCTGGTAAGTGGATTTTCTTTTCTTTGGACAGAGCCAGGCTGGCTGTTTCCCCCTATTTCCAGTCATTGTGTTAAGATCAGCTAACCAGCTGCTGGTTGCAGCTTCAAATTTAGCATACTGACATGAGTGTATTTTCTAAAATGTGAAACAAAAATTATTATTGGTCCAATGAGACCTGAAAAGACCTTGCAGCTGTATACAGAGAATTTTGACACATTTGAGTCTTTTGTATACATATTAAGAAACTTACTTTCCCAAGTAAGAAATATTTCTAAGGTCAGACTTGTTATGTTTTGAATAATGTTGAGAAATGACTCCAAACTTTTATGTTGTCGCGGGGTATACTGTATAATGCTGCAGTTGGCTTCCCTCCATTGGCTGTCAGTGGATCTTAGGATTCAATACAAAACGTTGGTTATAACCAGTTTATATGTTCATATTGTAACTTAAAGTCTCACAGGTTGGCTAACCAGTGTCTCATGGATGTTTGAATCCATACAAGCTTTACATGGAATTAAAGAGGCTGAAACCTGATGGAAACTGAACTTGTTTCCAGTTGAGGCTCTTCTTTGACTCCTCTGTTGAAATATATGCATGGCGGACCACTTTCCCATGAAGTGGTCTCAGGCTTTTGGATTCCACTGTATGCAAAGCGAACCAGTATGGAAACTTAGTGGAATTATTTTAAAAAGTAAGCTAGGTTAGTGTACAGCTGAGTCATAGTCAGTCAGCTGGCATGTGCAAATTGAGGACCAGTGACTCAACTCAAGTGTTTTGTCTTTTAAATTGTTTCCCTGTTTTAGTAAGGACATAACATATTCTCTCTGGCTCCACTTGTACAATGACCTCATTCTCACACCCACACACTGCCTGCATCACAAATCCCAGGGAAAGTCTGAATAAAGGAGGGAGGAGGAGAGAAGGTGGAGCAGGAGGAGGAGAGGGAAGAAAAGGATCTGGAAATGTTGACTCCACTGTCACTTCTGTGGTGCAGTGACCTCATTTTGCTGAGACACAGATTTAGCTGGGTTGTGTGCTTGTGCCTTTCTCTCTATGTGTGTGTGTTTGTGTGTGTGTGTGTGTGTATGTGTGTGTGTGTGTGTGTGTGTGTGTGTGCGTGTGTGCGTGTTTACCCCACGGTGGAAGCCCTGGCAGTTGGTGCAGGTTCCTCTGAGGTAGACGTACGAGTTCTGGCTGACCTCGTAGATCGACTGGGCCTTACAGGACACACACTCCAGATACACCATGGGAATGTGACCGCTCTGTACAAGCACCTGTCACACATATACATACATGCAATGTGAAACAATGGCATGGGGCTAAGTCTGTCCAAACAGAAAGTAATCTTCCCAACCACCTAAAAACAAACAGCAAGCATTCATCTGCTCTATGTGTTGTTTCTAATTAATTAAAACCACTACTACACACTATGTGTCATGCATTGTTATGCTTACTTACACCACATTTGGTTGCCTCTGGTTTATGTTTTCTATTCTTCTCTCAGTCTAATTGCCATTTCCTGTTTTATCTGTTATGTTTTGTTTCTTCTCATCTAATAGACTAAAGGCTCACTGTATTTTGCTGGGAGCAGCTTCAGTGCCAAGATGTTGAATTGTTAATCAATAAACCAGAGATGTCATCACAAACATTTTGGAGAATAAATAGATAATGGAGAAGGCCGAGAACTGGAGATTTTGAGTGCAATTATTCATGAAAGAGACTAATTATTTTCATTACAGTGAATAATGTGATTGATTAGTATGAAACGAGTAAAAAATGTTCTGCAAAACTTTTTGATATACTCACAACCATCCTAGAGAAATCTCTCCAAATATAAGACAGACAGGCAGTATGTGACAATACATGTACATGCTTAATATCGGTGTGCATTTGTAATTAAGCACGACTGAATAGATGTTGAAAATATTTAACATTCTCACTGTGGAATTGATAAATGCTCACCACATTAATACTGGGACAATCAATAACAACCATGACCACTGCTTGAACTACATCTTCCCCTGTGTTCCACCATGAACAGTTTTTTCCACTCTGATTTTTATCCTGCTTGGTGTGAGTCACAAATTACAGAGCCCTAATATGGACAGCAGAGGTTGACTTCCCGATTTTAGAGTTTCTTGTTGTAGCTGAGGGCAAAGAATGAGTGTAAGGCTGATGACAAATCACTTCTAACATGCTCAACAACACTGCTGACAGTATGATATATGAGCTCTCCTGTAACCCTAACCCAAAATTGACAATCATATACTGTACTCCACAAATGTGGCCGAGACCTTTATTTACCTCAACTGCCGAAGGCAAGAGGCCTTTATTTGAGGCTGGCTTTCATCAGAGGCAGGGCTTCATTTCTTATTTGCTGTTTGATAAGTATAATTGTTTTATAATTCCTCTAAATGAAAGAGGGACTCCTTGTGACATCACAGCTTGATTACTATAAAATGATTTCTTACCTTGAAATTTGTCAGATTGCTTATTAGAATAACTGTTAGAAGCCTGAAGACGTAAAACTACCTCATATTTCACAAGAAAAAAACATCGACTACAGATGAATCCCCAAAAGTTAAATCACATTTGTGTAGCAGAACATTTTCTTAATTCTTTTTAATACAATCTATTAGTTTGTGAGCCTAAACATTAATATAGTGATCTAGTGGAGCGCCTCTGCCCCCCAGGTTGGAAACTACTGACTTAAAGCATGCATGTATTCATGTGTGGAGAAGCCTATGTACACTTACAGTCTGTGTGGTGGACTCTGGTGCCATGCCGTCCTTGCTGATGGTCAGTTTGAAAGTGTATTCGACACCTGCCTCAAGCTCTGAGCCGGAGATTCCCAGCACTGGACCGCTGGAGCCCAGGCCAAAGTTCAGGCTGGAGCAGTGCTCTGGACCCTGCAAGCAGAAATTGGGAGGGAGAAATGAGACCATAAATGTAGCAGATAATTGTAGAAATGGGAAATAAGATTTAATGAGACTTAATCTGGTTATATCAATATTGATATAACTTCACTATTATCACAACACTGATATTAATACAAGAAAAAGACATACATGTGGCTACATTTGACTGTTACTTATGTACTACTAGGCACTTATTTGTCATTTCAGTAAAGGCATAAAGGTTAGGGCCACGATGAAATTATGATAATGGGTGTGGTTTGAAGGGGCTGTGGTTGTCGAAGGCGTGGTTTGTAGAGTCTGCAAGGCTGCAGCTGGACCCTTCTCTGGACTGGTATGAAACAAACCACACACACACACACACAAACAAATACACACACGTACAGTAACGTCACTGTTTTACAGTCCAGAATAGGCAAGAGCAGAGTGCGCCTGCAGCAGCCACTTCACTCGGGCTCAGTGGGATACGGTGACAAGGTAGACCCCCAACCTCTGCTAATATAAAGTCTTTATACTTTTACAACGTGGTTGTTCCAAACAGAGCGAAATGGTGACTCGTTAATCCTATTAGGCTATGCATTAACACCTTTGTGCAGCCTATTCTGTACACTGCCCCAATACCTCATTTCACATTAACTACTCAGGTTGGGCATCTAATCAAAGAGCTAGTAGGGGAGTATAACAAATCATTGACATCTGTAGGGAATACTACATTTGTTAACACAAAATAAAAGTTTGTGAGAAATTAAATATGACAGTGTTAAGCATAGTCCTTTCAATTCAGCACCACATGAAGAGCAACACAACACCAAGTGGTCTCATTTGTTGTACATTGTTTGTGCACATCTGTTCACACAAAACAAACATCTGGGCATCATTAATTCTCAAATTATAGCAATTTATTTATCCGACATAACTTGTGAATTGCAAAAATTTGCAGTTGAATGAGTCACTACTTTAGAACATTTGGATGTTAATGGAGAGCCTAAGATTAAAAATGAAATGTTTATTTTCTCAAAAACGGTACACGGTACAGGACAAATGTTTACTTCCCCTTCACAAATATACTATACACAACAAATCAAAATGTTTTTATTAATATCTTAATATTCTTAAAATCTTCTTGTTTGTGAAGATCTTATGAAGGTGGATAGTCGTAAATTAAGGCTGTCACAAATGATGTCATTTTGTTGGCAGTGCCCAGCTCTCCTTCAGAGAAAAGAGAAAAACGTCAACCTTTTGTAACATTGAATATTTTTTCTTTTTTTAACCAACTCTATTGTGTTCATAATTGTACTTGTATCCAAGGTCAGGACAGTGTAGGACATTTGATAAACTGTGTTTCTGTCTGCTTCTATCTCTTCAACTTTGAGTCCTTCTAAATGAATATACAACTCTGTTTGACTCTTTGTGGTCAAACTTATCGCCCTTCAACATGTCTCAGTACATTTTCTTCATTAGCAGTTCTCTTTATCAGCAGCTTCGCACAGCTGTGTGTGTGTAATGTGTGCATGTTGTTTACGTTCAAGTGTGTAATTGTCAGGGTGGAGAGCAAAGCGCCAGCTGTGGAATGCTGAGTTTATCTCTAAACAGTTACATAACCCTTTAAATGTCTCTCCGCTTAGATGTGCAGACACTGACACACACACACACCAAAAATGTCTTTTTGGACACACCCATCCCATTGCATTTTATATTGTGGTCTTTTGCTGTACAGGCAGAATGTGTTCCCAATGCGCGCGTGCGCGCGCACACACACACACACACACACACACACACACACACACACACACACACACACACACACACACACACACACAAGCGTACACTCAACATTAAAGAGGCACACTCACAAACTGTGCTGAACTGAGTTCTCTTCACATCAATGCTGCCAAGCCTCTCAGAAGGCAGTTACAGTACTCAGTCAGGACCAGATGACCATTACGTAATTTTTCCACAATCTCCTTTGCAGAATCAAGTCTGTCCTCCAAACTCTGTCTTATGAATTCACCATTAAAAAGTTTGAAAGTGGAGTTTGGTTTGACAATTCAACACTCTTTTATTTCTACTAGATTCAAGCCAAATATTGAGGAAACAGTGAGAGACTGAGAGAGACAATCCTGTCTAACCACAGGAGCAAAAGCAGAACAGCACAGAGCTCTGTTGTACTCTGCTTCTACTGTACTTGTACTTTAAAGACACCACTTGTTCATTCACTATTCACTAATCTGCTCAGAATATATGGACTTTGTAAAGTAGTAAATTCTACATAATGTATGCTACATAACGTAGCCACATTTTAATGTAATACTTCTTTTCTTTTTAGACACCCAATGATAGCATGACCTTCAACAGGTCACCCACTGAAATCAAACCTCTTAAAACAGAATGAAACAATCCACACTCCTGGCGAGGGCTTGATTATACGATATATAGTGTAATGTCACGGTTTGTGAGAACAACAGAAACTGCTAATTTAACAAAAAGAGGCAATTTTTCAGTTATAATGTGTGAAATCATCTTTTGCTTCATGCCTGCCCTTACCTTTGAAGTACTTTGACACTCCCAGTGATAGTGGAGTAGTGACTGGCTGTCTGGGTCCAAGTTAGGGTCGTAGGACTGCTCCGCACTGAGCTGCAGGTCCTGAGTCCTCGACCACACCCTGTAGGTGCCCCCTTCTATAATTGGCATCAGCCTGACAAGGAAAACCGGTTAAAATTAACATAAAAAAGCAGTGCAAATTTCAAATTCAACTTGTTATACCCAAAAACGTATTATTCAACAAATCAACACAGTTAATGTTTGCAAACGTGTGCAGTTAGGTTACATGGTCTCACAGAGGAGTGATCTTCTTGCAGAGCATGGTAAACTAAATTCCTCTTGAAGACACGATAAATCTTGGGATTGAAATGATAGTTTACGCACTTCTTGACGAAAAACATGTGTTAGGGACATATGGAAGGTAAGCACCAACACCACAGAGGTGGATTACGCTGTAGTACTGGTTTGAGAAGTTTCTATGGATGTTTTGATACTTCACCATTAGAATCCACTGTAACTGGCATGAATTCAAAGTGATGGCCAATTTTAACAAAGATTATTGGTGGATCATTGTTTTAATGTTACACTGCATCAAACTGTGCATCACTAGCACAAAAAAATAAAGGGGGGAAAGTATGTGATCAACAGCTCTACAGGGAAAATGTTGTGTTTCTCTACTGACCTGGCAGCCATGACACTCAGCTGCAGACAGGCAGCCTTCCTTAGTGGCACACCTTCATATGACAGAGAAAACACCAAGCTGTAGTTCCCTGTTGCCAGAGCCATCTTAGGCAATGATAGCTGCAGCCGCCGCACATCCACCTCAGTTGAAAGGCGAATTACTGGGACAGGCAAAGACTGAGCGGGCTGAGTCACCACTCCAGAGGGAATCCGGCCATGTTGGTCATTATCACAGGAGGGTGTTGAGAGGATCTGCCAGAGGTACTGAGCTCCGTAGCGTACACAGCCTTTCAGATCCACACTGGCCTCCACCAAAGTGGGCTGGGATCGCCAGATGGCCAGGCGGGGGGCTTGAACCACCTGCACCTCCGGTTCCTCACACTCTAATACACTGATGTTTACCTCCACCTGGGCCAAAACCCAGCTCACCAGGTTACTGCAGTTGCCCTAGCAAGGAGAAAAAATCAAGCTTGTGAAATCACAAAACTGGAAAGCTTTCACATACAGCATCTGTCCGATTAATTTATCTCTTGTTTCAAGGATCAACAAATAGATAATGGATCTACATGGAGTAATGTGATTCAAAGGAACATACTTGGACCCGGTAGTGTCCTGGGTGACTGTACTTATAACCCACAGTTGTGGTGTTGGTGTGAACTGGAGTAGAACCGTCACCAAAGTCCCACAAACACTCCACAGGATTAGACCTGGGTGTGACAGAGGCCATCAGGGTTATGGTCTTATTGATGAAAGTGTCCTGAGGAGCTGCATACAGGACGGCAGCCGTCAGCCGGTTCTGCACTAGGATGTGCTTGGTGATGTTCTGACCGTGCAGGTTGTTGAAGGCCTTCAGGTAGATGGTCAATAAACCTGCCTCTTCTGGCATGTAGGACACCTGAGGATGGGTGATTCATTGACATACATCACCACTTGTGCACCTTAACACAGTTTTGTGATATTCAAAGGCTGTAATATCTAAGTGAGCTGACCTCTTTGCCGATACATGACGCCTGATGGAGGTGGTGCAGATCAAAAGTCCACAAGAAACTAACAGGTTTGCCCGTCTGGATGTTGGCCACAAACAATTTCTTCACACCAACAGGGATTGCTGTGCAGCTTCCCAAGATGGAAAGTCCACGCACCGGCTCCATCACCTTAACCTGGACCTGCCGCCTCTTGGAGCTCACCTGGATTGTCACATTGCAGCACATAAAGAGAAGTGCTCTGTATTAGTTCGACTATATTATCTTCATCTTGTTGACATCAGAGAGTAATGTAGTCATGATTTGATTTAAAATATTAAATGTTTGTGTAGAGGCGTGATTAACTTGTCTAATTATTCTGATGACATACTGTTTATTTTTGTAGAAAATTTGCTGCCGCCAATTTTCAAACACTCAACATACAGGCCTCATGTGAAATTGGGCTTAAATACGCAGTGGAGTGGAGGATGACAACAAACATCAACAATATGCTCAATCATATGTTTCAGAGAACACATTTTTCCTTCAATTTTACACATGCTCTACTGACTCAAGGTCCCTTTGTGAGGAGCAGAATGCAGATAATTAAAGTCACAGACTATGAGGGATCTACTGTGTGTGCCAAGAATAGTGTCATTGGATTGTCAGCATAAATGTGTAAACACGCCCATGTTAGGCAGTGATAGCAAACCTCGTGTTTTAACACAGAGAGTGGCATAAGTAGAAAATGATTTTTTCATTGGTAAATGCTCTCACAAGCTGTACATGTGAGTGAAAGCTGAGGAATAGTTAATGTGATAGTCTTGTAGGAATGGCTGTAAAATGTATCTTTTTTTCTTCAGCAAAAAAATGACCAGCCAAAGCATCTATATTGTACTCTCTTATTTTGTATATTGTACGTTAACCATTTCCTTTCACTTTACCTGGTTGTGAGCAGTGAGATTCACCATGTAGTTATCCACTCGAGTGAAATTGTGGACATGTGTGAAGATGTGGTCATAAGTATGGTTGGGCTGAAGGGTGACAGTGGCATCTCCACTGATGCTGAGGATAATACAAACGTCCGAGCCAGCTGCCATGGAAATGGTGAACTCCACCTTCTCACCGACTCCTGCAATCTTTGTACTTGCCCTCAGCTCCAACCCCTGAATCTTGTCCTGAACAAAGAACTCCCTGGAGATCGCTTGCACACTGACATCATTGGTGGCATTCAGAGTAACAATGGCTGACTTTGGCTCCTGGAAAATCAGAGAAGTTTTCCTTCCTGTGTCTGTTCTTCCTTCTAACAGCCACGTCCACGTCACATTGGTTCCTGTCAGGACCTCTCCCTGGAGTGAGACACTGACACCTGTTGCCACGTAACTCTGCTCTGTCACATTGGTAGCTGTGAACCTTAGTCCAGAAATTACTTCCTGGACACTGACCATCTCTGACACAATCTCTGAGCTAACTTTATTGAAGACCTCCACAGTTACTAGTTTTTGGCCAGGACTGATGAAGGTGTGGGTGTTCCAGGGCTTGTTCCACGGCAGAGCATCCCCATTCACAGACCAGCGGTACTGCAGGTCCGAGCCCTCCATAGTCAAGACTGTCAGGTTAGTTGGAGCATTGACTGCAACTGGGTTGTTGCTGATCTGCAGGTACACGCCTCTGGCTTGTTCCAGGAAGTGGATGGTTCTGTTGACAGACAGCTGGCCCAGGAGGTTGGCAGCCCGGAGAAAGATGTCACATGGACCTGGCGTAGAGAAATTCACCTCCACACTTTTCCCACTTATGTTGAAGCTTGAGCTGACTGGGTCGTGCTCTCTGATGAGGTTCCAGGTAAAAGTCATGTTTGTTCCTTCCTTTAATCCTGCTTGAAGGTGGAGAACGCGGTTTGTAGCAAAGCAGCAACCGTCCACTCCTGTGCCTCCACCTCCTCCGACGTCCTCTGCTAAAATCTGCAGTCCCTCAAGCTCACGTTGGACAAACAGGAAGATACTCGCTTGTGCTATTCCTACGTCGTTCTCCGCTGTCACAATGATGTTGAAAGTGCCAACAGAGCGAAAGGTGTAGAACATGGTGTGGGTCCCCGGTATTGAGGTGCAGCGGTCGCACAAGATCCAAGAGAACCGGACACCATCTCCTTCCTCCATTTGGGCCTCAAAGTGAACCGAGGCATTTAGAGGGACATTTATCAAGCTGGCGTTGACAGTTAACCCACGGATTGGTTCGAGCACAGCAACAGGTAAAGTAGTGTGGTTTCTGCTTACTGTGTTGGCTGCTGTCAGTGTGATATTGTAGTTTCCTGAAATGTTGTAGGTATGGTGCGTATTCTGGCCTGTAAGCACATTTCCATCCCCAAAGTTCCAGGTGTAAGTGACATTGGAGGCCAAGGAAGAAGTTGTGAAAGCATATGGTGCTTTAAGCGTCAAGTTGTTGAACTTAGTGCCATTATGTTGAATAACAATTGGTCCTACTGGCATCAGAACCTCAATCACAACACTGGTATTACTGGTGGAGATGTTATTGAAGACAGTGACTGTCACCATGTAATGACCTGGGTTTTTATACATTGTCTCAATATTCCCAGAACCATGAATGAGCATAAGTTCTTCCTCTCTGCCAAAGTCCCACTGATAGCTGTAGTTAAACTCTGGCTCAGCTCTGACCTGGAACCGGATCTCTTCTCCAACAGCGTAGTGTGATTTCTCAAGGGCAAGGCTGATGTTGGTCAAAGCTGGCTGCACACACACCCAGCTGAGATGGTTGGCCTTGGTGGCTCTGTTGACACCACTGGAGAGAAGCAGGGAGAGGCGGTAGTTCCCAACTGTCCAGTAGGTGTGTGAGACCCTGGGGTTGCCATGGTGTGTCTCGTTGGGGCTTCCGTCCCCAAAGCACCATTCATAGAGATGAGCCGATTCGTTACCGGAAACCCAGGCTAGAAAGTTGACAGGGGTCTGCTCTTGGATACACCCGGATGGCTCCATCCTTATAACTTGGAACACAAACACCTGCACCGTTAGGATTGTCCAACCAACGCTCACAGCGTTCGCAGCAGTCACGTTCACTGTGTAGTTGCCATCTTTGTTGTAGCTGTGTGACACATTAGGTTCAGATGTAGAGTAGACAGCGCCATCACCCATGGAGAATGTCCATGTGATGTTATTACCTGAAGCAAGGCGTGCCCACACTGTAGTAGGACTGTGAAGCTCGGTGGGAGAAGAGCTTTCGGCTACTAGTTTTTCAATCTCCTCATATACAAACATCTCAGCGCAAGCCTCTGTAGAACTGATGGTGTTGTTTACCGATACACAGATATTAAAGACGCCACTATGTGCATAGGTGTGTGCCACACGGCGACCTTGCAGCGGAGCTGAACCGTCTCCAAAGTGCCAGTCATAGTGAATTCCATAGGGTGAGGGCAGAGGGTGAGCCTCAAAATCGGCTGATTTGCCAGCAAGGAGGAGTCGTGGCTCTGTTTGTATATCAACACGAGTGAGGATGCTGTAGACACTCATGTTGATGCTCTGACTAATGTTGTCATAACGATTGGACACGGACACCAGCGCGGTGTATATTCCTGTACAGAGAGGGAAGGAAGAGAGAGCAAGAAAAAGGAAGTAAAATTATTTATATGCCACTGTCTACCCACACTCTTAAGACATTTCAACATTGCATAAATTGAAACAAATGGGTTGCCGCTACATTACTCATTGCTACTACTGCTGATAGGTAGATGGGTGAGGGGTTACCTGGCTGAGAGTAGATATAGGTGACATTGTTGCTTAGGAGGACCTGGTTGGAGGAGTCTGGGCAGAGGAGGGCGGAGTCGTAGGGAGGCTTGTATTCAAACTCCTTATATCCTCCGTCACCAAAAGACCATCTGCAGCGTAACAAAGACAATGTAAAACCATTAGTAGAGGAGCTTCAGAGAAATACCGTACATGGAGGTTAGATCAATAGATGCACTGATAACCATTTCCGCCCAGCCACCCCCGCACGCATGCACGCACACGCGCACACACACACACACACACACACACACACACACACACACACAGTCACTAGGAATCTTCTCTGACGAGGCAATAGAGGGTTTGGACGAGGAGAAGTGGAAACTCAAAACTCAGGAAGCCTCTCTGGACCAAGAATGGTGAGAGTGGAGGAAACTAAGTGAAAGAGTGCACCACAGTTGGGAGGGTGGGAATGCGAAAGAGGGAGGGAGGGAAAAGAGCAAAAGAGAAAGAGTGGAAGAAAAAAGAAAAAAAAAAGTACAGGGGAAACAGCCGAGCAGAAGGGAAAATTCTTGTCAGCAATCTGCTTTAACCACACGGTTATAAATCCAAGGCTCTGCATGGTATGACTGCTGCAGTGTTATTATGGCGCACAGGAAGATGAAAACAGAGAAAAGAGCAAAGAGAAAGAGAGAGAGACAGATAGAGGAGAAGAAACAAGCAGCCAAACACAAACAGATGCAGCGCTTGTTTTTGTCTTAAAAATAAATAGAAGAGGAGACAGAGAGAAAAAGAGGCAGCTTTTTATTATACTTTCTGTTTCAAAAAACACTAGACACTATCTGCTCAATGCTTCTTTCCATCTGCCCCCCCCCCGTCCCATCCGTCCCCCCTGTCCCCCCCGTCTTCATACCGAAAGGTGGCAGCCACAGACATGTCCACGAGCACAGAAGTGGTGAGAGTCTGAGTGGAGCCCTGAGGGACCACATCTGGCACACCCTTCACTGTGAGGTTGGCCATGGGCTGCAGGCGGTCTACCGTCACGTTGAAATGCTCTGTGAGGGTGCTGACATGGTTCATGGCCGTCACCTGGAAGACATGACACACAACCAGTAAGATGGCTGAAGGCAGTGGATAAAAACTTGAAAAAGTGTTGTTGGTGTTGAGGTCTCTCGTTGATTACACACTAACTATTTTGATAATTGATTAATACAATAGAAAAGGTTTGAAAACATCAACTCCGACTCTGGGAACTTTCTCAGAGTTTTCTGACATTTTGTACACCAACAGTTAATTGACAATAATCAGCAGATTGCATAATCAATGATCCAGGAAGGTCTTCAAGAAAACCAAAATGCTAATAACTTTGGTGATTTTAGAGTAATACAGAGAGTGTTGTGTCGACCAATTCTAACATATGACAACTGTGTTACTACAGAATAATCAATTCGGGCTTGTATGTGCAATAGAGTTCTTTCTTTCAGATGTAATTAACAAAATCTAATCTTGTAATTACTTAAATTAAAAATTGTCTGATTACAAATGGAAAACCTTCAAGTTAAACCTTACTGTCCAAATTCTTTGCACAAAACAAAAAGCTGCAGAGTCACAGCTGAAGTTGTTTAATATGCACACAATTTGTCACTGTTTGTGGATGTCCCATTAAAAAGCTGGATATTAAAAACAAACCTGTCACATATAAACCTAATCCAAACAATTAATATTCCTGCATGCAACAGGGGAGACAGTTTGCAAGTACGAAAGCAATTTGACTAATGTTGAATTCACAGTTGAGTTGACAGAAACGCACTGTGAGTTTATAGACTGCAGCATGCTGGTAGATGACGTTGAGAACAGTGTTGTAATAGGTGAAGTAGGGCTTGTCATCCACTGTCCATTTAAATGTGGGACTGGAGCCTTCAAGCACGGATGCTGTGTAGCTCTAAAACACACACAAACATATATACTTAGATATAAAGACGTGATTAAAAAAAAAAAGAGACATATCAATATCAAATATGAATTCTTAATACCATAACCTCACACCAAATAAATGTACTTGGGAGAAAACACCTACCACAACTGACTCCATCAGCACCCTGTGTGCAGGGTGTGGCTGCACCACCAGTCTTCTGAGGGGCTCCTCCAGGTGGACGACCATAATCAGGCTGGCCTCTGTCACGTTGTTGTGGGCCTCCAGCTCCACCTGCACCGGACTCCTCTGCTCCTCTACTCCCAGGTTCAGGTCCAGCACTGCATACAGGCTGGGCTCTGCAGCTTTGACCCCAGGCCCTGCGCTCGGCCCGGGCCGACAGAGCAACGGGCCGGACGAAAACTCTGATGGACATTCTGACTGGAAGATCACGCTCCGATTACTGCCCCGGCGAGAAGCCTTTGTTACGTAGCGAGACTGGACACAGAGCAGCAGGCGGGTGTCGTTGGGCTGCAGGTACAGGGTGCCATTCTGAGGAAGGGGGTGGAGGATCGTCAAGCCCAGAGGGGGCACCACCCGCAATGGGCATGATGCTGAGGCTGGGTATGATGGCTCAGCAGAAGTCACCTGGATTTGATCAAATTACATTTTGTCTCAGTTACTAGGTCAAAACAACAGATGTACCAATATAGGACAAATAATTTTACAGACACTTGATGGGTGTTGATTGATTAGCATGTGGTGACAAAAATATTATGGAGATAAATGGAGATAAATATAAAAATAAATATAAAATATTTATCTCCAAATTATATTAATCTCTATAGACAGATTTAAACATAGAAAGATCCTATTACATGTAATTTCTTCCAAAGCAAAATTTTAAATGCAAAGTTAATTGCATTTTTACTTTTACAGAAAAATTGATACAGTACATGTTTTACAGTCTTATGTGGCCTCCTCATGTATGTTGATATCTGCCAGATGCATGCTGGGATATGACATGCTGCTTTGATGTCTTACCAGCAGGCTGTAGAGTCCAGGCTGGGATAAACCAGCAGACAGCTGTGCTCCCTGCAGCTGGGTCTCACTGTGTCCCACATAGAGCACTCTGACGGGGCAGACTACTTCCTCCAGCCACCCTCCCTCGCCATCCTCCACCAGTACCTCCATGTCAAGCTCCGGGTCAGGCAGAGGGTCAGCGTCAGGGTCAGCCAAGCTATCTGTTGTCTGTCTTGTGTTGTTGATCCAAAACCACTCCGACTGGTTGAGGGCTAAAACAGGTTGTCGCCACGGTGAGTGTGGGGAGGACTGGCAGCGGAGTAGGGAGGCGGGTCCAGCATCGTGCTGCAGGGCAATGACATCACCACGGGAAACCAGAAGGTCCTCCAGTTGCTCTTGAAGCTGGGAGCAAGAGGGATCGAGAGAGTGTAAGTTACAGGCAACTACAGATGAAAGTCAGGTAGATGAACATAATATTGCACATCACCAACTCTGTCTGCAAAAAAGAAGTGTCTTCTTTATTTAATCAAAACTTAATCTGCTTCTTTTTGTTGCAGTCAAATGGCAGACCTTGCACAACAGCTGCAGTCCGTTAATTGTTTATCCTATCCGGCTGTAAACACCCTCAAACTAAAGCTGGCAATCATCAAACAGTCATCGGACATTTCTTCTGGGATTTCTGTATTTCCAAAGCAAAAACACTAAAAACTCTGTCCCTGTTTGCGTGGAGGCAAAAAAGTAAATCTCCTCACCACTACATGTGCAGCTGGTCCTGCTGGTAGAGTGAAGACAACCTCATTTTGTAGGGTATAACGGGGCCTCAGCGCCCCAGGGGGCAGGCGGTGAGCGTGGGTGCAGTTAGGACAGGAGGATGGCTGGCAGGGACTAGAGAGGGCCAAGCATCGCAGTTGGAAAGGACACCACTGCTCTGCTCGGGGACAAGAGGGTGGATCACCAGTCCTGGTGTCATTTGGGACACAAACGGCCACTGGAGCGCACACTGGACCTCCACAGCCTGAGACACAAGATGCCTTTTGTTTAAATCATTCATTTTTTATTGAAGTTAGAACATAACACACAAAAGAATACAGAACAGACCAAATGTTAACTTTTCCTATTCCCTTGACTCTCTGTTTCTCATTATGCTGCAGAATGACCCTGAATGTCATATTATAATTACTGGATTATTACTGATGCATCACCGTGTAGCAGGATTTTAATATTGTATCTAGTGGAAGTGGAGCTAATTTTATCTCCACCCATTTAATATGTAGATAACTATTACTATTTAATAAGCAGATAACTATTTCATACACTTTTGGGTAGTTTGCTCTAGGAAATTGTTTCATGTGTTTTGTGAGTAAAAGTAACTATAGCTGTTGAATAAATATAGTAGAGCAAAAAGCACAATACTTTCCTCTGAAATCTAGTGGAGTAAAAGTATAATAGTATTTTTCTTTTCACCACCTGCTGTAGCCTATTCATATATGCTTATTCCTTATTCTTCTTGATGTATAGTAATAGTTATATTGTAAATAAAGTGAGACAAATTGAATTAAAACACACAGTGATACCTTAAGGAAAAGTACAAAAACACCAGACAAACAAATCTGGATCTAAAGCTGATGTGTCAATGTGGCCACTTTACATCTAACAAAGTTATGGTGCAAAACTGCAGATAAAAGCAATGAATTACTGGATGAAGATTAAATCAAACAAGCAAATCTCCTCAGAACAATGCCAAAAAGTTGTAACTTGGGTAATGTGAGTGTGAAAGATTTGAGTGTGTGTGTTTTGTGTGTTTGTAGTCAGAAGATAATTAATGTGCTGGGCTGATATCCACCTCCAAGTGGGGTAGGGCAAACTTGCTTTCTGTATAATTAATAATCCAGATGCATAATCTCATTATCTTTATTGTCTCCTACTGCTGCAGTCACAAAGGTTTACAGAAAACGTGCACCCAGATCTTTAACAAGCTGCTCGCCTCTCTGTGGATTTCTGTTTCTCACATCTTTCACGTGCATCTGCTCTCTGCACATCTTTGCTGCTATGTCTCAGTGGAGATGCAGAAAAAAAAACACAGAAAGCATCTCAGTCTTTTGTGCCATGTGCCACGCAGTGTTGCAGTAATGTGTTTGTATCTGGACAAGGACAGGAAGGAGCTCAGAGGGGAGGTGACCTTGATTGGTCTCATTTCCCTCTTCTGTTTTGCCCTACTTTCCATTCAAACTCTTCTTTCATGTTCACCTACCTAACAACTTTAGACAAGGCTGGTTGGTCTGTGTGTGTATGTATGTTTGTGTGTGTGTGTGTGTGTGTGTGTGTGTGGATGTTTTTGTCTGACAGGAGGTGTGGGTGCAGGTGGCTTATACGTTTTTTTAACACCTGCTGACACTCATCAGAAATGTGCAGATGTTTTTTTATGCCAAGTCAGTGTTAGTGTGTGTGTGAGAGTGTGTTTCTGTGCTTTTGTGTGTGACTCACTGGGTAGCAGCAGGTGCAGGCCGGGATAATGACAGTGAGGCCTGTAGGTCTGGAATCGGACGTGGATTTGTGAGCTGAATTCCTGAGTGACGAACTCAAGGGAGGACAGACGACCTGCCTGAACAAAGCTCAGAGATGGGAACAACAGCATCTGAGTTGAGAAAAAAATTGGGGGAAAATAGAGAAAACAGATAAAGAATTTGACTAAAGAAGGTTTGAGGAAGACAATACGATGCTTAAATGAACAAGCTGAGATTCCTCCTCACCTCTATGCCACTGCTGGGAGGTTGTGGAGCGGAGAGCAGAGCGGCTGGGGCACGCAGTAAAGGATTATTGGATGTAAACACAGCCAGTCCCACCATGTAGATCCCTGCATCTGGAACATGAACTGTAGTGGCAGAATCAGAATTAACTCAAGGTGACAAAAGAGGAGGAAAGATTGAGGGATTTAAAAAGAGGAGAGAAGAAAGAGGCAGCAGAGGCAATTTATAAGAAATGATGGAGCAACTGCAGTCGACACAGACTTGAGAAGAGTAGAGAGAGGAAGAAGTGAGAGAGAGAACAACCCTCTGAAGAAACAAGCCAAACAAAGCCAAAGGAAGAACACCTCGGTAGAGCTAGAATGTATCTTCTCATTGCAGACTGACACAAACGCAGAGACAGAATCAAAGAGGGACACGACCAAAGAACCGCAATTAAACCACCAGGCAGGCAGGCAGGCAGTACTCACACTCACACACACACGCACGCACACACACAAACTACAACTTGCCGCACATCTACAATGAATTTAACGCCATGGCACTGAATTCCTGTTAAGCTTTGAAGGCAGTTTTAGACAGTGCTGGTTTCTCTGACGACTGTTGTACATATTTTGAGAGGAGTTCGGCCTCATCAAGGCCCTTCCTATGGAGCAGGCTGATGTCGTCAGTCCAGCTTAACTTCTGCTTGAGCTACGTCAGCACCAAATGAAGTGTTACATCAAATGTTGTTTTAAGTTAACTGCAGAACACGTTCTATTCCAAGATGATAACAAAGTCACTGGCTTTCGATTTTCCTGGCACTGCAGTGGGTTATTTTGTCTGCATTCAGCAATACTTATTCAAACTGAGATTGTTCCCATGTCTTAACATGTGTTTAACACCGACTCACCAACATTATGTTGTCCACTTAACACCTAGATGCGGTAAACACTTATTTTGTGTTTGGATATTCAGAATGGCAGCAATTTTACTGCAGCAATCAAACATGATTTGTACTTCTAGTACAACAGTACATATAAATACTTTAAAGAATTAGGCTATGAAGGGCGCTTATTTTCTACAGCTTTCAGAATTGTATGGCACATGGAAATTTTAATAATGGTAATGTTTTAGTCCTTGACAAGTGCTGTATATTTATACAGATAAAAAATAATTCTGTTCCTCCCTATCCATCTAGTCTGAAAATGTGATCAATCACAGAGACAAATTTGTCTCAGAATATTATTCTGATGTAATCATAGTGCTGAAAATGATGGAGAACGGTCTCTGGATGCTTCTTTCACAAGGAGCAATTTGTATCAATGCCAAGTGTGCTCCAATTATAAATGGTGCTTCAGGGATTCAGTCTTGTGCTTGTGATTAGTTATGAAAAAGGCTGTTTGCTTTTTGTTTCTATGCTTGTTTGTGCCAGTTAATTTACATAGAACTGATAGTGAAGAAAGCTGAAATCTCAGGTCTTTGCCCCAAACAACTTAGGCGCAGAGAGATTTAAGGAACACAGTGTTTGCATTGAATCTGTGCCTCAGTTTTCTTCAGTTTTGAGTGTGGATTTCTAGGTATGTGAACAGCTTCACATTTCGTGTGCATGTGTCACTGTGTCACTGTGAATGTATGGAGCTTACCTTGAGGCTTGTACTTGCAGACATAGGCACGCTTGGCATTGCGATGTGGCAGACCCTCCTCTCCCTCTTGTGCCTCTGAGCCGTTCACCCAGTGCAACTTGCCTGAAGAGTTGACATCACTCAAGCCCAGCCACACACCTCGCTCCCTGCGGCAGCAATGGACAGGTAACACACAGATTAAAACGACAACTGCTTGACATTTCGCTTTGTGGCTGCTGAGATCTGGAAAATAGCACCTTCACTTGAAACATACAGAGAAAGACACAGAAACAAACATTACCAAATGTAAGAAAAGACAAATTCCACATGAGACTATCTAAGGACATACAAGCAATTCAATGGTAAACAATAATAATAATAAAAACATCTTGCATGTCCTTGTGAATATGATCTTCCTGTCAGACAAGGAACAACACTCCACACAAACCCCCTTACACAACACCCAGGCTTGAATCATTTCTTCAATCATTTGAATTAGGTCTCAATAAGTGACAATGAAGTGAGTGAATTATGTGCCAGCTTGCCTTCAACAATCAATGATTGCAGGAAAGAGAGCATGAAAATGGGATCTGATTGAACCCAATGGGATGTCACAGAGGCGATGTCAGATATTTAGCATGTCCCTGTGATTGCAAGATTGGATTCTCACTCCATGAGTCCACTAATGGACTCCCCCCCCTCACCCCCTGCCCCTGCTCCCACTTTTCTTTCTGTCATAAGCTGTTAACTGAAAACAAAATGCCCCCCCCCCCAAAAGGAAAGTCGCTGTGTGTGCACAATGATGTACAAACAAATGGCAGAAAATGGAATCAAGTCCATGTCAAAAAATTCACAAGCTATTTCTCTGTCTTGTTTTCTTTCTTTCTTTTTTGTCAGACTTTTCTACACTGGCCGACTACTCATATCTGAGAAAACGACATCTAAAAGAGTGGACAAGGGTTAAAAAATACCAGCAGAGGGGGAACAGGAAAAAGGGTCTTTGTAGCGAACCCCCCTCCCCCCCCCCAAAAAAAACCCCCACAAGGACTGATTTAAAAAAAAGAAGATACTTATATAAGTGAGGGGGTGGAGAAACACGAGCAGAGGAGGAGAGACGGGATAAGCTCCATCTGCAGCAGGTGTTTTCTTCCCTCATCCACTTTGAGGGCAGGGTCTCTACCCATTAACACACACACACACACACCATGAACTGTGGACTCCTCCTCCCAGGGTGTTAAAGTTACAATGCAGCTGTGCTTTTACAGATGTGTTTTTTGCAACCTTCTCTGACCTAAACACCAAACACTGGTGGTCTGCAGACCAGCGCAAGGTCAGATACTTTTTTGTTGTAACAAAGTCAAAGCCAAAGCCAGAGTGACGTCCACATATAGTGCATCATACAGATGTGCAGTACATACAGCAAAGAAACATTACAGTATTTGTGGAAGTCAAGGCTAAGCCCTATGGCTAAGCCTGATGTCACGATCTGTGTGCATGTGAATATGCACTATACTATGTGAGAAAAAAAGTGTTAAAGCATTTTTACACGGTCACAGAATAAACAAAAACAAATGATTAGATGACAAACTCACTTAATCCATGCAGCAAAATTCAAGGTATGAAATTCATAAACAGTGAATAATAAATAATGACAAGTACTGCCCTTAAAAACAGCCTCATGCCTGAACAACACATGCCTAAACATACAAACAAAAAGAGGCACATTCAATCAAATAAGCCTGAAGGTTCACACAGACATGAAGAGAGAAGCAAGAAAAACACGTTTTAACAACACATCCCTATCCAAACCATGCACTTTTGAGATTGTCAGTGATTGAAAGTTCAACATCTGTTTTGAGTATTTGTTGTCTGTTTCAGTGTTTCTTTGGCTGTCGCTTCTGCAAACAGACTGCAACATGGTGAGAACTATTAACTTTGTAATGCAAACAGGGATGAAGCATTGTGTCACAGAGCTGGCAGGTTATCTGTTCTGTACCTGCCAACTTTTTGCAGGGCCTGGTCTCTTCTACTGATACCATATGAATATTGACTATCTATCTATATATATGTGTGTATACCTATTTATGAGTTGAGCAGGAAAAGAAAAAAAGTAAGAAAAAAGTGTACGAAAAAAACTGAGCATTAACATGCATAAACATACAACAGTAAAGCAGAAAATCAGAGAGATGCTGGGGCCCCACTTCTGCTCTCCATACAGGCAGAAAACACTCACTGTGTGACTTTGTGTGCCAACAGGTTACGCAGTGCATCACTCCTGACTGTTGCCAGATCCCCGCCGCGGTCAGAACACTGTTGTCGAGCGTCGGTCCAGCTCATCTCCCCTGGAACTATCTGGAAACAGTGTGAGGACTCGGCTTGGAACACCCCGTCTTTTGGACAGTGAGGCGAGGCTGGTGGACGACAGACATGAGTCACATGATTTCCCAGATCTTTTGAAGTCCCACTTGCAACATCACGGAAAGATGCAATTACTATTTTATTACTAAAAAGATGACCTTCAAAAAACTTGAGCTGACCATCAGCTGCTCAGAGCTCAGAGTGTTGATGTATCTTACCTTTGGCAACTTGGACACCATCCTTTGTGATCTTCCAGTCGACAGCCATGTCAACAGAGCCCCAGCTGACAAGTGTGAACTCTAGGCTCTTATTGGCCACAGCGAGAGGTGGACAACGCAGCTCCAGTTTAGGAGGAACTGTCACGATCACTTCTCCGCGTGCAGAGGCCTGAGCATGCATAGAAGTCACAAATATATACAACATAATACTTCAAACATTGAGAAAAATACCTGTTCTTTTATATCGTTGAGAAGAATAAAAAATGATTTCCTATTTTTTCTCTCTCACCTCCTTGTGTCCAGCCCAGGCCATCACACTGACTGGATAATGACCTGGAAGTCCATATTTATGAGCTGCTGTGGTCACCCCTGTTCCTGTAGTGTTGACCCGAGATGAAAGGTCACCAAAGTCCCAGGACAGCGTCACCGGAGTGACAGAGGAAGTGGCGGCCAGACTGATGTGGTCATGAACACTGAGCACTGGGAGACGCTTCAGTGAGATCGAGAAGTCCACCGCAAACACATCATGAGCCAGAGTCCACCCACATTTCTGTGAATCGAAGGAAACCATGTGAGGAAGAGTAGGCCTTTGTGCTAAAATGCACAAGTATTTAAAAGTAAAATAAAATGGTTTTTACTGTTAATTGTTAAGATGTTTGTGGTTTCACTATTATTTTTTATGGTTTTAAATAGAAATGTGGTTTTAATGAAACTTATGAACAGCTCCAATTCAAAATAAACAAATCTTAATTTTCAGTTGGAGTACTGAATAACTTCTCTTGAGTTCCTCTGTAAAGCAATCCTGCAGGAAACTGAATCTGAGGATGTAGAAAAGTCATTCAAGCCACAGAGGGAAGTTGTTGGTAGATTATAGGAAGACTTAGAGGAAATCCTGAATGATGTGTTTACACACGAAGAAACAAACCTAGAGAAAGAGGCTACACAAAGGGAGGTCTACATTACGAGCTGCTCTTTACGATGCAAACACCAAACATCAGAAGCTCTTGCATTGCAATGATTATTATTTGGGTCCACGGTGTGCTTGCTGAGCTACGTACCTTCATAACATGGGGGTTTGTGCATGCAGCAGAACACTGAGATTCACTGATGAAATTGGGCTCAGAGTTTGTGCTGCAGAGACACTCATGCCTTGCCCCCAAACCCCCATAGCGGTGTGATGCAGCAAAACACACACTGTTACACTGTTCACGTGTAAAATTTCCGGGTGTGGAGGAAGAGAAGATAACAAGCTCACTCCGTCCCCCTGCTCCACTGCTGCTGTCCTCAAGACAACCTGCATAGTTAAGACCTGAAGACGAGACGGAGAATTTAAGGGCTTACTTAATATAACTTTAGAACATACATTATACATACATACATTTTTTCATATGTCATCTATAACTTTAACCAGCATCAGACCATCTCTGACAGATGAATGAATGGTTTATTTTTCTAATTTCTGAATTTCACAATGATTGCATAATACAGTAACATTATTTTTGTCCTTTGATGTGAGTTTTAAACCCAAAAGCAACTAGTAAGTATTAAGCCTGCTTGCTTATCATCAAACATGCACTTGATTGATGTCTTTCTCTCCACGAGTTGAGCCTCTCAGGCATCAGATTATATTCTGGCCCAAAAGCAGCTCACATCTTATTGGGACTAATAACTGCGAAAGAGACTTCATTTAGTGCAACAAAGTTCCCACACTATCTCTTCCTTGGTGAATACATAAGTGAATTTTTGCGACTTGGAAAATTTACAAGTGTTAGTGTGTATTTGTTTCATACCACAGGTGAGCAGGCTGACATTCAACAGGGGTTGGTGGCGGAGCTCAGGAGGGTGTTTGCAGAGCATGGCGTCCGGACGCCGAACTCGTACACCTTTCTCCTGGAGCCAGCTGACCAACCTGAACAGCTTACAGTCGCACTCAAAGGGGTTACTGCTCAGGTCACTGGGGGAGGGGACAAGGTGGAAGAATTGACTGGATGAGTAATGGTGTGATATGGCGGCGCTCACAGAAACACAAGGGGCTGAGTCCCACTGACACCAGTGTTAATAATACTGTATGTGCTAATGTCACTGTGATAAACCATTAAAGCTCACATTACTTTCAGCAACATGTTGGTAAATGGTACTTGAAACAGCTCAACTGGCCACTTGTCAACAACGTAAACCTAAATAAGATACTGGAGCACATGATTCACTTTAGCAGGTGCAAATAACAGGTATATCAGGTACTTCAAATGATAGTTGAACTGTTAGTCACAACAAAGATGGCAGTCTAAATGTGATTAACTTTGTTAGATAATTTGTAAGTGCTGAAATGACATAAAATAGTGTGTGAGATGAAGTAAAGTTACAAATCTTTTGCATTAAAATAATACTCCAACATCTTACAAAATGCACTTGTTTGCTGACTGAAAGATACCTTTCAACAAAAATAAAATTATAGATGTTGTATCTCTTTAGCTAGCACACTAGCCACAATAACGGCAGACATCTGGAGGGCAGGCAGCTGGCGGTAGTTACTTTAAGCAGCATTACAGCTCCAATGTGTAAATGTGTAAAACTGTTACTTAAAGCATTATGTCAATACTGGAAGATAGAAAGTGTAGTTAGATATGGCACCTTTGGCAGAACTAGGCTAGCTCTCTCCCCTCGCTCACAGACTTTTTCCTCAGCAGACATTTTGACCTCTCATGGCAAAAAAAACACAGGTGTTATTAATAACATTAATTATTGCTCTGCTCCAATGAAGTGTCCCTAAGTCATGACAGTGACAAGTATGTACACTACTGGCCCTCTGAAACTTGCATGACTTGATGGACAACAGTCATTATCAAAAACCTGTGCTTTTCCTGCTGTGATTTATCAAGATGTCAGCCATAAAAAAGGTGTATTCCTTTAAATGATGTAAGAGAAAGAAAGAGCCAGGGGAAGGAGGCAAAATGACACAAGGTATGAAAGGAAATTATGGGATAAGAAGAAGCAGCAGCAATGGGAATGACAGATGAAAAGGAGAAAAAAAATATTGAGGAAACATGGGGAGAAAGGGGGTTAGGGGGTGAATATATGGAACAAGAGATAGAAGCAGCAAAGGAAGACAGGACAGAGAGCAATAAGATTACATAACATGTCTTACAGCTTGTTACCGACTTGCCCGTTTAGCTGCGCTCAGCTCCAGACTTTGCACAAGAACAAATCTTTTCTCATCTAAAAGACCTGGCGAGGGATAATTACTACTCACTACCTCCCACTCCAGTCTGAAATAAAGCTTCATTCATCTTGTGTGTAGGCGAGCTAACTGGAAAAATGCTGCTTATTTAAGCATGTGTGATCGAATGTATGTGTTTGTACATATGCTGTGTGTGTGTGTGTGTGTATAAATAGGTTCCAATTATATTTGATTCATCATTTCATATTTGTGTATCTATTGGGGAGAAGAAAGACAAAGAGATACAGGGAGACTAACAATGAATGGTGATTACTTACATTTGAGTTAAATTGCATAGATTGTCGCATATTCTCTCTTCTATGGTGGTGATTTGGTTTTTGCTCAAATCGCTGATGGAAACAAAACAGACAAATCACTGTTGACATTAAAACAAAACTTTTTTTTTTAATGCGCTAATTTGTGACAATGACCATGATACATATCATATTTCGGCAAGATCGATGCAGTGTGAATTTGTCATTGACTAAAAAAAGCCAATAACTGAGTCATTAGATGAATGAATTATCCAATTGTTAATAGATGCAGTTATGCAAAATGACTTTTATATTTGTGTTTATCAAAGAAATTCATGCATTCTCACGTCCTCTTTACACAAAAATGACTCATATCACTTGCATATACAGCACATTCAGAAAGTGTTCAGACCCCTTTCATTTTCACACATTTTGTTATGTTGCAGTCTTGTGCCAATATTTAAAAAGAATAATTTTTCCCCTCATCAATTCCCTCAATACCCCAATAACAAATTGAAAACAGGACTTTAAAAATTTTGGCAAATGTAAGGAGAAACTAAAATATGACAATGGCATAAATATTCACACCCTTTACTCAGGACTTAGTTGAAACACCTTTGGCAGCGATTACAGCCTCAAGTCATCTTGGGTATGATGCAGCAGGCTTTTCACACCTGGATTTTGGGGATTTTCTGCTGTTTTTCTCTGCACATCCTCTCAATCTCAGTCAGGTTGGAATGGGACCGTCAGTGGACAGCAGGTCTCTCCAGTAATGTTCGATTGGGTTCCAGTCAGAGCTCTGACTGGGCCACTCAAAGACACTCAGAGTTGTTCCTAAGCTCCTCTTGTGTAGTCTTGGCTGTGTGGTCAGGGTCATTGTCCTGTAGGAAGATGAATCATTGGCTCAATCTGAAATCCTGAACGCTCTGGATCAGGTTTTCATTCAGGATATCTCTGTACTTTGCTCTGTTCAGCCTTCCCTCAACCCTGATCAGTCTCCCCCACAGCGTGATGCTGCCACCACCATGCTTCACTGGTGGGATGGTATTGGGCAGGTGATGAGTTGCCTGGTTTCCTCCAAACACGACGCTTAGAATTGAGGCAGAACAGTTCAATCATGGTTTCATCAGACTAGAGGATCTTGTTTCTCACTCCTTTAGGGTTATTTTACAAACTCTAAGCGGCTTTCATGTGTCTTTCACTGAAGTGAGGCATCCGTCTGGCCACTCTGCAATAAAGCCCAGATTGGTGGAGTGCTGCAGTGATGGTTGTCCTTCTGGAAGTTTGTCTCAGTTTGGCGGGGTAGCCAGCTTCAGGAAGAATCCTGGTTGTTCCACACTTCTTCCATTCAAGAATGGCCACTGTGCTCTTGGGAAGAACCTTCAATGTAGCAGAAATGTTTTTATAACCTTCCCCAGGTCCATGCCTTAACACGATCCTGTCTCTGAGCTCTGTACGCAGCTCCTTCCTCCTCATGGCTTTGTTTTTGCTCTGATATACATAGGGTTAGGGTTAGGGCTAAATTTAAAGTGTCATAGCAAAGTGTCTGCGTACTTATGTCAATGTGATATTTTAGTTTTTCCTTGGTAATACATTTGGAAAAAAATCTGCAGTTCTGTTTTCACTTTGTCATTATGTGGTATTGAGTGTAGATTGATGAGGAAAAAACTTTTTTTTTTTCTTTTTTGTCAAAAAATGTAAGGGGTCTGAACACTTTCTGAACACAACACACGACTGAATGATTGAATAAAAACATAATTCATATCCCAAAAAATTGAAGTACAGAGTAACAGATAACATTTCAAACGTTTGATGCTTCTACCATTCTGCTCTCCATGCTTTGTTTCCATGCTTCTATTTCTTGTCCTTTACTCCTCACTCCCTCCTCTCCCTTTCCTTCTCCACTCATGATCTCCTTCTCCCTCCCTCTCTCCTCCATGCAGTAGGCTACATAATGGGGCCGTTGTGTGGTGGTTTTGGAAGGAACTGATGGAAACCACCAGAGTCCTCTCTCATCTCACACACACACACACACACACACACACACACACACACACACACACACAAAACATGTGCTTAAACACCCATTCAATGGGTGGAAGAAATAAGGTAATGGATGGAGGAAGGGAGGGATGGACAGATGGAGAGAGGGATAGACGGAGGTAGTGGGAGCCTGGAGCAGTAAGCTGTAATTGAACTTAATCGTGCAGTGATTGGTGTGCGTGCATGCATGTGTGGGTATGTGTGTGTGTGTGTTTTTTGTGAATGCTCTCTGGCCTAGCTAGCTTACTCCTGGGATTTCTGCCTACTTAAATCCAGACTAAACCAAGCCGTTCTCTCTCCTGCTTTCTTTTTCATCTTCCTCAGTCTCCCTTACTCTCCTTTCCTCCACTTACAACCTTGACATTGCCAGGTCCTCATCTTCTCAAGACTTTGTACTCACAGGACTGACAGTGGTCCACAGCAGAACACCCCTCTGGGGAGAACATTGATCCTATTCCCTTGAAGATACCTGACACATAGATGATACATAGATGTACATATGTAGTTAGATGGATTGACAGAGGTGCAGATAGATAGATCGATTGGGTATAAATTAAATTGTATGAACACTCAAACACAGAATGCTGTGTGTACTCACAGCTCTCGGAGGCCGGTGAGACGAACTAACAGGCTGGTATCAAGGGAGGAGATGTGGTTCTTGGAAAGATCTCTGTGGAAACAAACCAAACATATCCATACTTAAAATGAATTCTAGGGCAAGGTGATTGCATACACATACACTGACTTACACACAGTATCATTGAAGGTTAATGTGATTGGGTAAGTGCTGGGAAACCAAATGTAATAATAGCAAAGAAGGGAGAAAGTGAAACATTTAGCTCATGTGAAAAGGGGAGGAGATAAATAAAACCAGACACTCTAAATATGTAAGTGGATGTGCCAAACAACACAATACCAAAGAAGAAACAATGGAGAATTTTCTGGTTAATACTGCCTTTGCGATGACACATTAACTGCTGTTGTCGGCTAAAAATGTCTTACATCATAACTATTATAAGGTTTTAGGAAGAACAAAAATAGTTTTGTTCAAAATAGGTGACCTTTGACTTTTTCAGTTCATCCACTCAATGTTTTTGACAAAGGTTCAGTGAACTTTCCTAACTTATAAAATTGCCTTTTGTTGGATGGCAGCTAGCAGAGAGTGACGTCAACTGTGTGGAGCAAGAGGGGTATGACACTCGCATGGACCCTAAAGCCACCGGGACATGCCAAGTAATGCGTAATTCTTTTACTAAAATTGAATAATGAAAATCACCTGAATCAAACCCCGTGCCCCCAGTTTATGATTCAAGCTTCCTGTTAAACATTAAAAGTCTCCAACACAATGCAGAGATAACCCTGATGATGTCATTTTCTCAAACTTAAGAAAGAAAGCTTCTCCAGAGGCACAGAGGGCAATATGTTATTGTGTCACAGGCTTAGTAGTACTCCCCATGAGGAGCACATGATGTGAAATGATGCCACGCAGCTTTACATCTACTGTTAGAATCAGGACATGTGAAATGGCTAATAATGTGATTAGTAGTTTCATTTGGGAGTTTATGAGTTACTGAGATTAATTTTTTAATCAAACGATATGAAATAAACCCGTGTGTGTCGGGCTGCAAATGAAAGGCAGCAGAGGACGGCTAATGAGAAAACTGTATCGTAAATGTCACTTGGTCAGATTCACATGTTGTTCACACACGTATTGCACTTCAGGAAATCACAGTCATCCTTATTCAGTCGAAACAACACATCAAGATGACGGAAGTTTTTGTCTTTCATCCTTCTGCTTTTCAGTTCTGCTCTTTCACACAGTAGGTATAATCGTTCACATGCACACCTTCACACATTCCTCCTCCTTTCACAGCGACAAGAGGAGAGAAGAAGAGATGAAAGACAAGCAGAACGGTGAGAACCAGATTACAGGGTTTACTTTGCAACTCAACATGATCTCAGGAATTACCCAAATAATCTTCTGTATAACTTTTAGCTACTTTTATAATGCAAACTTTGGGGAACAAATATGCAGATGAGAGTGAGTAAAAATTTGGGAGTAAAAGTTCAGGACATTTATTGCACGATTGCATAGACACACACAGTTTTCATGTGCGACACTTTCTTTCTACTGCATTTATGGCCTTCTATTTTTTTAGTAATGCCCTGTAATTCCAATATAGGATTGTTTTTAGCATTGCTGTAAAATGTCAAAAATACACATTAGAACTTGATCAATTGATATCAGCCTGTTTAAGACAAATATCTTTGATAAGGATCCGTTAAATCTGATCAGTAAAGAAATGTGACCAACATATGTACTGAGTGGGACATTTTACGGTTGAAAAGTAAATTGTTTCTGTTTCTCTGTATAACAGTTCCTTGTTGCTTTACTTTAATATCAGGCAAGATTCATGCCATAAAAACTAAACAGTATCTTTAACAAGCTAATATCGGCCGACAAATGAGCTTGATGTATTGGTCTGGCTCTAATGATATGTATACATGCTGCCATACTGTACATTGCATACACAGTGTTAACAGTATGAAGAGTATACAGAAACTAAACAAGAGTTTAGCTGAAGTCAGTGTGAAACCAAAAGATAAATGAGTCAGGAAGTGAGAAAAACTGAATTGGTTGAGCTGTGTGGATGAGTTGCCAAGACAAACAAGGAGAGGAGAGGAGGAAGTAGGACAGAGCTGAGCGTTGTTAAGTGGCCTCAGTCTCCTCTGTGAGCCTTCACAGCAAAGCCTCAGCTGCACGTGAGAACGATGAGACAATAGGAGAAATGAAGAAGAAAAAAAAACAAGGAGCCAGATGACAAGAAGCCAGAGGTTGTGAGAGGACAAAAAGCACTGTGCATGTGTGTGTGTGCGTGTGTGTGTGTGTGTGTATGTGTTTGTGTGTGTGAGGCAACAAGATAGTGCCTGAAGAACAGCAATAATCTAATATTGAAAAAGTTGTACAACCATGCTGATTCATATCTTTACTTATAGCATGTGTTCAGTAGAAACTAATTAAAAATCGACAATTTACATCGGGGAAATGTGTATGTGAGTTTGAGTGTATGGGAGTACACAATTCAACACACACAATTCTCTCTCCTCTCTCTCTCTCTTTCTTTGTGTGTGAGTGTGTGTGTGAACAGAGCAGGACGCCCATTCCCAAAAGGAAACATCTGTACATTCCAGACAAGCTGTGTAAGAAAGATGGAGAGTAAGAGAGAGAGAGAGAGAGAGAGAGAGAGAGAGAGAGAGAGAGAGAGTCCTCCTCTGCTAAATCCATCAACAGATGAAACAGGACAGCAGAAAGACGCTCCACCCACAAGTTGATCATTCACACATTAGGGTGACACCTCTTCTTATGTAATGCTCTCCACATCTATTCCAGGTGTGTGTGTGTGTACTACTCAACTGTATATGAAAACTTTCTTTCTGACCAAATCGGCAACACTGCATAGACCAGAGGATATTAAGTTGAGAGAGAGAGAGGAGAGAGCGAGAGAGAGGGAGAGAAAGAGTGTGTGTACGTGTGTTTAACATGACAATATAATGTGACCTTCACCATGTCTATTACCAACAGGCTCCTGTTCTCTCAGCTACCTCTGGCCACACATGGTTTTACTTACACACACACACACACACACACACACACACCCACACACACACACACACACACACACACACACACACACAAACACAGAGCACACATATGGTTCTGTTTTACTGACGGTGTGGCCAATGATCTAACCACTCCTTATAAGGCCTGTCTGGTGCCACTTATTCTGAGCTGGAGGATGAGAACACACACACACACACACACACACACACAACACACACACACACACCGACACACACACACACACACACACACACACACACACACACACACACACACACACACACACACACACACAGTCCTCATTGACTACTTGGGCAGAGGGAATGACAAAAAATATGAATTGAGGAAAAGATAAATCTGCAGAAATTGCGGGGGGAAAAAAAGACAAAGAAAGTCACTCAAGAAGACTGATATCTGTTTGATTTCATCCGTCTCCAATTTCCAAATAAGAACAAAAAAAGGAGAGACTTTGGTGATGAAAACTCTGATGTAGTTCTGATTGTATCTGGACAGATTGGTATCTGCTGCATCGTGGTGGTGAGGTGGTCCAAGTCCCTGTAAGTGAAGGCCAGTGCTCCACTAACCCACTAAACACAGACTGCTCTGTGGTCGCTTTCATCCCCCTCAGCAACGCTGCCTGATTCCCTCCTTTCCCCACACACTCAATTTCTTTCCTATTTTCTCCCTGTTGCTCTGCTGCTTTGTTTATATCCAGAGGCTGGGCAGACCTATAGGAGTCTGACGGGAAGGGGAGCAATGCAAAAGTATAAGAGGAGTTAAAGATGATGGAGTTAGAGGAGAACACAGGTGTGAAAAGGAAGCAGAGGAGAAATTGGGGGGGACCGGGAGTGAGTGACACAGGCCAAGACTGGAGAACAATCACCCTACTGTGGGCTGCCAGCCAGCACCTCATGCCTGAGACAGTGGTGAGGGGGTGGACAAAATCTCAGGAGTAGCTGGGTACTTTCCCTACTGCAAGGAGAGAGGCAGAATGAAATTAGGGGAATGGGGCGAGGAGCTAGGGAGAACGGGGTTGTTGATTGAAGAGATTTGGTCTAAAAAGCCTAACATTTTGCTACACAGTCTGGCTGGCTGGGTCACAAACACTCCTCTCCTCTCCTCTTTAGAACATTCTGTCCATTTTTCCAGCTGCTGCTGCCTGGGTTGTCTGGTGTCCAGCTGGCAAGTGAAGGGCAGCTGTGTGCAGCGGTTTAACACACTTGCTCAAAGAACGACGCACTCACATATACACACTTTTACATGCTGTCAATGCATAAAGGAAAAACAAAAAATCTGTGATGCTGTCATACACTCATTGCTCACTCTTTTTCTGGTAAACTACTTTGTGTGAGTTTCACTTATCTTGAAGTCATAAACTGTGGGCTTAAACCAAAATGGGTCTTAGGCCTGAAGCACTTCTGGGGTGTGATTACAAAAAGGAAAAAAAACAACTTGTTATTATTTCAGTGAAGCATAATTTCAGTGAAAATGGAAATCAGTAACTATATTTCATTGACGTTAAACTGGAAGAACTCTTAACATAACTCAAAATCAAATACCAAAGTCAAGTTTGACATTTCTTTCCCACTTGTTTTTATCAATTTACACACAATACAACTGAATGTTAATACCAGGAAAAAAAAACTGGTAAAGATCCCTCACAACTTGGCAGCAAATGGAAACAAATGTTTTGAATAAACAATGGCGTAGTGGGACCTGCTTCTACTCCTACTTGTCTTGTTTTATTTCTGACGGCGTGGATGCATCATCCGCACATTGCTGCAGTCTACTGAAGGCACTCAACAACAACAAAAGTGTCTCCCAAAAACTGTAACAGAATATAACAAGCACCAGTAAGCTGTCATCACCTGAGATTTCTCGATCAATATCAACCATCATATTGAAACAGAAGTCACAAAGTGCTTCACAATAAAAGATAAAAGTGAAAATAAGACATAGACTGGGTAATAATATTCTGTTAAAAGGAAAACACCAAAAGCTGACTAAAATAATAATAATATACAGTATATATATATAGATAGCACAAA